AATTGGGGGAATGGGGGTATCCAGAAGACATTGATTGACACTTCTCTCCCCCCTTCTTCCCCCAGTGAAAACCGTTACAAAGAATCCGGGGATTGCATGACGACGCGAACCCCCAAAAAGACAATACCGCCGACCCGGCCACTGCGAACCCATCCTCCGCGATTCATTCAACCATCCATTCATTCATCCATTCATCCCTTTAATCAATCCCTCTGTTCCATGTCTACATGTCTACACGACCCGACGCATCAACACATCCTCCACGACCATCCAGCCATCCAACCACTTTTACTCGGTCGAGCACACGGCCTGATTGCTCGGATGCTGCCACTGCCGCCAGTCACAGCCCACCGACTAACCCAGCCACAATACCCCGGAATGCAAGTCTAAACTCAACCCCAACCCCAGAACAGCAAGTGACACGGGTCAATCCCCGGTTAAGCCAAACGGGACGGCGAAGGGTAGGCGACGGAGGAATAAGAACGACAAGGAGGGGCAAAAAGTAACGGCAAGTGAATCTCAGCCGACCACAATTCGTGATAAACCTCGGGTATCGACGCATCTGACGGGTGAGCCAAGACGCCCAGGGCTGACATAGCCAGCCGGCTTCGCATTTCTCGTTTTCGTGCCCCAGATCTCAGTCCTCCTTGTCGCGGAGGGTGTTCTCTTGTCGGATGTCTCTTTTCCCACCTCCCCTGCATCGGATCTCCCCGCGGGGGAGAATAGCGAGATGAGATCACGATCAGCCGGGGCTCCCTTCGCTAGGCGGTCACTGGCCGGACACCCTATGCAGCACAGGGTCGTCTCATCTCGCCTCCCCCCTCTTCCTCCTCCATTCCCTGCTCCTGCTGCTGCTGCTGCTGCTGCTTTTCGCATGGACCGAACTGAATGAAGAGAGGAAGATCGTATATTATCCCTGACGGGATTGGTTGCCGTCAGGGATATGGTACCCGATCGACAGAGTCCCGAAGAATCCTACTCGCTGACATTCAAGCCTCAAAAGGCCTGTGCAGCCCGTTGGTGGCCATGGACCCCAATTGGTTATGCACCCCCAGTCCATTCTTGGAAAAAAAAGTTATCATTGTCGTCACAGGCTGGTTGATGGGTACGGTAGGTAGGTAAGTACCTTACCTACCCTAGCACCACTAGTATGCTGCACTTCCCATTTGGGCGAGTCAGTTCATTGTATTGTAGTTACCTCAGTTAGTACTATGTACAGTACGTATGATGATTGATCCTAAGCCGACCGATCGGAGCCAACCCGGCAAGTCCCCGCGCCCATTTAACCGGTTATCCCGTGGCCGCTCAATCGGGCCAACCGGGGATGCTGATTGGTCTCCACCGCCACCCGAGGCATCAAGCGAACCGACCCCGCAATCACGGAGAAAGGCTGAGAAGCAACAGGCTTGTTGGAACAATGGGAATTATTCATTAGTCATGTCCTCATGCCCTGAATGGGGGCAGCCAACGCGCGACTGGTGACTGCACAAGAAAACCCCCATTCCCCCAACTTCCCCCCCAATTCTTCCCCCTCCGGAGGTCGACCGATGTGACGACGGAGAGACACTAAGACTGAGGAAGGAAGGTCCCTTCTGCCACTAAGCCACCACCTGCCCACCTGCTGATGTTCCTTCTGCTTGCAGTAAGTTCATCCGCCGCCTGTCAAGCCGCCGGCGTTGCTGGCTCGGGAGTCTGACGACGAGACCTTACCATGGGTGGGATGAGGAGACGCTGGTCGGCAAACCAGCAAGCAACAACAATTAATCCTAGCCCTGGGAATAGGTTGTCTTCGGCAGACCATCACATGCACCTTTGAAATACGGAGAACGACGAGTCTGGTCTGCATGCCAGTCACCCGAGGATCATCATCCCGACCCCTCCCCTCAGTCGGACGGTTAGACTAGACAGTCACAATTTCTTTTCTCTTTCAGTCCAGGGGAAAGAAGAATTCATCACGGTGACCACACGGGAAGTGTGAAAAATCACAAAAAAAAAAAAAAAAAAAAAATACTCCCCGACGACCCCATGACCTGGCCCCAAGACAAACCCAGCCAAGCCATGCCCAGCCAACCACCACGCGACCCCCTCTCCACTCCGCCCAGTCCTTTGAGAGTCTTACAACTTCACCAAAGTGACTCCAAGGCAATGAAACCTATTGAAGCCCTCTTTCTATCCCGCTTTCGTCATAGCTCGGCTTTTCTCCCCAGGTGTCTTCCCCCCCGAATCGGCCAGGCCCGCCAGCGGTCAATGAACGGTCGACCATTCGTTGGCCTGTCCATGCCACGAGTCGCACTAATCCGAACAAGGCTAGCTGCCTCCCGACGGAGCACCAAAGTGGCAGAGCCTGGAGCTCGACTACCTTTTTCAGGCCTGAGGCATCCCAGATTCTTCTCCGGTTGCTTCGGGGAAAGAAAAAGGTGGGGAGCGTTTGTCTAGTGGGCACAACTCTTTTCCGGGGCCGCATTTTATCCATCAATTCCCTCACTCGCGGGTAATTACAGATGCTGAACTGACAGCTCGTCGATGTTACTTGCTTGCCATGCTTGCCATGCTGCTAGGTGCTCAGGCCTCCCGCAATCTAGTCGTAGCAATGGTTGTACCTTATCTGGCTTGCACCATCTCGTCTCGGATTTACCAGATGCACGTGGGTTGCGCCCAACCCTAATTGTTTGCCGGGGTTGTATGGAGCACTAATCCATCCTACTACAGTCCAACCGGATACTTGTCCGCTTGGTTCCTTCACGGTCTCCTTGTACTAGCAGGTGACTTTGTGCCTTTCTTCGTTCTCTCACAGATAAGTCCTCGATAGGCCCGGCCAGTATATGCTACCTTACCACCAAACGATTCGCTAAGATCGTTCGTCCCGCGTCGACCCCCTGAACATTGTAGCAACAGCTCAGGGCTTTTTTCCGTTCCCGTGTCAGAATTGCCTCCAGAATGCAGGATTCTGAGCGAACGCTCAGTCCCTAGCAAGCGGTCAATGAGCCTAGCTGCCTACTAGGTAGTGAGCTGGAGTAAAGCTCATCCAGATGCCGGGCTGTCCCGAACTCAGCCGCACCAGAATAAGAAGCCTTTCGAGTTTCGATCTGCGTCTGAAAGACTGGATCTGATCTCGCCAGTCAGCGGCTTTTCCTTAGTAACAATCTGTCATGCGGACAGAGGATCTTAGGCGAGAACCCTCCGCAGCGGGCCTCGCCTGTGGTGGCTTAAATTGGCAGGCGACGGACACAGCCTGGAGATTCGGAACTTTGAGCTCCTTAGTTTCCGACAAAGGTTTAACTTTCCTACCAGATAAAGCAAGCCGATTTGTTTACGAGTGCAATGCGATCGAAGGGGGTGGTATCGCGGAATACACTATGGGGTGTGAACACCCGCTCAAAAGGATGTGTGGCAAATCGATGCGGAGGACGAGCAATGGAGCAGCCGGACCCCAGACTCTGACATGTCACGTATTATCGTGTTCCCCCATTCCGTCCCCCTCAGATCAAGTCGGTTATGCTTTCGCGTTCCCCTCCCACCCTTCTCCTCTTCTTCCCGCCGCCGTGAGGAGCCCGGTTACCCGGGGAAGAGTGGTGGTGCTTACACGGGGATAAATAAGTCCGTAGTTCGGATGATTATAACCTGGCTCAAAGATGACGGAAAGGGATGGGGGTATGGTTGACGAAGGTACAGGATCCTTAGACTCTGCCTCTGTTCTAGAACCCGAACATGTAGAAACATCGCACTCGGTTGAAGAATGCGGCCTTCAAGGAGGTGGAAAGCCTTCAAGTGACTTGTGAAAATGGCAGAACTCACTCCCGATACAACCGCCCCGGGATTTTCCGTCCGTCGGCCTTCCGTCATTGCATCCAAATGTAGAATTGGAGACTGGCAGCCGTCGGGAACCGGATTTATCGATTGTTCTATCGTGTTTATGCTTGCCTACGACCGAGGTGAGATCGGATCTTCGTGGACCAAAACTACTGTTTGCCACTTCTGTCTGTGATGGATTTGCCCCGGGGGCTGATGAACTTCCGACTTCGGCCAGATTCTGCAGTCCTCATACATGCATGCTCTCAAGCAATGTAAACTGTCGACTTTCCTTATGCTAGCTATGCTAGTGGAATAAACACATTCCGAGCAACGGCCAACACTGTTTCCTCCTAAAGGCTGTCTCGGATAATCTTCTACGGGTAGCATTCGTGAAGGGGACTCAGATATAGCCAGACACGATTATCTCCGATCCTCTTGCCCTGTTAGTCCGCAAGCCCCAATGTGCTCAGATTGTTTCCATACCGATATTTATGTAAAAGGACATTGTGAGTATAATTCAATGTATAGGATTTGCATGCTAAGTGCAAAAGTATGTACAATACCTACCGCCTCAGCTGAATCGATAACCCTCGCGAAGCCACTCTCTCCAGTAAAAAGAGGAGTTTGTATTGCAGCTGCGACGGTCGTAATCTGCTACTTTGCTGTCTTTATGCGTAGGCGCTTTCTGGATTATGTTTCTATGGACTGGTTATTCCCAATCTTGAATTGGGAGGATATTGGGATGAGCTGCTGTTGTTGTTGTTGCGTTGCTGCAAGCTGTGTCGGAAATATATTCCCGATGGGTTTCGGATTGGACATCGAGGGCAGTTGATGTTGTTATACACTTTAAATATGGAGAATGTGTGTCTCTGTTTCGAAGAGTCGAGCTATCCAGTCTGGTTTCCCATAATTCGGTTTCTTGATTCTGTGGTGGTGTAAATGACCTGGTGGTCGAGACGGGTGGTGGGAAATGCTACGGCATCACTGAGCAAGAGGACTTGTTGGATCACTCGTAGACATGCGCTATGCATTGCTCGAGGGTAGAAGTTTTGCTCACGTCTACTGATTGACGAATGTCATCCGGGTTCATTGGATAAATTCATACGAGGGAAGGAAGATGTGCCCTTTTCTCTGGAGCAAGGCTCTTCTTTTCGCAGGCCTCATGATCGCTTACTGTATGTAGCATGCCAATTCTCGCAAGATAATCAAGCTGGACCACGCACCTGGCGCGTTTGATTAAAGGTGAAATCAGCCCTTCGCGAATAGTTGTAAATAGAACGCTAAATAGAAAGTGCTCGGGAGGTGACGCTTTTTCCTCGGAAAACCGACAATCCCCATAAACGCCCACTTACAACGCGGAAAATAAACACCCAAATGCAGAAGATTCGTTCAGCTCACTCATGAAAATACGTGCAGAGTCGATTACTGCCGGCTCTGCGTCCGCCCGAACGAGAAAAACGAGCCCCATCCTCGGTGTGTCGCGGCCGTTTCAGATGCGTCCGGCTTCTCGACCTGGCCCGCGGCCTCATGGTGTGCTTGCGACCCAGGCCGGGTTTCAGCGTCTGCACGGGTGCCCACCCGGTCCAACTGGCTTGATGGCGTTTTAACGATCGAAGCCCGCTCGATGTCCGGGATGACGCGCTCGGTCGAGTAGAGCGCTTCGCGCATCTGCCAGCGCCGTTTCTTGAACACGATGAAGATGGTTGTGAACGAGACTGCGCTTTCTTGATTAGCAGGCTGGAGATTCTCCGTTTCTGGAAGGGATCTGTTTGCTTGGATGGACGGGGGGACTTACTTCCGACAGCGATAACTAAAGCCACGATCGTGCATAGAATGATCATGCCTTTCGAGGAGACGCTTTTCGTCTCCGAGGTCGACGCGGAGCTATCCTTCTGTTCGCCATCTACTGCGTCGAGCACGCTCTGCGCGAAGGTCTGCGTGATCAGCGCTGCAATGACAGCGGGCAGGTATAGCCGCCTTAAGAGCATAGCGATGTGTTCTTTGTGCGGGTTTATTGACGATCGGAGCGGAACACGTTGTTGGAAGATCTGGATCGGCGACGCGCAGTGTTGTGTGACTTGAGATCTGGGCGGGAAGAGAAAGGTCAGTGAAGTGGGAAATCGGGGGAGTATATGAGAAAAGAGCTTCTGCAGACCGGGTGAGACTACTAAGGTATCTTTGGGCTTGACTCCTCTGCACGTTCAACACCCAGGGGTTGTGGTGTTTCGAGAAGAGGAGCTATCCCTGACTGTTCGGTTGTGATAGGCCCGACGAAGACAGCCTTGACCTCTGCTGGATGGGCATTGGGTCGTCAGCTGCATCCATTAGGCCTGGAGAGTGGGCGTTTCATTTCTATGGTGATTGAAACATAGTATCAAATCAGAGACGAAATGCGCTCGGAGAAGGCGTGGTGTCGGCGCCTGCAAGTGACCAATGGTTCGATTGGGTCGGGGCCGTTTGTCGCTGGGGAGAAAACTGTAGGTTTAGCGCCGTCTCGCACTATAGCACCTACTATACTACGCTGCACATACAATCATTGTCTTCCGGTCTAATATTAGGATAGCTTGCAGGGTGCTGCAGATACTTCTGTGCAGATGCCACTCCAATTAGCAACACTATGAAGAATCGGCAACGCTGCAGAAAACAAAAAGAGTATCGCGCATCTTGGATACATTTAGCGTGATGAATGACCCCCTTTCGCCCCAGTGCTGGTATGACTACTATCTATACACCCGATTTGAAGGCTCAGTTACTGTCATCTTGAAAGTATGATGGACTCTCTCATAGCCACAAGAGAAGGCACCCCGCTGATGGCTGCTAAGAAATGTTGTGGATTGCCGAAAAAGGAAGGCACCTACCCAGTCACTCCACCACCAGGTTACCCGGTCCCTCACGGCCAGAATTGAACTTAAGTCTATCCTTTCCCACCTCGCACTGCTAGCTCACGTTGTTCTTACCTCCTTCATTGATCTCGTCACTCCTTGCTCGATCTTCATGTCATGCTCTAAACTGGCCTGAGAGCTACGTCAATGTGCAGACTAGCGAGGTGTCAAAGATGGCTAATGAGACACCGTCCAACCTCACCACCGCCCCAGCCGGCACAGACAGTACGTTCGACGAGGTAGAGGAACTGTTCTTGCTCCAGATGGCAGTTGCCAACAACGAGCCTCTTTCCCCACAGCTCAAGGCTGTAATGGCAACCCAAGACACTACCGCCTCAACCGACAAACCTGCGGAAAGACGTCCATCGCCATTACTTATGGAGCGACCGAGAAGCTCTGGTCTGGACCTATCGGCTTTTTCTTTTGCAAAGCCTGCGCAAGGTCGCAAGCCATTCACTCTTCAGGCATCAACTAAGCCATCGTCGTCCACAGCTGGGCTGAACAATACTGCCACCCAGCACGAGCATGGTACAGCCGAGCCCTCCAACGAGGCAATCAGAAGCTTATCAAGGTAAGTCGCTCTATATGACCAGAGGGAGAGGACTATATTGCAGACCACTAAGTTTATCCTCTCCAACTAGTGCCCGGCAAAGATCTGGCACGCAAAAGTCACAAACTCGGATCCGAGAGAATACGAGGCCAGGTTCTAGACGGCCCTGCTCCCCGCTTTCTGTCAATGGCTTGCATGGTTCGAGCTCTGAGAAGGTTGTGGTGCCTGATGCAAACCAATTGCCTATCAATGCCGAACACGGGACCCTTGTGTTCGAATCATCGAGTGGGTGGACCTGATTTCCGGATTCAAAGGTACCTGGCTTCTGACATTGCTTGCAGCCAAAGACAACGAGATGAGGAAAGCCTCTAGTCCTCCAAGCCATCATCCAATTTCCCAAGCGCCCGCAGTGAGCAGGGCCGACAATCATGGTACGCCTTTGGGTGATGGGCACGGTGCATCTAAAATTACGCATGCAGCACCAGATTTGGTTCCTCAAATGCAGATCCCAGAGGCCAGTGAGATGGCCCAGACATACCCGGTTGGCCCTGCAAACGAGAAGTATAGGGTCTCTAAGCGCCGCCGCTCAAGCAAAAGTCGTCATTCTCGCAATGTCAAACCAACTCGCATAGCATCAGGAGATGATGATTCTTCCTTGTCCGAAGAGAGTCTGTTTCATTTGCTAATCGGACGGATTAAAGCTCGTGAAGAAAATGAGGCTGCCGCGATCGAATTGAGAGAGCAGATGGAAGCTTGCATCTCTGGCCTGGCTGACGAAAATAAAGCGCTGAAGAGTCAACTTGCAGTATCCGACAAGGTCATCCGCAAGAGAACGATCGAATTGGGAGCTTACAGATCCCAGGTCGATGCATGGCAGTCGAAGATAACGAACATCAAAGGCTTTGTCAACCAGCTTGGTTCCGACTTCCAGACCCTCCGTAGCGATGCAAACCGGCTCTTGGCGGCGAAGAAGAGCGTGCATGACGAAAGGACAGATATTGACAGAAGCATTAGTGATGCTAAGGCACAAGTAGCTAAAGCTTCAGATGCTGCCAGCAAAGGGAGAGAGCAGTTATTGCGGTCAGAGAGCCAGGTTGACCTACTGAAACAGGCCCTTTCTGCAACAGAGGAGAAGACTAGATATGTTCGAGGACAGCTTTCCGATGAGAAGAAAAGAACCAGACTTCTTGAGCAATACATCCAAGAATGTTCCCGCAGTCAAGAACCAAAGCTTAATCAGATCAGGGCTGATCAGCTAGCGATTCTGAAGCGCTTCGAGGCCGTGTTTCGCACCTTGGGTAGCCAGCAACAGCTCTCTCAAAACACTATTCAGCAAATGATCGGTCCTAGCTTAGACAAATGTGTTACAACACTTGATAATCTCTGTGAAAATATTGTAAACAATGACTCGAGTTTAAAGAACTGCATTGACGGAGTCAAGGGTGAAATATCACGGTGAGCTCTCAAAAATTAGTCAATGCTGCTTTATTGCTGATCACGAACGAACAGCATGGGAGGTGAATTGGTTCAACTACACGACTTGACCAAAGAATGCCGCGCAAATGATGGCGGCTATATGACGAACCTGACCGAGCAACTCCAAAGCGTCACAAGTCAGATTGCGAGCGAATCAACGTTGGTCGAGGGAATTTCCAGGAATACGGAGCATCTCGGCGGACTGAGAGAAACCCTTGAGCGCCTGTTACCTTTGACTGATCAATTGAACTGTTCTATTGACGCATTGAAGGACAACGAAGCAAGGCTTTGCGGCCAAATGGAGCAACTCGAAGCCGACCTGGGTGATGCGCGGACTCTCAAGAATGCTGAATTAGCTGCACTTGAACTCACGCGTCACGAGTTGGAGAAAGCTCAAATAGAGGGCAGGATGCAGAAAGTGGTGGCGGAGTCGGAAGCCATGGCAGAAAGATTGAGAGCAAAAAATCTCGAGAACAAAGCCATTTATTCCTCCCTGCTTGAGGCAGAATCACGAACTCAAGAGGTAGAATCTTGTGTCCTGCAGCTCGAATCGGAAGTTGTCACCCTGAGAGATGCAGTCAAGAAGAAGGAGAACCAAGTCCGAGAGGAGTTGGGTCGGGCCAGTGTCATCGCTCGCGAGCAGATAAAGGCTAGATACGAACAGCAACACCGCGATCTGCTGAAAGAGAAAGTCGATTTAGCGCAATCAGTGGATCTTCTTCAAAAGCAGCTTGACGATACCAAGTCAACATTCGTAAGATGCCCTTTCCCAACTTCTCGATCATGTGAGCTAACAATTGACAGGATGAGTTCAAAAGAACACGAGACAAAGAACATGCCGATCGAGGTATACTTGTGAGTGGCCTGTATGACGACTAGCCGGGCGAGTTCTAATTCTTTATAGCTTGATTCGAAGGCAAAGGAAGTTGAAGAGTTGGCTTGTCGTGAATCCGAGACGGCCACTAAATTAGCCGAGCAAGAGCAAGAGCTGACAAGACTGGCGGAACAGACAGCTCTGGCCGAAGCGCGGAGCACCTGTCTTCAAAATCAAATTGAGGAGACGAACAAGAAGGCACTCGCCCTCGAAAATGACCTTATTGATACTCGTGACGAAAAAGACAAGGTTCTGACAGAGTTGCAGCATAAGCTCGACGCGCTTTTGCAAGACAACATGGAGAAACAAGAAGAGTGTCACAAGATTCAGGAGAGGCTCACAGGTGTCCTAGCAGAACGAGCGGGTCTTGAGAGCGACAAGCTGAAGACAAAGGATGAAATCCACGCACTCCTTAAGCGAGTTCAAGAATCAGAAGCGTGGGTAAACAAACTCAAGGAGCTTCTCGGTCGCGCAGGTCTCGCGGCGGCTACAGACTCGCTTACGGAGGTCTGGAGCAGGTTCGAGGTGAATCTGCTGTCTACGGCTGGCATTGCGCTTGATAGTCGACATGATATTCGGGTCAATCCTGTCGAAGAAAGGTCCCTCGGTGCCAGTAGCGGTGGATTGCTTTCCCAGGAGGATATCGAAAAGCCTGAGCAGATCAATTCCAAGTTGACAAGAGCCGCGACTACAGTGCCTGACAGCCAGGCAACCACTAGTCTTTCACCAGCAAGGCGAAGCGACAAAATCAGTAATGACGAGGCTTCTATGGACTCAATATGCTTGCTGGAGTCAGGTATTGTTCCATTTTCTAGCATCCAGCAGCAATCCCCTCGCACTGAATGCCTGTTTTCAAGAAACGATAGCTTTGACCTCGCAGCCATGCTTATATTCACTCCGGAAAGGGAATCAGTGGCAGATAGCTCTACCGTGGCAGAACTAGCTGCGAACTGTTCTACTAAGCGTAAGGGACAAGACTCGATGGAAGGGCAACAGAACTCCCCATCAAAAAGTTCTCCGAAGGCTGCAAGCCCTAAAAATGATGGTAGTCCACGCAGAGTTGAAAGAGCACCCACGGTACTCAAGTTACACTTGAGTAGTGGAAACAGCAAACCGGGTGATAACAGAGCGAAGCACAGATCAGTCACATTCGAGACTGAAGTCCCAGCCGCGCAAAAAGGGAAACGCAAATTACACGATATGGAGACTACTCACAGCCAGGATAGCTCCGCAGACAGCTTTGATGAGGATAATTCCAAGCGTTCGCGAAGAACATACTCTAAGCAGCAACAGCAGTCAATGACTCGGATTCAGGGAAAGTCCAAGGGTCCAGGAGCAAGCGCCTCCAAAGAAGACATTGCACATGAAGTCACTGAAGCTGGAACGCCCCGCTCTATCATGAACAAGAGGACTAGAGTATCCTTCGACACAATCAAGACTACATCGCAGACGGAGACAGTGACAGAGTACTTCGATCGCAAATCGAGCCCTGAAAAGCTTGCTTCTGGAAGCAGTAGACCTGCGCTGATTGATAATCAAACTGGGTTCCAGAAGAAGCCGACTCGAGGTGGTAGAGGCGGCGGCCGAAAAACAAGAGGTGAGTAGGTTCTGATGGCTAACCCAGTGTTTGCTGCTAAAGCACCAAGGTGATCGCTATACTGCCCGCTTCAGCCGAGGAAAGTAAATTCCAGCAAAATATGCCCAATTCGAGAACTCTTCCACGCAGATAATGGTGTTAGTATGTGAGAACATCGAATTCTTTTTGCTCGTTTGTTGATCTATGGTAGTTTAGTTGATATCCTTATGCGATGAACTTGTGATGTTGATGAAACTGATAAATCTCTCATATGTGCTTTGAACCTTTCAATTAAAGAAAACATTGAGATTGACTTCCTTGCAGGCGAGATTTCCATTGAGAAGGAGTTTGTGAAGTAGTTTGTGATATATTGAACGATGATGGACCCAGATTGTACTGCTCTAAAACGCCAGAATGCAACACAAGAAAAGCAGACAGCTTTAACATACATGGAGATGTTAAGTGCATCCCACAATGTGAAGTCTTAGCTGTTGCGCTGTATAATATACATGATCATATCTTCAAAAGTTGGAGAGAGCTCGGCTCGCTGCATCGAGGTGGTGGCCGTGTTGGTTGTTCCGATGTTCTCCGCGAATCGATAACAATGAAGCGAGGAAACGATATCAGGGATTTGTCCAGGCCGAGATCTGTTTTGGGAGTGTTGCGACGAAGACGAACCAACCGTCGAATGATGCGCGAGACGCCGCTTGACGGCAGCGAGAGCTTCCGTGGAGCCGACGAACCACTTTATTTGTTCCGACCACCCTTGGTCGCCTCCAGGAAGAGGACCTGCTTCTTCACGACGGGATCGTATTTGAGCATGCTGAGCGGACGGTGCGTACGCGGCCGGACCATTGTGCGGTAAAAGCCAGTCATGGCCATCGAGATGAGACGGACGGTGATGGTACGGGACTTGGCTATACACGTGGGAAAAGCAGAAATTAGCTTCTGCTCGTAGACATGTCTCTCAAGTGCTCCAAGGACTGGGGAGAGTGATGCGACGTTTTTTTCTTCTTGTCCGACCGGGCTGGATGTCCCGCTAGCCGCGGGCAATTGAAATCCAAAGGTGCTAGCAATCGAGGTAGTGCTCACCTTTCTTGGCCATTTTGTGTGGTAAGTGTGATGAGCGCGTTGAGGTTGTGAGGCGTAAGGTTGGTGGTTCGGAGGATCAAAGTCTTGCGTCTGCGCGATCGGGGATGCGGAGGTTGCGGCGGAGGTTTGGTGGAAACTTTGGCTGTGCCTCTTCGTGATGCAATCACGTGATTAGGCGGTGAGGGCTGTGCTGTGTAGATTCCACTTTGTCTATCGCAGACTCCAGGCTGGGCCGTTGGCGGGCTCCAGCTCAATGAGTGGGTTTCCCGATGGGGTTTGGATCAGGGCGGATGGATTATGGGTCTTGGTTTTTGGTGCAGTGGGTGCTTCTACATCTGCACTGATCACTACAACAGTACAACTATCTCTACATGAACATTCAAATTCTCAGACCGGAGTTCTTGTTTCTCTCGGAATGCTTTGCTCGACTTGCAATGCTTGTCTACCATTTTTCTCGGTTCTTGCCACTCAATTGGTTACTGATACCTCAGTTCCTGATTCACAGTGTGATCGCATCCCTAATTATGGGCAGCACGTGGCTTGTAGCTGCGAGGCTGGAGTCGAGACCTTTGCTCTGTAACAGCTGATCAATCGCAATAGTTGAGAGACGATATTCGCAGACACGAAACAAGTTATCGGTTGGGCATCAAACTTCATTGCTTCAGGACTGTTGCGATGCCCACTCCGGCTCCGATAATAAGAAATAGAATCCGACACTTGGTGTGCTGGAGATACGCTACACATCCTCCCATGACCTTTCCTGCTTTCTCCGCAAGCCGCACATTCGTTTTTCCTTCAGGGGGGAACATTACCGACTGGGACCCGATACTCGAACTACGTTTGCCAGAACTCGTTCGAGATACCATTCTCGTCTCTGCTTCTCAGGAGGAACAACGCGCTCGTGTGGGCAAGACTATGCATTCCCAGACTTCAAGGGTAAGAAACCAGGTGGTTGTTTGTTCCCATGATCGTTTCGTGATGGTCGAGAAGCAGGGAAAGGGGATGATTACCATCCCCAACCACCCAATCCATCATCTATACTTCTTGTCCCGGCATGGTTTGCTAGTGCCGGCTTTCTCTTGCTCCCGCGCATGCACGCCATTACCCGTGTGTGGATCGTCGATGATGAACGTCTTCACTAACAGCTGCAGAAATCAAGGTCTAGACATCATCTGCCTCCGTCCTCTTACGAGCGCACGGCTAGTTTCGAGATCGACATGGCTTGTCAAGCTTGATAAGGGAACGTGTAGAGGCTAGCTTTGGGCTCGGGGTGGGACGGATAAGTCGAGAGGAAACTTTGTTTCTGGCAGCAGCATTACCGGCGATATCACCATCGCGCAGACTTCGACCCTCGCGACCTTTGGAAATGACCAACTGCCCACCAAGAAGCTTGTCGAATTGCGGGGGGTTCGAGCGCCATTGGAACACAAAAGATGTGTGCTGAATGAAAGTATGTTCTGGTACCGGATGGCACATTAGACTTCCCTCTGGATTGTCAGGCGACCCGGACTTATGCGCTATTGGCCCCTGCTATCATGGAGATTTATGCGGATGCACCAGCCACACTTAACGGGGCACGGAGTCTTCATAGTATTTCCACGGGGTTGAGTTCGTGTGCCGGATCTAGGTAAGGTTAAGTTCCTTTTTGATTTTCCAACGGAACGTGCTGCATATGACTCAGGAGGGAGCTTTGAATGAATTTCGTGGCTGGCATGGGGCACTGTATTCCAATCAGATTATTCGTGATTTTGTTCAGCTCGTGTTATTGGGCGCGAGTTACCTATGCGCTTTGTGATTTATCAACTCTACAGGCGGCAGGGAAGAAGAAAAATTCTATGGATGGTTATTCTTATTATCTTTTCTCCGAGTAGAGTTTCTTTTCCTTTTTTTTTTTTTTTTTTTTTCGTTGTTTTTCCGCTTTTAATCTCTGGCTTACCACATGTCATTTTCTTCGTGGTTCTCACCATACTCACTTGCGGCTTCAAATGTCTCGTCGATAACGTTCCCTTCCAGATCCATGCTGATATATTCGACCATGGGAAGTTTGAGATTCTGCGCAAGGAGACGGGTTATGTTGGATACCGGAACCTCGGATGGAGTGGTAGTGTCGTGGAATAGCAGGTTGTTGTCCAAAGTTGCGCCTTGAAACGTGGGCCATGGCATGTCTGTCGCCCATACCCCGCAGCAGGGACAAGTTGGAATCACCACTCTGGGGTCGCGTGTGTCAGGCCGGCTACGGGGATATGGCTCCCAACGATAGGAAGCGGAACCGGGCCGGGTTGTGACAGCAGAGCTGCTTGGTGTTGGAGGGTGCGTTGATGCAGGCCGGCGCCGCGGATTCCAGCTGCAATTACATGGGACAGGGCGGTCGACCCGCACCGGCGTTTCACGGCGAACGTCCCAGTTCAGCGGCCTTCCGGCATCCTTCCGAATTAGCAGCTCATGGATTGCGGTCGCTGAGCTCGGGGCTACCTCGCGATCTCCATATTCCTCGACTAAACACAGGTAGGACTCGGGAATGGAAGATTTGAACAGGTACCTTATGATGTCGACTGTCGATACCACTGGAGCTGGGTCTGCCTCTGCCCACCGAGCTGCCCGCAACTGCTCCACCGCTCGGTCTCTTGGGCCGGTGTCACCGTTGGTGCAGCTGCTGATACTCGGAGCCTCAGCTTCCAGGGTTTGCATACCATTCATGATATTCAGCTCGCGCAGGTACCCTCGGTGTAGAAGCTCTTGTCTATCACTTTTCTGGAGCTCTTGAAGAACTTCCCACTCGAGCATCTGTCGATTGTACTGCCTCCAACTCCAAGCCAGCCGGCGGTCATGAGAAAGGCCCTCGATATCGAAGTCCGTGCTTGGAATGGGCATGGGCACCCCCAAGTCCAGTCGCTGCCCGGGAAGCGAGCGTTCGTATTCGTCTAGGCGAGCTTCCTGTTCCTGCGTCATGATGCAATAGATGATGCGGGCGCGGTCGATCTCACCAGGAAAACTGGGGTCAGGGGGAGGAGGATCGTGCCGGTCAGGACCGCGTGCCTGCTGCCGCAGGACGCGAAGTCTTCGATTGCGGTGACATTCGAGATTCTGGCACGGCGGCTGCATGAAGCCATTCGGCCCACAGCAGCGACACTGGCCGTCCAGCACGGGCGGAAATCCATGACTCGCGAGCCCTCGGCGGGCGCCTAGGACCGTCCTGCACATTCCACATGACTCCGACTCCGTACTCCCTTCGTGCCAGAAGCAGTTCAACCACGTCATCTTGAAAGAGCTCAAGCTTCTGACGAAGCAGAACTTGTGGGAGGCTTTGTTGTGTTGTTGGTGTTGGTGTCTTGGAAAGGTTCTAGGTCGGTGTTTCTAGAAGGGTTCCGTTGGGTAGAAGGGAAGGGGAGTAAAAAGGGACGCTCTGAGGGAGCATAAGGTAGAGGATGCATTTTATATTAGCTTGATGGATGCAATGCTTTGTTGCTGGACAAAGACAGTTGACGAAATGTTCCTCGAGGGTTGTAGTTGATGCTAAGATCCCCGGCTGAAGGATAGAGCTTGGGAGGTACTTGGGCGGGAGAGCTCTCTTGCAATACTAACTGCCGGTAGATGTCCCGGAGGATTATGCCCCCACGGATTGAAAAGGATCATGAACTGGAGATTACCATTGAGTTGAGGTGCATCTTCACTACGGGATTGGGATATGCTAGACTAGATTCGCTACACTGGATTTCGGGTGTAGGTGACCTTTCTGAACTACTCGCGGCAGTGGTACATATTCCGTTAGAATCCCCTCCACCTTTACTTACATGTTGGAGGCGCAAGACCTGAGTCGGTGCATCATGGCTCGAGTTGCTGCCTAATCAGTTTACTATGTTGCATTGCTGATACTGGATTCTAGATACATAGCCGATAAGATCCACTACCAACACTCCAACAGCACCCGCCGCAAACGCCCCTCGCGCAAGGCCATGTAGACCTTACTCACCTGCGACCCGATGGTCAGCTTCCCCGCGCTCTGAGCCCGATCGACCGTCGGGTGATCCGCGAACCCCCGATGAAGCGGGACGCCCAGCTCCTCCCGCACAAAGGCGTAGAGCCGTCGCGACGCGCCGCAGAGGTAGGTTGGGGTGGGAGGGAAGGTAGTGGTCTGCGTGAAGCGCGTGGCGCGGACGGTCTCATAGCTCTCGCGCAACGTGCACGCGAGAGTGCGCTTCCAGTCGCGGAGCGATGGCAGGTTCGTCTCGGCAGCGCCAGCGCCAGTCTTGGGCGGCGGTAGTAGGTCGAGCAGGGTGCCGGCGGTGCTGGTGGCGGTGGTGGTGCAGCGGTCAGCAAGGTCGAGGGTGCTGGATCGGGCCCAGTGGTACATCAACTCGGCCCAGATGGCGGTGCGGATATGTTGGAGGGTCGAGGAGTCCGCCGCCGCCGTCCCCCGGCACGATGCAGCAGCGACCACCTCGTCGGTGAGAGCGTCGACCTTGGGCCGCACGTCGCGCAGGAACTCGGTCTGCAGCACGCGCAGGTCCAGCGCCTGGCACAGCACGTACAAGAAGGTTGCGGTCATCAGGGCCAGGACCTCGACGGCGTCGGCGGCGTAACGGCACCCCACCAGGGCCAGCGAGTTGAGGCTCTGGTTGTGCATCTCGGCAGACTGCACGTGGTTGCTGACGGGGTGGTTGAGGTAGCCCAGCTCGGAGAGGTAGGCGGCCATGTTGATGTCGAGGCCCTTGAACGCGTACGACAGGCTGGGGTCGTCGAGGCTCAGGTTCGGCGGCAGCCCGTGGCTGAGCGCCGGGTTCAGCAGCTCCGAGCACTGCGCGAACAGCATCCTGCCGACCATCTGCACGCAGCCCAGCGTCTTCTCCATCGCCGACGTGATCGCCGCCGCCTGGAAGTTGCCCCCGTGGTGGACGTGCCGGCCCGCCACGCTGATCAGCGGGTTGTCCGTCGTCGAGTTGAGCTCCGTCGCCACCTGCCTGAGCGCCAGCGCCATCGTCTCGAGCTGCGGCCCCAGCCACTGTGTCGCTGTGCGCAGGGCGTACCGGTCCTGGCTGAGCCCGGCGTGGCCCGCGGCGTCGGTCATACTGCTGCTGCTGCTGCTGTTGTCCGCAGCCTCCTCCGTGGACCGCGCCGCGAGACGGGAGTCGGCCAGGAAGCCGAAGATGTTGGCGGCGGCTTCGATTTGTCCGTCGTGGGGTCGCACAGCCGCGATGAACGGGTGGTAGTTGTCCGCCTGGCCGGCGAGAGCCTCCGTGGCCATAGCGGTCAGGAGCTGTGAGAGGAGGAGGAGCTGGTTGGCTTCGAACAGGACCAGACTGGCGGCGCCGCAGCTGAAGGCTGTTCCGTTGAGCAGACCGAGTCCCTCCTTGGGCCCCAGATCGAGCGCGGGGAGTCCCAGCCGCTGGAGGGCGTCGTCCGCGGGAAGGATCTCGTCAGTCGCGTGGACATGCACGGAGATGTCGGGGTTGCCCTCCAAGGTGCCGGCGATGTAGGAGAGCGGCGCCAGGTCGCCCGAGGCGGAGATGCTGCCCCGGAGCGGCACGACGGGCGTCACACCGTGGCGCAACAGCGTGAGAATATGCTCGACCACGACCGGCCGCACGGCCGAATGACCGCGGAGCAGGGAATTGCAGCGCGTCAACATGGCCGCCCGGACCACGGGAATCGGCATGCTATGGCTCCGGTGGCAGGGGCGGAACGTGGTGGTGGAGGAGGGGATTTGTTGTCGATCGCTGGGCAGGAGAACGCACGAGGTTTGCATCTGAATTAGGGCTTTCTGGAGGCCGGCGTAGTGCGTGGTTCGCGTGTCCGCACTGCCGCCGAACCCTGTGTTGACCCCGTACACCACTTCGCCGCGCTGTAGCTGCTGATCCAGAAATTCCACGCTGGCTTCCATGCTTTGACGGATCGTGGGGTCACTGGTCATGGTGGCATGCTGGCCGTGTCTGGGTAGATTTGATTAGGGGGGTTTGAGGGGAAGTGAGTGGATGGACCGGGGGTCCGGGGAACGAAAACATACTGAGCCACGACAACCACCGCACCCATATCTAGGGTACTTCCGGTCAGCACAATTGGGGTTTTGCTTGTCAGTAGATCCTCTACCCTTTGACAGGAGGAGAGCACACTCTCAGTGAGGGACAGGCCGCGAGCATCGCGCAAAGTTATGTCTCCCATTATGTTGAGGTACAATATGGTCGGGCCTCCGTCGGCTTAGTGTTCAGTTTTTCGATACGGTGATCGGTGAGAGCCTGTCTGTCGAACAGCTTTATTTATCGTGGTTTGTTTCTGGTTGTCTCAGACAGCCTGACCTCTCGCCAAAAATAACACTAAAAAGGCAGAAGAGCAAGGTTTTGCCGGAGGGGAGGGAGAAGAGGGAAGATGGAGACGGTAATTGAAGAACGGAATTACCTCCCTATTCCAATGCCTTAGTCAGGCTGTTCATGCGCAGAGGCTGGGCCTGGGTGGGGGGCTGAATACTACTAGCGAATCTCATTGCATCGTTAGTCCTTCTGGCGGCATCAAATGCTAAGATGAGAAGAATTATTGGACACAGGCCGGCCGGCCGGGCCGTCTGCATGACCGGAAGCATTTTATGCAGAAGCAACAGGGAAATGGCGGTGTAAATCACAACCTTCAGGGGCGATGGGATGGTTGAAGGTAGACGAGGGCCCTTGCAGATTTGCAGATCATAAGGCAGGTATGCTCAGGAATATGGCATCCGCTGCCTTACGTTCTGCTCATTGATCTGATACAGCAGCAGAAGCCGAGAAAATACTGGCGCTGCTTTCTTCAGCTAGGATATGCTCCTGACCACCAAGGCCCTTACATTTACATCCGAGATGTCTAGACTGCAAACAGAAAGCCATGAATCAGGAGTGTATGGAGCTATCATTACAAGGATATCATTTGCAAGCGATCTGCACGGGGGATGATGCTCGTCCTTTATCAAGTTTAGCCTCGAACAGCATGTGGCTGTGCATGGATCGAGTCCCCAAAATAGGGGCACAAGTAAGACAGAACACCCAGCATATCACTCATTAGCCATTGCCACGATGCGGCGAAGATTATACCCATCGACGAACAAGTTGGACGCGTGCAGCATGAATGAGACATGGTCAGCCCCCTCTCCCTATCCTCATCCCCTTAACTAGCTCACGGGCTTCCTGCATGGCACAACGCCTCCGAACCAGAACAGTACAGGCAGAGCTGAGACCCCCGCCAGTAAGCCCAACACCCCGGTCATCGTGGCCCAGCCCGCACTTTGGCGAATGTAGCCCGCCAGCAGAGGGCCGGCAACGGAGCCAGCCGCGTAGGCGGAGTTGGCCAAGCCGTACGCCAGCCCCATGGCCCCCTGGGTGCCAAAGGTCGACGGGGCCTCTTGCTCCTGCTCCGCCGCGGCATACGAATTCTCCGCCAGGACCAAGGGGAACAACAGACTCATGCACACTCCCAGCAGGCAAAGCAGGACACAGAGGAGGACTTTGTGCGCAAGGTCATTGTCGGAGACCAGACGAAGAAGGACGGCCGGAGGCACACTCAGCAGGAACGCTCCGCCGGCCAAAAGCCGACGACGCCGGGAGGGCACTCGGTCGTTGATCCACCCGACAAGCGGGCCCAGAAGGCTGGGTACGAGGAACGGGATGAAGATCAACCCCTGCGCGGTCTGCGCCCATGCGTAGGCGTCCTGGACGAACAACGGTAAGGCGCTGTCGAACGCGGAGATTACGATCGAGATCACGAGACACGTCCAGAGGACGACCAGGATTCGAGGCGAGGAGAGCAGTCTCCAGAGGCCGTGGAGACCGGTATGGGATTGCAGCGCTGGAGGTGCAGCAGGTTCGGACTCATCCTCGGGTCTATCGGCCGGTTTCAGCGCAGGGTCGGCCAGGGGAGGTCCCCGGTCCAAACCACCACGAACGGGCTCGAGGGCAGGCGACCTCTCAATGATCAACAGTCGAAGGCCCAGATCGATGCCGATCAGGACAAACGCCACGATGAAGACCGAGTCGTACCCGGCGTGCTCATAGACCGCACCGCCGATGAGCGGGCCGATGAGGTTCCCGATGGTCATACCCATGCTCATACACCCCATGGCGTGGCCCAGCTGCTCCTCCGGAACCGTGTCCACCAGCAATGCGCATGAGACGGTCCAAACGATGGCGGCGGCGGCCCCCTGGAGGAGACGACCTGCGATCCAGGCGCCAATGCGGTTCCCCCCGCAGAGCAGCGCTGTTCCCGCGCCCAGTGTCAGCACTCCGACCACCATGGGCCACCACCGCGACTGAATGCGATCAGAGACGTAGCCGCTGAGGGCTGGACGTGTGGAGCAGGGGGTCAGCGTTAGCCTCGGAGTTGGGATCTCTTAAGCTTGTGAACGTACTCACGTGCAAGAGAGAATTGAGCAGCACCGTATAGCGCGATCAGGATCGAGGTCCATGTTTGCTCTGTGTTTGTGGGACGGGAGATTAGCGACACGACGGAGAAGACAGCTCGCGAGAGAATGAATCATCATTACCGTCATTTCTGGATACCCCGAGTCGGTCGTTGAGCGCAGTAGGAACCACAGGGACGATCTGACGCGGCTTTAGCTATGGGACTGACTGAGCGGCTCGGATGGGATTGGAACTCCTGACAAGCGTACCAGTCCGTACAAAAAGCTATCCTTGAGGTTCCTCAGTCTATTTAATTTGATGATCGCATTTCCGAGGTAACTGTACAAAGGGAGGGACCGGGGGGGGGCATACGTACGGTAAAAATGGCGTAAGACGCCACGAACGTGATGAACGAGACAGAGGATCTCAAGTTGAAGAACACAGAACGTCTTTGCCTTGGAGCACAGTCAAGCTGCGAGTGATTCACAGTCGTGCTGGCCATGGAAGTGGGCAGCCAGTTATTACAGTTGACAACAAGCCGGCAGAACCACCGGAAGCCGGGGAGGTCTCCCATACTTTAGTTAACTATCGATCGCCAGCATACGGAGCATACGGAGCATATGGATGGCTTGGATGTCGCCTCAAATTCCGAATGATTAGAACAACAAAGATCACTAGACTATGCAGAATATGCGCCCGTCCCTTGCTTGATTAAATGGAGCTATTTCCAGACTATTCACGGGAAGGCTCCGCAGGCATGCAATGCCATGCACTGTGCTGATCTCTCCCCTTCACCGACACGAGCCCTAATTTGGTTCGGTAATACAGTTTCCCAACTGCAGACCTCCAAGTTATCGCATGCAGCCCATTTGCACCACCGTCCCGATTCAGCCCTGGTGATACTCGGCTGCCACCCGTTTCGTCAGCCATTCATAGGAGGTCACCGGCTTCTCCTGGTCCCAGTCGGCCATACTGGGCCTCCATGTCCCCGGCACGTCACAGCCCGGCAACGTCTCGATCATGACCTCGGGGTCCACTGCCCCGGTATACGCAATCGAGTAGCGATCGAAGACCAGCTTGCCCGCATCCGAGCGTGCACCCAGCGTCTCCTCGCGCGGCCCCACGACCTGATGCAAGGCGCTCTTCCACCGCCCATTTGACTGCCGCTCCAGCATATCGCCGACATTGACGACGATCGTGCCGGGCTTGGGCGCCACCGGCCGGAAGACGGCGCCGTCGTGCACCTCCAGCCCGCCCACGTGGTCCTGGAAGACGAGGGTCAGGCCGCCGTAGTCGGTGTGCGCGTTCAATCGACGCGGGCCTTGGCCCCCCGCGGAATCCCCCGCCGCCGTGGTGGCCGAGGCTGACTGCAGCACCATCTGCGGATAGTGGAGGAAGCTGATGTGGCCGAACCGCTGGCTCTGCATGCGGCACAGCGTGTCGGGCTCGATGGCGAGGATGTCGCAGAGCGCGCGGCGCAGCGCGGCCTCGACCTCGTTGCACGCGTCCCAGAAGCGCGTGTAGAAGGCGCGGAACCCCGGGAAGACGGACTCCGGCAGCCACCGGTTCTTCGGGTCGGCCGGGTTGCCGACCTCCAGGGTCTCCTTGTGGTCCGGGGACGCGCGGCGGTGGGCTTCGACGGCCGCCTCGTCGAAGACCAGCTGGCTGATGTGGCCGACGCCGTACTCGGCGTAGCCGAGGTGGTCCTCGAGGGCGTCGCTGGCGGGCCGCGGGATGAGGTTCTTGGTGGCGGCGTCGAGGGCGAAGAAGCGCTTGGAGTGGAGGCGGTTGGTCAGCTTTGGTTGTGTGTGTGTGTTACGGTAGGCAGAGCAGAAGGGGCCAACTTATCCATTCCAGCGCTTGCTCGTAGACCTCCGCCGGCATGCCGTGGTTGGCTAGGTAGATGAAGCCGTAGGTTTGCAGGGCGTGGTCGAGCTGGCGGAGCGCTTCGCCTCGTTCGGCGGCGGACCCGTGAAGCTTGGAGCAGTCCAGCGTGATCATGTCCGCGGCCTCGTTGCTGGACGCGGAGGCTGCGAGTTGCGGGTCATGATGGGAGGATCCGATAGAGCCCATGGTGATGGTGTGATGGTTTGATGGTTTGATGGTTGGGGAGAGGGGGGGAGGGGGGGGTAGGAAGAACCAAATCGGGTTCGAACTTTTCACCTGTCGTGCTTTGATCCAAGTTGTGGAAGGCCGGTATCAGGTGTGTTGGAGCTTGATATTATATGTAACTCTACCGCGGGGGACAAGCTGACGAGTAATCCTGTGGCGAGACGACGACAGCTTTCACGACCGTGGCACAATCGGACGAATAAGTCTTTCTCGGAAAATGCTACCGCATAGTGTGTATCGCATGCAGAAAGCGTGCTACACCGCTTATCGATCGAGGGAGTTGGCGAAGCTGAGCGGTGCAGGATGAGTTATATTTCCTGCATGCATTGTCGATCAGCAGGATCTTGAGACGCATCAGTCGCATGCACGAATCAATCAAGTTCGGCAGTCAACCCAAGCAGTTCCCAATGCGAATTTCTCACCAGCCTGATGTCCCTTCTCAATCCTAGCATCGACTTGGCTGGAGTCGTCTGCAAAGAGGTAACTAACTTATCCGCCACTCAAACTAGGTATGTGAAAATGAGTGGGAACGCCAATCTGCACGGGCTTGGAGATCGGCTCAACCGAACCTTTGGCTGTTGGTGAATTGGGGCCACTGCAGGAGACTCTTCCATCTCGAAAAGTCGAAAACAATATGAGGCGATTTCTCAGGGCCGGAGGGCGCCATGTGACAGTCGGCTTGGGAGGGTTTGATCCGGGGACGTTCGACCCAGCACGGGATATTGTCTCGCATATAAGTAGTCGCCATTGGATCAATATCAAAGTATTGCTGTAAGCCTGCTATACAGCCCCGAGCAACTCCTCTCCGGTCTGGACTACACCAGCAGAATGGCCAATCCAAGTTTAGGAGGTAAGTTCATGGAGTTCGAGGGCGTGAGGTTTCCGCCGTTGCCATCGGACTCCTACAGCCCTTCGCTCGATGGTCAAGTCACGAAGTGGTTCCCCCATGGTATCCCTCAGGATGAGCTACCCACCCACCTATGTTTGAGTTGGGCTTTGGTGCTGTCTCTATACACAGCATCGCCGGATGTCCTGTTTGGGGTGCTCGATGACACACAGGGTCAGGGCAAGGGCGCGAATGCCATTGTTCCCTGCCACCTGAATCTGGACTCGGTCGACACCGTACGCGCTGGCTGTGCGATGGTCAACCAGTACTGGCAGATCAGTCGTCATTTTGAGCAGATGGGGCTGGATAATCTGCGCACCAGCAGCGCCGAGGCTACCCGTCTCTGTGACTTCCGCAACGTGTTGGTGATGCGACCGACGGCTGGCCTCGACGAGCCTGGTAGTGCCAGACTTTCGGAATCATTGAGTTCTCGTTATCCACTGGTCCTGATATGCGGCCTTGATCGCGCAGGTGTGACGGTCCAGGTGCATTTTGACTCGACGGTCCTCTCTCTCGAGGTGTTCGAGTCAGTCCTGCACACGCTCTCGCACACTCTCGCACAGGTCACGTCCAACCTCGAAACACCTTGGGCGAACATTCAAACCAGTAGCCCCGAAGATCTCCAGAAAAGCCTCGATTGGAACAAGCAGAGCGGCACTGAAACAAGCGGCGACTGCGTTCATCACCGGATCGAACGTCATGCTACCGAACGGCCGCTGGCACCCGCTATCTGCGCGTGGGACGGAGACTTCTCATACGGCGAGCTTGACCAGAGCGCGTCTTACCTTGCCCATCAACTCTGCCTTGCTGGGCTCACATCAGAAGGCCTCGTCTTTATTCTGTCGGAGAAGTCCAAGTGGACCCCCTTGGCAATCCATGCCGTCCTCAAGGCAGCAGGGGCTTTCTCGTTGCTGGATCCCTCGCAACCAACTCACCGGCTCGTCACGCTCTGCGACCTCGCGTGCCCTCACCTGATCCTGACCTCCCAGCAGCAGTACGCCAAGGCCTGTCTTCTCGGACCGAAAGTGATGATCATCCAGGAGATGAGCGCTGGGACTCCCGCCAGGGACCCGGTGATACCGTGGTTGTGGGAACGGATTAGGGTTGAGAGCCATCACATGCTCCATGTGGGCTTCACCTCCGGGTCGACAGGCACCCCCAAGGGTGTCGTCACCAACCACGCCGGCTTTACCAGCGGGGAGTCCGTCTCAGGGCTTGACAGCTCGTCCCGCGTACTGCAGTCGACATCGTACAACTTCAGCGCTTGCATGTGGGAGCACCTGGTGGCCTTGACCTACGGCGCCTGTCTGTGCATCCCATCCGAGGACGAGCTACAGAATGACATCGAAGGGGCCATTCACCGTCTCGGCGTCACCTGGGCGATGATCACTCCCTCCGTAGCGCGGGTGCTCGAGCCCACTAAGGTGCCCAGCATCCAGACCATGTTCCTGGTGGGCGAAGCGATCGGTCGGCTAGAGGTTGGGAAGTGGGCGCCTCACGTCGCCCTTCACTCCATGTATGCGCAGTCCGAGTGCGGGAGCCCGATCATAACGAAGCGGATCTTCGAGCCGCAGGACCTGTCTACGGTGGGATTCCCCGGCGCGGCGATCGGGTGGATTGTCGATGCCCAGGACCACAATCGGTTGATGCCGCTGGGCGCCGAGGGGGAGCTGGTGCTTCACGGGCCGTGTCTGGCTCGGGGCTATCTCCACAACCCCGAGCAGATGCATGCCACCTTCATCACATCTCCGGCCTGGGCAGAGCAAGTCGGATGTGCCTCGACCACGCGGTTCCTGAAGACGGGGGATCTCTTCTCGCGCAGCCCGGTGGACGGGTCTTACCAGTTCCGCGGCCGCAAGGGCGGCAAGGTCAAGGTTCGGGGCCAGAGGATCGAACTGGCCGAGGTCGAGTACCACCTGCGCGCCCAGTTTCCGGAGGCCTCCCATGTCGTGGCGGAGCTCGTGCGTCCCCGCGATGCGGATTCGCAGTATGGCATGCTCGTGGCCGTCATCCCCGTGGCGTCTGCGCGGCCTGGTGGCGGAAATGCTGCTGGCCAGTGCCAGCTCCTGCCCCCCGATGCAGCGTTTCTGGCTCACGCACGACGGGCTTTGGACCAGATGAGCGAGCTGCTGCCGTCTTACATGATCCCACACTCCTTTCTCCCGGTGGCCCGTCTGCCGCGCACTGCGTCCGGGAAGATGCACCGCCGACTCTTGGTCGAGACCATCTCCCAGCTCTCTCGCAAGGAGATCGTGGCGTACATGACCGTCTCCAAGCTGTATCGCCCTCCGAGCACCGAGAGGGAAGCACTCTTGCAGTCGCTTTTGGTCAAGACACTGTCCCTCGACCTGGAAGAAGTCGGGATGGACGAGTCATTCCTCAGTTTGGGTGGTGACTCGCTATCCGCGCGGCAGCTCGTAACCCTGGCGCGTGGCGAGGGACTCGGCCTCACGGTGATCGACTGTCTCCAGCAGCCCAGTCTAAGCTCTCTCGCCGAATGCGCGAAGACCAGTCACCCAGAGCCTGTTGACCATACCCCAGCAACCGCGGAGGACGACCCCTTCAGCTCGCTGCGCCACGACTTCTTCAACAATCTGCCCACCCACCTCACCGCCGACATGATCGAAGACATTGCTCCGGTCCGCGAGACGCAGCTCTTTCTCGTGCAGTATCAGATCCTCGACTACCTCCAGATCCGGATGACTGGCCCGCTGGACCCCGTCCGACTGCGCCGGGCGTGCGAAGGGCTGGTGCAGAGCCACTCCATCCTGCGCACGATCTTCCTCCCCTTCCACACCGAGCACGTTCAGGTCATCCTGCGAGCGGTCGAGGTTCCGTGGCGCGCCGTGAGCCCGCCCACCGCCGGCCACGACGCTGACCTCTGGGCGCACGCCGTCTGCGCCGAGGACCGCAGCACCCCGACGCCGCTCAGCGGGCCCTTCCTCAAGTTTATTCTGTTGCTCGATGGCCCCCGGCAGCAACACACCCTGATCGTCCGCATCAGCCACGCGCAATTCGACGGCCTGTGCCTGGACACGCTCCTGGGCGACCTGGCCGAGCTCTACGGCGGGCAGAAAAGCAGCCCGCTAACCATCCCAACCAGCTACGCCGACTTTGTGCGCAAATGCGCCACGCTGCGCACGCCGCCCGGCCTGCAGTTCTGGCGGGCTCTCCTCGCCGAGTCGACCCCGACCGAACTCCCGCTCACCCCGTCCACCGAGCACCCGCACCAGCAGGAAACGTGCATCGTGGCGACGCAGGACATCCCCACGGCCCTGGCCCCGCCCGCCGGGACCACCTGGGCCACGGTCGTGAAAGCGGCGTGGTCGCAGGTCCTCCGCGAGCGCACGCGCCAGGCGGACGTCACCTTCTGCCAGATGGTCAACTGCCGGTTCGTGGACGTGCCCAGCCCCGAGCGCATCGTGGGGCCGTGCCTGAACCCGGTGCCCGTGCGCGTGCGCGCCGAGCCGGCCTGGACGGTGCGCGAGCTGCTGCAGGCCGTCCAGGACCAGCACGTCGCCTCGCTGGAGCACCAGACGCTCGAGTGGGGCGACCTCGTGGCCCACTGCACGGCGTGGCCGCGCGACACCGCGATCGACTCGATCGTGCTGCACGAGAATATCAACGCAAGCCCCGTGCGGACCGTAGACAAGGACGCCGTCTGGCGGTTGAAGGCCCACAGCGTGGACAATCCACCCGAGCGCACGATCTACCTCTACACGTATCCGCAGCCGGATTCGCTGTACGCGGTGCTGGTGCTGTCTAGTGCGGTGGGCAGTCAGGCCGAGGCGCAGCGCCTGGTGCAACGGTTCGGCGAGGTGGTAGGGTTGTTGGTACATCGGCCGGGGGCGCTGCTCTCTGCGTTGTGAGGCTCTGGGTTGGGTGTTATATCTAGATCTAGAGTTTGGTTTGGTATATAGTATATGGTATATGGTATATTGTATATTGTATATTGTACATGGTAAATGACCCTTCCCCCCCCCCCCCCCCGGGACCCGTTGTTTAGTTGAGGGCAACAGTTTTCTGCATTGATGATGGCGAATCCTCTTGTCTTCTCCGGATCCAACATACGTACTATTTCTATTCAGTCTTCTTGGTCAGACCCGTTGCAATATGTGATAAACTTCATTCCAGTGGCATTACTGAACCCCCTCAATACGGATATGGGGATGCGGGGAAAATAGACCGGGGAAGGGACTAACTACTCCCAAATTAGACTAGTTTATTGACTATTACCATTGACTCCTCTGTATTGTTGTTCCCTCTTAGTACCCTTTAATAACCTCCCTCACAAGCCAATTCTTTCCGTCAACGTTCCATTTCAAATCCACTCTCTGCCGAAACCATTCACATACCCCAATGTCCCCCACAACCAGACGTAGAACTCGTCTAATCACCGGCTGGTAATGTCCTCGCCCTCGATACAAGGCAATCATTCAGCTAAACAAAGCTAACAAACTCGCATCAGCCAACGATGCAGGGGTATGTTCAAACTTAACGCCTAGGCTACTGGTTTCCCTTCAAAGATTGTTTAAGTATACTAAGTGTTGCGACATTACTGTTGATTCCAGCCCGGCACCTGAAGTGTGAGTCCATCCACACACAGGAATCACAGCTCTGATGCTTAACAATCCCCCAGGCGACACCAATCTACCCTCCTGTGCGCACTGTCAACACGCAGGCATCGACTGCAATAGAGGCTGCAACGTCCGCTTTCGAAGAGGTCTAGATCTTCCCATGGAGACGGCGATTGCTTTTCCCGGGCAAGATCTGTGGCCGTCTGTGATGGGTCCTGGTAAACGTTTCCCCTCCTGGGCAAGCAAAGAAGATCTTGTTCTCACGGTCATTGATAGTCGAGTTCTGGGATGAGACCGAGGCCATCCAGCAACTGTATGAGGTGGTTCCGTCACCACAGCTCTTGGACGAGGATTGTCGGTCCGGGTGGTCGCCGTATGATCTATCATCTAGCCCGTTCACGAACGATCCGAGCCCAGGCCATCCCGCTTGGCCGGCGCACAGCGGCCACCGATCAGTCGGCGTGAGCGCCGGACAGAGCAGTCACGATAGTGGGCCGGTGGTCGTGAGAGCGCGGGGTTCTGTGCGCCCCAATATCGGTCACTCAGGAGCCCTGAGCACAGACAGTCCGCCAAGCAGCAAGCAGTCAAAGACGCAACAACCGTCGTTCAGCGCCCGGGAAGCGATCTTGATGCGTAACTTTGTCGAGAACATGGCGTTATGGGTGAGTGCTGCGAAATATGCAGGCTTTTTCTAGCAGGTCGCTGATGCTCCGCGGATCATGCACAGGCTGATATCACCGATCCCGATCGGCATTTTGAGACCGATGTGCCGGTAAGGGCTGTCCAGGAGCCGGCTTTGCGCTCTGCAATCTTCGCCTTCTCCTCGCGACACATTGACAGACAGCGCAAAGTGGATGCGTCCGAGGCTCTGCGATACCATAACCACTGCCTACAGCTTCTGATTCCCGCCCTGTCTGGCTCGAGAGCGGACATCACCGATGTCGTTCTTGCTACAGTTGCAATTCTGCGACAGCATGAAGAAATGGAGCGTATGATAAACAGACCAGTGACGGCTTGCTCGGGTGGCTGACAGACTCCAGCTGATGACAATCTGTTTCATTTGACGGGTACGGCGCGCATTCTGAACACAATATCGTCCTTCGGCTCGTCGGGCGGGCTGGGCGAGGCAGCCGCCTGGCTCTGTCTCCGTGAAGACATCTACATCTCGCTCATCTCCCACAAGCCATTACGGACAAACCTCGAGAGCTTCCACAGGTCCGATGTCTTCGTGAGGAATGACGACTTTGCATGGGCAAGTCGGATGGTCTTTCTGCTGGCTACAGTCCTAAGTTGCGCGTTCAATTCCTCTGGTCGTGAGGCCTCTCTGGATTTAAGCGGGCTGCAGAGACTGGCACAAGAAGTGGAAGCCTGGAACGATTCGAAGCCTGCCTCTTTCGACGCGATACACTCTGTACCACGCGGGAAGGCGGTTTATCAGCGATTTCCTGAGTTCTGGATGTTGCTGCCAGTCCACGGTGAGGGCGAAAGAACAGTAGTGTGAATGCGATATAAGCTGACGCAGTGTTCACTTTATAGTCGTTGGGACACAGTACTATCATATCGCAAGGATCGTCCTAGCAGTCGCCACTTGCCCCAGTCCCGCGCTCGTTTCCCAGAACTTCCAAGTCTCCAGACACATAGAGGTTCGTTGATTCTCGACAGGATCCAAGACCGGCCTTCCTGATTCTGTGCTCACGGTCAAGAGCAGAAAGTAGTCAGACACCACCTCTTCATGGTCCTTGGCTTGGCCAAGTCCAATCCCAAAGCCGAAAATACGCTTTTCACCGCGCGTCATAGTCTTGTAGCGTGTGAGTACTCCAGCAAGCTGTTTAGGAGACCGTTGATTCCCACAAATTGACTTCCATATACAGGGGGTTGGGTCATTCGACGTAGAGAGGATCAAGAAGCTGCCGAGGCTCTTTTACGCGAGATGGAGACTAGGACTGGCTGGGATGTTGCGCAGGCAATTCAGGCTCTACGGGAGCAATGGGCCGACGATGATTCTGACTGCTGACACCAGACTTCGGTTTGCGGGCATGATACACCATTTTGTTTCACCGAATTCTGAGGTCAGAGCGTGCTTCACCTGCACGGGAAAAAGGCGGTCACGGGGATGGGAATCTCAATATATGGAGATCAACATGGCAGACTCGGGATCGTTTCAACCCGATTAGAGGGTCCTTCCTACTCTCATTCGCTCCGAGCTCATGCAAATTTAGGTTAGCTGCCGCTTACGAGAGCCAACCCGAAGCTTATTGAGCCGCGGTGCCTACAGGAGGTTTGCCATGACATTTCGCTGATTGGGGACCAAATGCTCCGTCAGGACCAGTATCCGCGACATTGGCCGAAATTCTCCTACCGATAGCTCATATCTTCGCCTCCGTGGGGAGAATTTGCTTCCGTCTTGCAAATCGAATCACTTTGGTCTCGTGTGTGTTGATCAGGACAGTGGAATTGGCTCTTATGCAAGACGGCACTCCTTTTGATTTCAGGGTCCAGTTCTAGCGGTGAACGGTATGGAGTACTTTGCCAGCAATCCCCGATGAAATCATCCTATAATAATAGAACAGAATGCGCTAACATCCTTGCATGCTTCTCGAGCCTGTAATGAGTTGTAATGCTCTGCAAGACGACGCAAAGGATCGATCAACGGCCCTGATCATTGATCAACTTTGATATGTTTTGGGCGAGCAGAGAATGGGACCCTGCTTTCCATCATCCATCTCAGGCCCATACACCGGCTGTTCAGAGCAATGACGTCTCATCCACGTGGTACCATAAATCAGCGCAACTTTATACCTGCAACGCCTGATATCTCAATGTGACCCTGCCAGGTCTCATTTCTGATTGCTTCCGGCTTGACAACTGGTTATCTGCATTGACAGTCTCGAGCAGCAGCCCACGCATGTGAAAACAAAGCAAAACCTTGCTCAAGATAAGACATCTCACTTGCTCAGCATAACAGCTACTCACCGTGTTTCCTTGATCTAGCGACCGAGGTAAACTTACTTTCTTCGTCACACTCGTGAAACCAAGCCGGACCCCTTTTCCCTCTGACAGCCCGATGCCGTTCTTTCGCAAGCAGAGACGAGGGCCTTTGATAACCCCATCGCTGCCTGATCACCAGGACAGCAAGCCTTCAAAGACAGGAAGCCACTCGATCCGTGCACTTTTCACCGGCAAAAAGACCCGGCCTGCAGCCCATCCCAGTCCCACCACTCCAACGCTACCCAACGGCAGCGAAACAGGTATAGGACCAAACACCACCGTCAACACTCAGGGAACATTCTCAATCTCATTCCACCCCAAGACACAAACCACACTCTGCTGGCAGAACATCGATCCTCCGGATGATCTACTGGTTTCTCTCGACGAGAAAGCCCTCGAACAGCAATTCCTGTTAAATCGATCCCGAACCACTGAGATGATCGATACCAGCAGAACCACGTCCCCCAAGTACACGTCCCCGAAGGTAGCGGCGGCGGCAGCAGCAGCAGCAGCAGCAGCAGCCGCCGCCGCCTCCCTCCTCCCGGGCTACAACGACGTGAGCGGCTCCGTCATCGTCGACTGGAACGGGTATCCGCATTTCCTCTCTCCGCAGGAGGAAGTCGACCGAAAACTACAGCTGGAGGCAGCGGTGCAGGAGCGGATGTTGGGGTTGCCGAGGCGGACGGATTTCGCCTGGGAGCGGCCCGGTGCCCACCAGCAGGGTGGTCATTATGCTCCTCCGAGATATACGCCGGCAAGCTCGAAGTCCGGATCGCGGTCCTCGCATTCGAGTACGAGTAGTAGTGGGTCGTCCGCTCGGAGGTGATGGGACGCTTTGGGGGGTTCTGGACAAGCAGGACAGCGACTCCGGGACGACTTCGACGTGCATTTCCACAGATTCGTGATCGTGGATCCGCTGATGATGGGCGAACGGGGATGAAAGGCACTTCTCGACTCGGTTTGCTGTAGCCTGAGAGCTTAGCCTCGGGTTGCTGATTTATGATTGACGACTGACGACTGCGTGGGACGAGATATGCACGATGGATGGATGAGCAAGAACAAGAGGAGCAAGAAGAAGAACGATGATGCTGATACTGAGTGTGGATTATGATAGTGACGATGCCGGCGATGATGATGATGATGATTATGATGATGATGATGATGATGACAATGCGATGATAATGTTGGGCCGGATTGATGGCGAAACGGAAGGCTTTTATTGATTTCCAATCCAATGCGACATGATATATACAGTACATCCTTTTTTTAATGAAACCTCTAAATGGAAATAAAAAAAATCGAGTATCTATGCTATGCCACCAGCAACAAGGACTAGTTCCGGAAGAGTCTCAACCCACCCTCCTCACGATCGACATCACTATCCTCACCAGCAGCATCCACATCTTCATCTTCATCCTCCTCCCGTAGCATGCCGCTGGCCGTGTTCCCCAGCAACGAAGCAAAGAACTCCTCCCGGGCGTGGCGGGTCCACGCGCCGCGGTCCTCGGGCGCCATGAAATTCTGCAGCTTCTCGTGGATCTCGAACTTCATCTTGCGGCCCTTGGAGGCCCGGGTGTCCACGTCGCGTTTGACCTTGTCCTTGCGCATCCCGGTGACCGGGTGCACGGCCGACAGCCGCGAGGGCAGCTGGAGGTGCAGGGTATCGAGGCCGTTGGTGATGGCGTCCGAGGAGGAGATGCGCTGCTCGACCAGCTCGCGCAGCAGGGTCTGATAGAAGACGGTGTCGTCGTAGAGGGGTTCCGCGGGCTCGTCGGGCTGCTCCGCCGCCGCTTTGGTCGTGGTCGTCGACTTGGTGCCGTTGGTAGTAGTAGCAGTGCGGGCGCGCTTCACGGCACGGAGCCCGGCCGCCGTCTCGGTGGCGACCTGCGCGTCCAGCACGGTGGAGATCGTCTGCGAGGCGCTGGAGGCTGACAGCAGCTTGCCGCGCGCGTTGGCGGTGGTCGCGGCGGTCGCCCCGCGGACCTTCTGGGACCACTTGTCGAGCACCGCGCGGCGGTGCGCCAGCGACTCGGCCTCGAGGGCCGTCATGCGCTTCCACAGCGAGGCGGACGAGGTGGCCGGCGTCACGGGCGCCGGACGCTTGCGCTTCTTGCTGTCGTCATCCCCCTGCTGCTGCTTGTGGTGCGCGTCCGCCAGCGCGAGGCGGAGATCCTCGAGGGTGGACCACAGCGCCAGGGCGGCGGATTCGGCGGATTTGATGGCTTCGCCATCCAGAGGCTCGGGGGTTGCGTCGGCGTCGGCATCGGCATTGGGCGTGCTCTTCTCGTCGGTGGTGGTTGATGCTTGTTGCTGAGCGGCCGCGAGGGAGAGCTGGTTGATGACGGTGAGGCCCTTCTGGAGCTTGATGCGCGTGTTGAGGAGGGCGTCGAAGGTGGCGCGCTGCTGCTTGACGGCTTTGCCCTTGGCGGCGTCGGCTTTGGCCGCCTGCGAGATGGTCGCGGCGATGGTCTTTTGGTCCGAGGCCATCAGTTTGCGCAGTTCCTCGCGGTCGTCGGTTTTGCCGGTGCGGCGGGGCTCGTCGTCAGAGGCGTCGGAATCGTCATCCTCATCCTCGTCCTCGTCGTCCTCATCGGATGGGAATTCATCCTCATCTTCGTCATCCTCCTCGTCATCCTCGTCCTCGTCCTCGTCCTCAAAACCGTCCATCTCGTCCGACCCATCGGTATCCATGTCGTCGAAGCTGACCTGCTTCTTGGCCTTCTTTCCGGCACTCTTGGCGGGTCGGGCAGTCTCCTCCTCGCTTGCTTCGTCGTCGGAGATATCCTCCTCGTCTTCGTCGCTGCCTAGCTCCTCATCGTCTTCCTCCTCATCTTCCTCATCGCTGGACCGGGCCGCGAACGGATCGTCATCGCTCTCGGCCTCGAGCGCCTGTCTGCTAACCTTCGAGCCGGCGTACTGTTTCCCCAGGGCGACGGGATCCTGTTTGCGAAGCTTTCCCTTGCTGGGACAAGTTAGCGCCGCCCTCATTCAACCCAGCGATCACAACACACGACTACCCAAAATAATCCATGATAAACATCCTAGAAAAGGAAAAAAAAACCTACCCAACAGCCTGATAATGCTCTCGTCCCGCATCAGCATCCACCGCCTTTCCTCCCTCCTCATCGCTCGACTGAACACCGCGATCGAGATCCTCGGGGTCGAAATCTGGAATTGGGCGCAAAGACAAGTCAGTCAGACCCAAGGACAGACAACTCAACCTCAAAAAGCAAGGAAAATAAAAACAAACCTCTAGGAGTAGGATCCTCCAGCTCAGCGAGCTGTTGCGCCAGCGACTTGGGAGCCATAACGAGTGCAGGGACAGGGTACAGCAAAACAACGGCCTAATAGTTTCTTAGTTGCTTCTGTTTCCGCGCCAACTTTTTTTTTTCTTGTTCTGCCCGCAAAATTTCGGGATGCGGCCACGGGAGAACTAACTCCTTCAAGCCGGAAAGCAACCGTGGAAGGCAGGTTTGACCGGCGGTGAAGGACCAAAAACCGGGCAGTATCCTCGATCTTCCGTCAATAATGTTGGATTCTCACCGCCGACAACCCATTTCGCATCGCTTCCACTGTCATCATGTTGGGGAAGAGGTTCTTCTCGACCGTTCGGGTGCTGCAGCATGATAACCCTTTGGTATTTTCCTTTTCCCACTCTTCTTTAGAAGAAGGTTTCTCGTCTAACCGCGTGGTGAAAATGGTAGGGCCTCCCACGCTCGGGCACTCCGCCCTCCCTCCGCAGCCGCCGGGGGCTGCCCGAGAAGCGCAAGATCCGGGATGTGAAGAAGGTGATTGCCATTTCGTCCGCGAAGGGGGGCGTAGGGAAGTCTACGATCGCCGGTACATCTTCCTCTACAGCGCATCAACCCAAACAAAAGAAACTGAAGTGACATGGTCAAAGTGAACCTCGCGCTCGCGTTCGCGCGGCGCGGCATCCGCACCGGAATCCTGGATACCGATATCTTCGGGCCTTCAATCCCGACGCTGTTGAATCTGAGCGGGGAGCCCAGGCTGGATGAGAGTGCGTTTCTGTTCCCGCTCCCCTTTCTCTCCGCCGAACAAAATCCACCCCCACTAACCCACCACCGCTATACAAAATAGATAACTGCCTCCTCCCGCTAACGAACTACGGCCTCAAATCCATGTCGATGGGCTACCTCCTCCCCCAAACACAACAAGCCCCGTCGTCGACAACAGACCCCGTCCCGATGGACAGCACCCCAATCTCCTGGCGAGGCCTGATGGTCACGAAGGCGATGCACCAGCTGCTGCACAGCGTCTCGTGGGGCCCGCTGGACGTGCTCTTCCTGGACCTGCCGCCGGGCACGGGCGACGTGCAGCTGACCATCAACCAGGAGGTCGTGCTGGACGGGGCGGTGATCGTGACGACGCCGCAGGACATCGCGCTGCGCGACGCCGTCCGCGGCATCGGCATGTTCCAGCGCATGGACGTGCCCGTGCTGGGCATGGTGCGCAACATGGCCTACTTCCGCTGCCCGAGCTGCGGCACCAGCACCGAGATCTTCGGGCACGGCCACGACCACCTGCGCGGCCGGGAGGACGAGTGGGGGGTGCGGGCGGAGTGTCGCCGCCTGGGCGTCGAGTTCCTCGGCGACGTGCCCCTCGACGGGACCGTGTGCAAGGATGCGGATCGCGGGGTGCCGACTGTCGTCGCGGAGGAGGGGAACCCCGACAGTGGGCGGCGGGCGGCGTTCTTGGGGATCGCGGAGGAGGTGGCGCGGAAGGCTGGGGTGCAGTGGTGAGGGATTTCACTTTTTTCCAGGCCAGGTAAAGCGAAGGAGGAAAAGGGGGGTTGTTGTATTATATGGTCTCTTTTGGTTCAAGTGTGTATATATACCCTGGCAATTGAGTATGATTCTTCAAATCGTTTGAATTGATTGGTAGTAATGCTGGATATAGATGGAATTTGCTGCGTCTTGAACAAAGAAACCAAAACTAGAAGCGCGACTATGTAAAGCTGGGTATAACGACCGACAGACCTCCCAAGAAACCAAAGGAAATGGACACGGGCCATGCTTATATACATCTCGTGAAGAGGAGAAATCACCTATTCAATACAACGACATCAACCCTCAGTGCGCAACGTACTCCTCCGCCGTCTTGAAGTACTCCCGGTCAGGCAAGCCAGGCCGCGGCGTCGACTCTGCCTCGTGACCATCAGGACCAAGCCCCGGGGTACCCATCTCACCATCGCCAAGCTCACTTGGCAGAGCCTCGAACGAGCGATACGCAGATTCGTTATCGCTAGCTATGCCCAGCACTCCCTTGGCATTGAGCACAGCACGGGTACTCGCTGCATCGAGTCCATTCGTGGTCACGGCCAGAGACTTCTCGTCGCCGATTGTGCTCGTATCCTCCGGCGGCTCGGTCGTGAGCCCACTGCGGATGGTGCCCGACCCGGCATTGGACGAGGCCCGGTGTCGCAGTCGTGAAGCCCAGTGAGAGTCGCCTGTGTTCGGAAGAGCGCCCGCTTCATGGAAGAGCGCGCGGGTGCTGGCGTTCTCTTCTTCGAAGTTCTTTCCCTCATACCCCGGCAGGACGAGCATGGGGGTGAAGCTCTCAAGCGAGGGGGCTTTGGTGTGTGAGTTCGCTGATTGATCGCGCGTATCATCATCTTCCTCGGATGGAACCTTTGTTCCCGACGAACCACCCCCATTGCTCAGGCCATTCGACTGGGGTTTGTTGGAGAAGTCCTGCACGGAGGCGCCAGTCACGGCGGCGGCGCGCTGGGTGGCGGACGCGTTCTCGTCCGTCTGTTGCGCGGCCTCTGCCTTCATCGACGCTCCCGCTTGGCCGGCATCGACGCTCGTCCGTGTGGAACGGTCGCCCCTCAACTGTTCTTTGACGACGGTGCGCTCGTCATGCTTGCTGGCCATCTTACTCCACATAGTCATCGGGTAGCTCTTGCCGCCAGTCCTGGAGGGCAACACGCGCGGGACGGTGCGCCGGGCAGCCAGGGAGCTCGGCGGTGGCAGCTCGCCTTGGAAATTCTGGAGTCCATACGCCAGCTCCTTCATGCGCTGTCGTTGAACCCGGAGCTTCTCCTTGGCGAACTTGGTATCCCATCCCTTCTTCGCAGACAGCCACTTGCGCACGAGCACGGGGTTGAATACTCCCACTTTGGACGGGGGGATTTGGAGCACGGAGCACGCCGATGGGGGATCCAAGGGGTATACGTTGCCCTTCTTATCCACTCGCTGCCGGATCATGCGGTCCTTGAACGCGGGTAAGGGGTCCCCAGCCTTGCCAATGCAGTCGACAGGGGTGTGAGATTTCTCCGATTCTCTCTTGGTTGGGTCCTCGCTGCTATCAGTGTCGCTGGATACACCGTGATCGTCAAGAATCTCGACCTCCGTGTCTTGCGCACATGCAAGAGCCCAGGCGCCAAATTGCGCAATCGCCCGATACATGTACTTTGCGGGATGGGTGAAGCTGAGAGTCGGCGCCACATGACATAAGTCGTCCCAGACCTGGAGTTGAACGTAGGTTCCCTGATACTTGTGAAGGGTTTCCCGGTTGGGGTCATGCTCGTCGAGAAAAGCATCGCCAGGCGGGTATGCGGCCGGGTTGGCCGCCTTGTGGGCCACGTAGAATTGCTCATCCCTCAGCATCTCCCCGCCTCCACTTTGAATCAGCAGTGGAGGCAGTCCTCCGAGAGAAGGCTGGAAGATAGGGGACACGAGCGGGTGGGTCAGAAGTTCGTTGGTTGCATACATGTGAATCTGGTCCTTGATCTCGACCGTTTCTCCGTCAATCGGGATACTGATCTTCTCGTTATGAATCTCGGTGGACTGGCGATCCGAATTCGTGCGGTCGGCTTCGGAAGAGCTGCTCTTGTGTATCGAGTAACCCCTTTCCGCCGTCTCTTCGTCTCGACTACTTTGCTCGGGGACAGCATGGCTGGGCTTAGCCGGGTTCCCCTTGAGTGCTTTCTTTAGAGAAGCAAGCTCATCTGCGTTAGGGGGCGGCCACGCCGGAGACGGCTTGTGCATGAAGCCGTACGGAGGAATATAGTCTCCGGGATTGTCTTTGACGATGCTAGGGAACGAATGGGTCAAGTCCACCCAGGGTGAAATCAAGATAGCCCCCGCCGGCAGAGGAAGCCCTTGGTCGCGTAGGAGAACCAGCATACTTCGACCATTAGCTGCAGCTTGCATGATTGACCGGACCTCAAACTTACGAGAGAACCAGACCTCCTCCAGCAGAGTCACCGGCAAAGAGGATTTCCTCAGGCTTATGCTCTTTTAACAAGAACAGGTAGGCCGCCAGTGAATCCTGCATTCCACAAGGAAAGGGGAATTGCGGCGCCAGGCGATATTTAGCTAAACAGGGAATCAGCTTAATTCGGGGTGGACACTGGGACCTATCATCAGCTCGAAGACTCACTTGAGCACGGTCAGTAAGAGATGCTTCGACTCAAGGAGGACATAAAAGGCTTACCGTGCAAAGACCCTCCCCTTCAACTTCCGCGCATGGCGCTGCATCTGATACCGATGTGTATCCAAGCTGCCGAAAAAGTACGCCCCGCCATGGATGTACAGCATGATGCGCTTCTGGCTGGGATGGTCGCGATCTGTATGCTTCCGCTCGTTGTAGTCCTCCTTCATCTCGATCCATTCCGCCTTCAAGTCCTCCGCGGGGCCGCGCCACTGCCACCACTCTTTCCCGCCGACGCGGGCGATGCCCTTCGGGCCAAGCTGCTTGTTGATCGCATCAGCTGCGCCGAGTAGACAGTCCTCCGGCACGGTCACGGTTTCGAGCTTCACCCAATGCGGCGCGGGCACCCGCTGGCAGGTGAAGGTTTGGAGGTCTTCTAGACTATGCTTGGAGGCGTAGATGAGGAATTCGCGTAAAATGCGGATGCTTTCATCGTAGGAGATGTGGACGTTTGGTTTGTGGTGGAGCGATTTGCGGTGGAGGTACTGATGGCATGTGAGACGGGAGTCAGTTGGTCAGTTCGGGGAAGGAAGGAATCAACGAAAGGTGAAACGCGATGGAGCCATTGTTGGCAGCGGATGGGAAGGATGAATGACCCACATGAGAGATCAGGGTTTGGAGGACGGTCGGAGTGAGGGCCAGACTCAATGCGAAGGTATTCAGGGGCATGGTTCTGATGTGCTAGATGAGGAAGGAACAAGCCTCACAGAAGGTCATGAAGTCTTGAAGAACTGAAAGGAAGTGGGCGAGATATAAAAGGGCGGGGTCGAATGGAAGAAGGCTTCAGGAGGAGAGGGGGTGGCAGCGCAAATAAACTAAAGGGAGGGAGGGATAGGAAGCAGCGGAAACACAGGGAGACGAACGGAGTGGGCCAGGAACCGATCGATATAATCTTAATGGCTCAGTCAACCAATGTCTGGGAGGAGAGACAAGGGCTGGACCCTTTTGGGAGTAAATGAATGGCTGTGCTGTGAGGAACAACAACGCAGTGCATCATCATCATCATCATCATAATCATCATCCACTGATAGTCTGGTATGCATCCCCTTTGATTGATGGATTCCTCAGGCCCAGCCGAGGTCGGACTCATGATGTCATCACCGGCCACCGTCACACTAGTCCCATTGCGGAAGCTGCGTTGGCTCGATGGCAGTCGTTGAAACGCGCGTTCAGGCAAGAGTCGGTCGCAAACAGTCAGGCATCATGAATGTATAGTATCCAAGGTCGCTGGGTGCAACTTGCGACCGAGGGTGGTTTGTTCGTCGTTGGAGAGGTGCAGAGGGAAAGTTGATCTGTATGACGCCGACACGAGTGCGCTCCAGTAGCTTCTCCATTGGCCCACTTTCGCAGCCAAGCTTCTGATAAGGACCCCATTGCTGCGTCGGACGAATGGCTTGAGGCTTAGTCGGTGACCGCTATAGCTTCAGCTGGGCTTCAGCTGGGTCTCGACTGCTGGGTGGCTTGAGGTTGGGTTCTGTGTTGTCATACGTAGAAATCTGACAGCAGGAGGTTGTTGGACAATAAGTTAACATACAGCTGCACTCAAACCATCCTCACCGCCAGCCGCTTCTGCTCAATCGCTAGCATCACCTGACCATTTTTTGAGCAGTGCCAATGTCTGTGATCAGATGTCAACTTCATATCACAAGCATAAAATAGCTTCCATTGTGCGGAAAATGTATTTACAGAGAGATGATCCATGCCAATACAAACATCCCAGTCTAGAACAGCCGCCATGACGTCGCCATTAGCGGAATCTCCTCTCAGCATGCTATCTTATCGCGACTCCGACCAGAAAACCCACCACCAAAAACAATTCCCTTCCAACCACTCACTCTGCCACTTTCACCTCAACCTCCCACCTGAATTCACACCATCAGCACACACCCATTTTACAAGCCTGTACACGAATCACCCACCCAAGATGACGACAACAACAGCAACGACCCCCTACCCAACCACAATGAGAGCCTGGCTCTACAGCCACACCAACCCGACCCTCGAAGCCAACCTCACCCTGGAGCCCTGCGCCCGCGCGCCTCCAAGGCCTCTCAAGCCGTCGCAAGTCCTCATCCGCGTGCTAACCGCCGCCCTGAACCCAGCCGACTACAAAGTGCCCGCCATGCCGATCATCACGACGGCCCTGATCCGCAAACCCGCCAGCCCGGGCCTCGACTTCGCCGGCGAAGTCGTCGCCACCGCCGACAACAACAACAACAACAAATCGTCGTTCACGCCCGGCCAAATCGTCTACGGCACCCTCGACCTGCCCACCCAATTCGGCTCGTTGGCCGAATACCTCATCGCCCGAGAAGAGAACCTCCACCCGATCCCCGCGGGAGTCGAAGTCGACCACGCCGCGACCGTCGGCGTGGCGGGCATGACGGCGTGGCAGTCGATCGCGCCGTTCATCACCCCGGACACCGGGGCGAACGTCTTCATCAACGCCGGGTCCGGCGGCTGCGGGATCTACGCCATCCAGATCGCCAAGGCGCTGGGGTGCACCGTGACGACGACGTGTTCGACCAAGAACGTGCCGTTCTGCCGGGAGCTGGGCGCGGACGAGGTGCTGGACTATACCGCGGAGGATGTGGTGGCCGTTCTCAAAGCCAAGGGCCCCGTGTTCGACCACATCGTCGATCACATCGGCCTGCCGGCCGAGATGTACAACGAGTGCCATGCCTTCCTCAAGCCGGGCAAGGTGTTTGCGCAGGTCGGCGCGACCCGGTTCCCGACCTTCGCGACGCGGCTGCTGCGCCCCAGCTTCTTGGGCGGCGGGAAGCGGAGGTACCTGCCTATCTTCTGGAAGCCCAGGAAGGAGGATCTGGTCAAGGTGGGGGAGCTGATCCGGGATGGGAAGGTGAAGGTTGTGCTGGATAGTGTCTATGAGTTTGAGGATGCACCCAAGGCTTTCGAGAAGTTGCGCTCGGAGCGGGCGCGCGGGAAGGTGGTGGTGCATGTATCGAGTCGAGACTAGGAAACGATATGGGATGGATTGAGAGGTACAGATTCGCCATGCAACGCTTTCGTGTTCTCTATGTACAGTACGTTGACAATGATACCACGAGGGGTTCTACTCGAGCAGTCACACCCCTCGCAAACAAACAACCCCAAAAAAAGCCAATCATTTTCTTTGTTGCAAGAAGGTCATCGCCGCCACGGCCATAGCATCCACCGCCGTCTGCAGCGTAGGTTCAATGACCGGGGCGAAGAACGGCGAGTGGTTACTCGGCAGCTCGCGGACGACATCCCTCTTGACGGCATCATCCCAGGTGTCGGCATCCACGCCGCCAAACGTCCACATCACATACGGCGCGCCCACCGCCGTGGCCAGCAGCGAGAAATCCTCACTCGCGGCCGCGGGCTCCGACTCGACGAGCCCATCCTGGAAATAATCCCCAAAGGCACCCTTCAGCGTCTTGACCAGCTGCCCATCGTTGATCGTCGCCGGGGTGGAATATGTAAGCTTCACCAAGGGTTTCTCCACGCAACCGGCGGCCTCGCACTCGGCCTCGACGATCCGCCGGATCGACTCGACCACGCGCTTCCGGATGCCCGCATCATACGTCCGGACATTCAACTTGAGATCACAGTAATCCGGGATGATGTTATGGGCGTGGCCGGCCTGGATACTGCCGCAGGTGACGACGGCCATCTCGCCGGGCGTGACCTCGCGACTGACGATGCTCTGCAGCTTAGTGACGACGGCGGCGCCGGCGACGATGGGGTCGATGCAGGTATGGGGCGCGGAGCCGTGGCCGCCGCGGCCGTAGATGCGGACGTCGAAGGCGTCGGCGGCGGTGAGGAAGCGGCCGGCGCGCACGCTGACGGTGCCGGTCCGCATGCGCATGACGTGCTGGGCCAGCACGACCTCGGGCGCGGGGATCTTCTCATACAGCCCGTCGGCGAGCATGGCGCGCGCCCCGTCCAGCTGCTCCTCGGCCGGCTGGAAGATGCACACCAGCGTGCCGGCCCAGTGGGCGCGGGCGGCGTGCAGGAGCGCCGCGCTGGCCATCAGGCTGGCAACGTGCGTGTCGTGCCCGCACGCGTGCATGACGGGCCGCGTCACGCCCTCCGCGTCCGTCGTCGTCTTCGTGCTGGCGTACGCCAGGCCCGTCTTCTCCTCCACGGGGAGGGCGTCCATGTCGGCCCGCACCAGCACCGTGGGGCCCGCGCCGTTGCGGAGCACCCCCGCCACCCCGTGCCCGCCGAGGTTCGTGTGCACCTCAAACCCCAGGCTCCTGAGGTGCTCCGCGGCCGTCGCGGCGGTTTCCTGCTCCTGGCCCGAGAGTTCGGGGTTCTGGTGGAGGTGGCGGTAGATCTCCTCGAAGGGCTTGAGGTCCGGGCGGTATTTCGAGATGATGTCCTTCATGGTGGATGGTGCTGATGCTGTTGCGAGGAAGGGTGTTAGAGGTGATGGCAATTGGTACAGTTCAATGGATGAAAAGCGGGGAAATAGTGCAGTGGGTATGGTAGTATGTGGTGGGTGCTCACCTAGAATCTGCATTGTTGGCTGTTGCGGGGGCGGGTGGGAAGGTAATCAATGCTACTTATGTAGAGGGTGCAGCTGAGACAGCGAGTTGAACATGACAACATGACATTCCAGGTGAGATTCGGATTGTCAAGGATCGGCAGTCCATGCGAACCAGCGTTCAGGACGATTGCCGAGTAGAAGCAAGCGGGGAAATGTTCGATAAGCCAGACTGCTTACTCCAACTCGTCGTCATGGCCGATAAGCTCCGGTGGATTGGCGGACGGCGGAGCCGACCGCGAAACCCTGCCATTTTCAGCAACTCGGCAGTTTGGGGTAGATTGACTCCAGTGCTCGGCTATCTGCTTCTTGGCTGAGGGGCAACAAAGTGTAGTTAACTAAGAGCAAGGAGAAGGAGAAGTTTTGGCTGTTTAGTTATATCACAAGAAAAAAGATTGTTGGAGTGGAGGGAAAGAAAGATGGCAAAGCCAATCACATACCGAGACAGGAGGCTAAAAAAAAAAGCCAAAAAGGAAATGCAATTGCTCACACTCGGACTCGAACCGAGGATCTCAGCATTACTAGTGCTGCGCTTTACCATCTAAGCCATGCGAGCTGATTGGTCAATATGAATATCAATTGCATACATGACCCTGTTAACACATAACCAGGTTGCACCGCAGCTGCTGTTGTCCGTCTACTTCGCACAAGTGTTGCAACAAGACTGGAGTTGATTCTCAGCCGCATCAAGTCCATGGTTGTGTTGCAATCAAGCATCTGTCGCCAGCCTGGAAGGGAATATGCTGAATCTGGGTGGACAGAGAATGGAACCATTCATCACAATCATTCCGAGCCTTGAGGAAGCAACAAGGGACGGGCCTTTGGAGGCAATGAAACGCCAACTGTTGTCCTTTTCGGTTATCCAAACATTGTGCTCCAAGTATTTGCCTGTTCCAGATTGCTGACCGTCCAAGTTGAATATTTGCATGTTGATATTCTTGCAACGGGTTGGTAACATAGCATCGGAGATTCAGAGGGAATTGTCATAAGTCTAAAATTAATAAATATATGTCTGTCGTGCGACCCAGGGTCTACAATACCTCTTTCCGGCCAGAAGTACAGTACATCAATTCATCGCTTCAGACGAGACCCCTAAACCTTTCACAGCGTGAGACACCAGAGTAAGTTAGTCTCTAGAGTGATATCTTCAGAGTCAATAGTAAGTGTTCACATAGTGAATGATCTTGCTCAAGTAAACTCGCGTACAAGTGAATATATCTCCTCAAGGTGCAGAAAGTGATTTGAGATGCTCTACTTCTATAGTTAGGATGAACATCTCCTAGACCTCACCCTCACCTCCTCCACAAACTGAGATCCGTTCATCCTTCTGCCAACTCACAATTCTCTACCTCTACAAGCTCTTCCACCACACAAACCCCTCCACTACCAAAGAAACATTAACACAATGAACCTCTGCAACCTCACCCTCTTCTCCCTCCTCGCTGCCCTCGTTCACGCAGCCGTCATGAATCCCGTCGACGACCTCGCTGACCAGGCCCTGGATCCCGGAATCAACTACTGTAACCGGAACTGCGTCAGCAACGACCGCTGCCGCGGCAGATGCGGCGTGTGTGTGAACCACAAATGCAAGGCCAAGGAATAGTGTGTAATTCGTCCCTCCACAATTCAGGCCTGTGAAGATATATGTACTGACAACCGACCGTTCCTGTGCTTAACTGAAGCTAAATTATCCTCCGTGGTGTTCGTCCCATGTCTTTGCTAGGTATTGAACTCTCTGCCCCAGAGGGAGGCATAACCAAAGGGATCTTCGAGATGACTAGGTGCATGGTGCTCTGGCGTTGAGCCTTGGGAATGAGAGGGGATGTGTTACAACTGGTTTTTCACACAACGAAAATGCGATGGGCTGTTTCCTCTGTCTTCGGGGATATGGAATTCGAGATGGGTTGCTTTATACTGAACTGGGATATTCTGATCTGTTGGGGCGGATGTCGACCTCCGGCATTGTACTCTTCTCCCTCCTGGTTACTGAATGCATGTTACAGGGTGTCGACGGCCTGGACCGCTGGAGCTTGATTTCTGGATTGGAGACAAAATAATCTATCTCTCCACGCATGACATTCCCAACCCGCTGGATGAGTGTAGGCGGCATTTCCAACCGATCATAAAACAGCCCGTAAGACCGGACCGACAGGTTACATGCAGTCGGACACGATAGCCGTCACCACTAAGGCATGGGATCAGGTGGCTAGGACCCGTCGCCGGCCGGCGGGCGTGCAGCGGAGCTAAAGCAGGTACAGTGCCGAGGGAGAAAGGGCGCAATCCTGGGCCGCCATGTACAGGCGCGACGTACAGGAGTAGAGTTTGAAGTGCTTCATTACACCAGATGGTACTCAACATATGAGGTAGGCATACACCACAGGCTGTATTTATTGATTGGCGTTCTCGTCTACTACGTACTCTGACTACACTTGTGAGCAGCCATTCGCTTGATTGAAGGTAAAGTGGGTCCCGGTGGAGCTTCCGCACCGTCCACGAACCACACAAGGAAAAAAAAAATATACGCTCAACCGCAGTACAATGGCAATGTGCGAAGGGCAAAAAAGCAAAAGAGAAAGCCCAACGCGGGGGTTGAACCCGCAACCTTGAGATTAAGAGTCTCACGCTCTGCCGATTGAGCTAGCCGGGCTGTTGTTGTTGAAGGCTATGCTTGTGTACAGATCATGTATGCAACAAGCTTGACCTGCCGCCTCCTGGTGACAACTCTTCAGCTCGCAGGGGAGCACGATTGACGATGACGTTTACCTCGTGAGGTAAGAGAAATTCTGGAGCCTGGATCCCTGGTGTAAGTCAGACTCTGTCGCAGGTCGCGGCCAGGCGGTTGGGTGAGCAGTATGAGTGTTGTTTGTGCTGGTGTTTCCAACTGCTGATATATATTCCCACGGCGGGGATTGGTAGGTGAACCGATGATCGGGGGCGCACTTCTGATTTAGAGATCACCCGGGGTCGCAAAGGGGAAAAAGAAAAGACGAGATCGTTATCTCCCCGTGGCGACTACAGGAATCACCGCACAGCCTGACCTGCATCTCCCAGTCTGCCTTGGGGCAGTCAGTCCAGCATGGGCACGCGCCCATGCGATCATCGGATCGTTCGCATGCGGCGGCTTCTTGCAAAAGAACCCCCAAGGCAGCATCCGACAAAGCAACCTGGGTCGACGGGTTACTTGTGAACAGAATTAGTAATGCTTGTAGACGGGTGACTCTTGTATTATCGCGGATGTGCGAGGGCGCGAGTGAGGGCTGCGCAAGTTGATGACGACTTTGAGTCTCAGACAAGGAAAGCAGCCCAGGTGGCGAGCCATTTCCAAATAACACCCAAGGCCACCGCGATAGGATACGAGACACACTCAAGGGTCATGCCGCGCGGTACTTGAAACCAGGTTCCCTGCCACTACTCCTCGTAGCCCACTATCCACATCGAAGAAGGAAACAGCTCGCAGATAGGTAAAACGTGCAGGTTGCATAAATCTCGCGATCCAGAACTCGTGGTAGCAGGGATTACACCCAAGCTCAGTGGCATGTAGAGCCATATGGATGGGATTGGATGGGTAAGGAAAAAAGGGGGAGAAGAGAAACCATGACCAGTCGTCGTTGTCGCTTTGACGGAGGCTGAGTTCAGGAAGGAGTTTCTGGACCCTGTGCAAAGAAGAAAGACATGATCGAGACTAGTGTAAGGGAAACAGAAAGGTTTGGGTTTGGGAGTGGGGGGGGAGGTAATGGGGCTGAGACGGTTGACCCCCCTTAGCACATGGAAGTGCGGACGATCGACAGGTCGCTCGTATAGCGGAGAGTTGGCAGTCCGGATCCCCCCCTCGTCGGTCTTCACCCAGCGCTGTACTTGCGAGCGTTTATTGTAAGTATTCTTAGAATGCTAGAATTCAGCATGAGAGACTGATAGGGTATGCGATAATTGTAGACAGACCCGACGGCTTGGAACGGATGGATTCTATTGTTTTGAGTACCGCTCCGCGATGTTGACAGCGGCTGCGTAGCAAATGAGCGCGGGGACGGGTGCGGTTGAGCCATGAAGCGGGGAGAGCTGCTCGCCGGGCATACACAGACAGGGGATTTTTCATATCATGGAGGGTCAAGCCACAGTCCGTCGTCGTTCTTTCTGGTGGAATTATGGCGTCATCAGGAAAACAGAGAGATTCTGAGCAACAAAAGGCTTCGTGTTGGGAAGGTTGTTGAGGGAAGAAGAAAGATGACGAGGTGGCAGTTAGAGGATTGCGGCGCAGGAAACACGAGGGTACAAGCCACAGCACCAGCCATCCTTCAGTGACTCCGACAATAGATGATGATGACTCTCTCACTGAACTCAGTTCTTCCCCGACGCCTAGAAGGGGTATAGACTGTTGACTAGGGGGGGGATGATAAGACCCTGTCGATAAGTAAAGTGGACGGTGGAGACGCGTAGTCCGTGGCATTAGGGAGGAACTAACCCTATTCCTCTCCTAGTGTGTCCACCCGGTGCAGTCAGACAGTCAGATGAGAACAGCCAGGGAAGGGGAATGATCCTAACTTGACCGACTGTTATTGTCCCTCTCACCAATCAGCTTACAGTAATTCCATCCAAAAGGCGATCTTGTTGTGAACACTGCGTTTCCAACCGGGAAGTGGAGAATTGAACCTGGAAATGCACCGCCTTCACCACCAACACCATCATCCACTCCACTCCACTGCACCAGCCACAGTACTAAGTAGACACACAGAAGAGACAGCCTTACGGTCACCAGGCAGCACTTTCTCTAGGGAATTTTCTCCCATCAGCTGCCACACCCTCCTTTCCCATCGTTAATATTTTTATTATCTTTAATTTTAGATTATGACTGATTCCTTCTTAGCGTCTCCACCTGTGACCAGATCCGTCATGAATCCCTCCTGCAGCTCATTTTACCCTCTTTCATGGATGCCTTCCACTCAGTCATGTCCAACTATATAACCTCCTCTGCCTCCCCCCCTCTACTTCTCGATTTCAACTTCATACATCTGCATCCAGCTCTTCATCTCAGACCTACTACTAGTTATATAGCCACTCGCAAGACCACTTTGTCTGCGACCTACTCATTCAATCTCATTACTGCTACCCACCTATTCACGCAACACGTGCTCACCCAGAGCTCGACCTGACCCATCCGTCACACTGTCGCCCTTCAAGTCAACTCGATTCCTCTGGCCCCCTATCTACACCTCCATAAGAGAGTCTGTTCCCCTGCGATCCAAGCCTCGTCTCCGTCGCACCGCAAGCATGCCTCACCAGGTCGAGCAAGCCGCCGAGCCCGTTGTGCTCGTGCGGGAGCTGGAGGACGACGAGACATATGTCCTCAACAGCTTTGAGAGCCACGCCGGTCACTGCTCCCGTTGTGCCAACCCCCTTAAGACTCGCGAGGAAGACCGGTCTCTATGCAAGCGCGGCCACCAGTATGCCCGCGACGTGGCTGAATACCTGCGCAGCAAGAACGGCAAGATCTACTCGGTGGTCGACCTAGAGCGCAACCGATCCACACTGGTCAAGGTGCCTCTCAAGTATGCCGCTGCCCGTCAGCTGCTGCTAGCAATCGAGGACGGCCTGCGCGTGGAGAAGAAGTCAATCGCCGGCGTTCGTGCCTCTGCGCCCCCGGTCATCAGCTACGATGCTACCTATCCCGTGCCCCCTCGACGCACCACCACTCAGGACTACCTTCATCCTTCGCAGGCCATCATCGAGCGTGAGCCACGGACCCTGAAGCGTCACCGGACCATCATCTACACATCCCCTCGCAGCTCGCCCAGCCGAGGGTCACTGTACGAGGCTGATGCGGCCGAGCGGTATGAGCGCGTCAAGGAATCGTCCCGCATCTACCGGCCGACCGACTACCACCGTTGAATGAGCATAACGCACTGGCTTGGAAATAGTCATTACGGTCTTCTATCACGCGCGACACTGGATACCTGTCTGCTAGCTTTGATGCAGCCAAGAAGCTGTTACCACGCTGTCCCCCAAATTGAATCTGGTCCGCCGGCAAAAGGTTCTCATCAGACCCGCCGCGGCCTCCAGCCTTCCCATATCTGCCCGATCGCGTTGGATTTGGCAATGGAGAAAGCGCTCAGCGACTGCTGCACTTGCGCGTTCTTGCAGTGCACTGCATACGCCTGCAGATTCGAAGAGGATCTCGATTACTTTGTTTTTGGCATCTTCCTTTTCTGCGATCATCGCAACGATACCTTCCTATGTCTTATGTTTGGTATTCTTCGCCGGCTCATCCCGACTTCTCGAAATCAAGAACCACAAAAAAAAAAAAAGACAAGCTCGCCGAAAAAAAAAGCCACAAAGCAGAGAGAACAAACAAAGATGAGAATAGGGACGAAGAGAGAGAAATCTGTTGTGTGACCCTGCTTCATGCTGTCTACACCGGGGGGAAAGCGGAAGAAGCCCGCTCCAGGACGGGGGCATTCCAACTTTTGTTTTCTTGCTGCAGCCAAGATGTACTGTAACTTACTGTATGTTGCATGCAAGCAGTGACTCATCCGTCTCGGATGGCGGATTTGTGTGCTTAGTCTAGAGCACGATGGCTGCAGCTGACCTGCAGGCCGCGCCTTTCCTTTGTACTTTTTTTTTCCCTATTTTTTTCTTTTCTTTTCTAACTCGGATTTCCCTTAAGGAAACCGTCCCCTCCTTTGATCTTCCCATTCAGGGATTCTAGTTCATGAATTGAATTTCCTATGTCGTGATTGGTGGTTGCACGTGTCCAGCTATGTATGCAGTATGAATTAGGACTCGTAAATGATTCGCCAATTGAGAATATGTTTGATACCCGCAGACGAATAGTCTTCCAGAATGGGCTTAGCGTTTAGTGGAGGCTCCTTACACCCCTGTACATTTAGTGGCTTGAGACAAGGACCTTATTCTACGTATACGTATACGTAAATGATATGGAGTCTCTTCTAAGTATAGGTAGTTCTGCCGAATCGACAATTACCACTTCCGCTCGGGACGGACCCCCAAAAAGCAACTCGTACTCCGCTCGCTTGGCCCAGAACATCCTTCCTTCCTTCCCCCCTTGTGTCCACCGTATCTCTCTCCAGCAGAGCAAGCAAACAAAGGGCATCAATTCTCCGAGTCCAACAACATTCCCTGTCCGAGAACCACCGTCTGTTCCAAAGTAGAAAGAAGCTAGGCCTCACCGATGTCACGCTCGGAGATTTTTTTTTCTCGCCTTGCCGGGTAGCAAATCCCGCAAGCCGCGGGCGTGGACCTGGGATATCCGAATCTGTGATTCCGGAGGCAGAGTCGAGACGCCGGAGCTTTGCAGATACTGAAAAGTGTAAAGTGCGAGAATATGCAGCACTGCCCGCCCAGGGAGAATCATACAGCTCCGCTGCAACCGTCTAACCTAATTTAATGGCTTATGCATGCTGTCAATGTTGAGGAACCTTGTTTTTGGTTGTGTCTGGTTGATGCATAGCGGATGTCGGTAAAGTTGTCGAGACAAGACCAGACAAGACAAGACAACAGCAGCATTATGGCCGGAGAGATTTGAAATGATACTACAGAAGACGTGCGCTCAGCTACGCAAGGCGTGGGTCAGTTTTCTCCAACTCAATTGCAACTCATTGTTTCTAAACATAGACCCAAACTCGACCGCCCGCCCCCGAATTTCATTTCGACATTGGACTGTCCAGACTCCAGAGCGTGTCGAGTCTCCACCGACCCGCCAACAAAACCCATACAAACTTGATCTCCGACATAGCAACACAAGCGACATCCAAGTCTAGAACCAGTCTCCGAGGCGGTCTTGACTTGGCACCTTGGGTGGTGGTACGTGCCCAACAGAGTGGATCTTTCCCGGACCGTGGACCCAGTTCCCGGGATCCACTCCGACTGAGCTGTCATGCCTCTATACCGTCTCCATCCCTAGCTGAAAGTGCGTGGTGGTAATCTCGGGACTGCCATTGGGTGAATTCCAACAAAACTAAGGGGTGAGGCTAGATGGTTTCGAGTCCGTTGCTATTTAGTGCTATATTGGGGGCGACGGGGTGGTTAGGTAGGAAAGTCTGCACAGGAATTGTGGGGGTGGGTTTGCCTCACTATTTGAGTTTTATATTGATGGCTTGATGTGAGGAAGGGGTCTGTGCGCTGAGGTTGTAGATTTTGAGGGTTTGCGATATGGTTGGTTAGGTGAGTGTGGCTGGTGAGGGTGTAAAGTTGGGTATTGGGGTGAGGTGGTAGACTCATGGAATGAGGGCTATCGCCAGATGTGAGGTAGTGAAGGGGTGATGAAAGACGGATAAGCTCTTTTACATGGTACTCTTGAATGTAGAGGATGGTTGATTACTTTGGATTATGTTGACATGATGATTGCATTCACTTACAAGAATGCTTCCATGTTCGTTTTCTTCATACCTCGCCTTCCTCCATATATACTCCCTCTCGACTACCCTGCTCTCCCTTTGGCCTCAAAGATTGGTATCGGTATGATAGAACTCCATAAGTCTCTCCGAGCACAATTCAGATAGCTTGCAGCCAGAAAGCCACGCATGACTATCGGGGATTTATCGACCAGAGATGATCTCAGATCAATTGCCGTCGTCGACCCTTGGCTGCTCATCTGGTGAGCCAAGGAATAAGTCTACTGACCTGGACATGGCTCATAGCCCTAATGTTGTTCATGGGTGAGATTGAAGTACACCTATGAATCGAATGAGTTCATTCAGCTACGATCGAACTTTCAAATAGGCCCGCGCCGAGTACAAGCAACAAGCCCATTGTCTCACAGAATGTATACCCTTGGTTATCCAGCCAGCTAGGCTAGTAAACATTGCCATCTGTAGACCCCACTTCAGTGTGAACACCAGCATCTCTTAGCCCCTCCACATACTCCATACTTAGAAAACTCGGCGTAAAGAACCCGCCCTTCCCAGCCCGCTCTCCTCCGCTCTCCTTGCTCGTCCTCTCTAACAAGACCCTTTACTCTAACACAGGTCAACGGCGCCTTAAGCTCATATAATGCCCCCTCCCGCAGGAACGAAGCCTCGATAATTCCCTTTTCAGTCCTCTTTAAACTTTTTAACTTCACCTACAGCCCGATACTCCGCACGCTCAGCTCCCCTCAACACCTCTTGATCATGCAAGTCCCTGGCGCTCAAAGTTATGAGTTTGTGTAATAGACTCCTTTACAAGCGGTATCCAGAGCAATAGGTTAGCAATTTTGGTAGCACAATGTATGAAGATCGCATTCCACATCCCCTTGGTGAGTTCAACGAGTTCAATTTCTAGTTGTGTCGATAATCATGCACTCCGTAAACCCCTTGACCAAGTCAAATTTCAACACAGGTCGAGGGTTGGTGTAACGTACACCAACGCCGTCGGAGATCAGGTACTATACGTACCAGGCCATTCAATGGTTCTCCCAGATATTTTGCCATCAAAGGGAAGCTTCTGATCCCTAACGAGTCCGCAAAACACGAGAACTCAGCACATCCCAACCAGTTTCCTACTCTCTAAAAGACCAACTCTTAGTCCCATTGTGACTTCAGAAAGATCCCCCAAGCCCACCAGCCAGGGACTGCCGGTCAACTGCAGCCAACACACACCTTGCAGCAATCTCCGGCCGCGTCGGAACAACCTTAGCCCCCACATACGCCTCGAACTTGGCTTCGATGCCTTTCGCGCGCGAGAGAATCGGCGCCGGTACTGGGTCACGAATAACCATCAGGCACCTAACTGGACTACGGCCGTGCAGACAAGAAAGAAAGAAACATACACAGCGGCATATCACCCTCAAGCGTATCCACCCGCCCCGGACGAATCGCCATGAAGAGGATGCCTTCCCCCTCGTAAGCGGCATTGAGCTTGGCGATCAGGACATTGAGAGCGCCCTTGCTGATGGCGTACGGCGCGGCGTTGGAGAGGCGAATTTCATTGATCATGTCTGGGGTGCATCCATCAGTGTGTATCTTGACCACAGCAGCCGTTTTTCACTCTTTGTGTGTGTGGGCATACCGATATCGCCCATCCCACTGGATACCGCAACGACCTTCTTGATTTGGCTGCGCCGCACAAGGTCAAAGAAGGTTAGGGTTACATTCAGGGTTCCAAAGACGTTGACCTCGTTATGCTTTGCTGGGTGTCTGCGATGATGGTTGCTGGTTCGTTCTCGCTGGGTTTCCACTTCAGGGCCTTGTCATCAGTGACGTCGGCGACGAGGCCATGGACGTTGGTAATGTTGTCCGCAGCCAGACGGTGCTCGGCAGCCGCCTTGCTACGTATGAGGGCGAGAACGATATTTCCGGGCTTGGGGGCTAGGACCTTGACCAGGGCGTCCTTAAAGTCATGTTGGGGGATTGATGAGTGGGGGGGTGGGTGGAGAGGAAAAACTTAGGTGGCATATACTCCAAGACCTCGTGCCGCTCCGGTGATTAGGTAGCTTGTTGGCATATCTTGCTTGTGGCTTATTTCTCCCCAAATGTTCAGTTTTCCGCTAGGTTGTGTTCTATCCAGTACCTGTTACTTCAGGTGACACCTTGTATCTTGAGATAGCCACTGCTTTACATACATCTTTTTGAGTTGAGAATCGTCGCATCGGTGATTAGCAAGGACCACAAACCACACGCATGGAACCACAGATTATCAAGGTTGGTGAGGTGAGGTGTGGTCGCCATTCCCAGCCAGTCAATCTGCAACCCGGGGTACCGGGCTCAGAGCCCAAGGCCTCGGAAGTAGCTGCTGGTTGATACATTTTCTGTTTGAGCAAGGGATATCTATCCATACCTCGAGTTGCCTAGTGTTTCGAAGACTATATACCTTGGCTAGATTAAACAATTTTTGATTCGCTGTAGTGATCGACATCTGAGGCCTCTTCTTTGGCTTTCGTATGTGATTCCACCCGCAACCTCTCACCGCAAGAAGTCAAAAAGTCACAGAATAATACAAAAAGAAAATTCCCGACGGCACCGTAAAAAGCAGACGTGTACATATAAGGGGATAGAAAGCTTTAAGGTCTTCAGCCGCCATGTCCCATGCCCATGTCCATGTGTGTGGAGTCCATCTCCCTATTGATATATCGAAGCGAACAGAGTAAACACTGACAGTCTAGTAGACCGGCATGTTAAAAGCATCAAAATCCCAGGTCCACGTGTCCAGCGAAGTCTGGTCATACTCGCACCTCATCTCCGTGCCGTTGCTGTACCACATGGGACGCAGGGGCCAAGCGCAGATTTGCTGCTCCTGGCCCTCGAAGCTCCCGCTGAGCACGGTCCCGTTCAACGTGACGGGGACGAGGCCGCCTTTCACCCATCGAATGAGGGTGGCGAGGGAGGTCTGCGGGAACGGCCCGTTGGGCTGCAGGTCGTTGTTCATGCAGTGGGAGGCCCCGGGCACGAGGAAGAGGCGGTACCAATCGCCCAAGGCCGCATTGCTCGCGTTGTATGCCAGACCGGGGTACATAACGCGGCGGACGGACTCGTAGAAGTGCACGGAGGAGGCGGTGGGAATGCTTCCATCCTGCTCGCCGTGATAGTGCAGGATCTTGCCGCCTCCGCGGTGGAACGGGGTGAGGTCCGGCCACGCGGTGTGGATGGAATCCTCGTACATCTGCCAGCCCTGCTGGATCCAGTCACGGAGGGTGTCGTAGGTGACGTTGTCAAGGGACGAGAGGTTGTCCGCGTCAATGAGGTTCACGAAGCGGGCAACGTACTCGCCCCCGAACGAATTGATGTCCAGCCCCCACGCCCCGGTCGTGGTGTTGTAGGTGGACTGCGCGTCGTAGAAGAGCGCCCCCGGCTGGTACGAGAGGTAGACCTGGTTGCCCTGCAGATCCTTCATGCCCCCGAGGATCGTGTTGACGACCTCGACCGCCTTGGCGGAGATGGTCGAGTTCTGGGCCGGGACGTCTCCATCGGCCGCGCAGTAGTAGCGCTCTCCGATGGTGGAGTTGAGATCGAAGTGCAGCTTGCACAGGTCGGAGCGCGACACCACGCCGTCATTCCGGCCATCATAGCCATCGCAAGCCTGGATGGTCTGGTTGACAATCGCCTCGATCTCACACTGCGACGGGAAGTAGTTGAGGGTCTTCTCAACCACGTTGGCCCAGAGGTGGTAGACCATCTGGAAGGAGTAGCGGATCGCAGGCGCCCCGATGACCGCGCCGTCCCATTCATCCCCGAACCGCTGCACCTGACTCCATCCTTCCCGGCCACCCTCGGAACAGCTCTGATAGTAGGCGTAGAGCTTGTCGGTGTCGGTCATGTTGAAGAAGCGTCGGGTCAAGCTCTTGCCGATCGTGCTGAGTTCGTGGTGGGCTTGGTACCCGAACATGTAGACATTCTGGTGGTTCAGCGTGCCGTTCGCCAGAAGGAGAACTTCGTCGACCCCGGTGTCGAAGCTCCCAAAGCCTCCATCGGTGGAACCCGAGACCGCTCCATAGATGATGCCTCCGGGAAGCTGCTGGACTCCTTGGTTGATGTAGTAGTCCGCACCCTCAGTGGACAGATATCTCCGCTCAAACCTATCAGGCCGGGGGAGCCAGAAGCGAAGTTTGACGGTGTCGTTGCGGCCATCGTGCGAGTAGGCGAGCGTCACGTTACGGTAGTCAATAGTCTCCGTTGGAAAAATCGCGGAGCCGCTCGTCGTCGAGTTGTAAACCGGACTGGCCTCGATGAAAGAACGATCAAGGGTGATCCCAGGATACACGGAGTCGGACGGCAACTTGGATTTCACGTAGATCGGAGTGCACACATCTTCCAGAGAGATCGCTTGCACGGCGACCACAGCTGAAAGCGTAGTAGCAAGTAAAAAACGCATCATGGCTCAATTGTTCTGATGCAACCGCCAGTGCCCTGCAAAGTGCCCTATGAAACAGGGGAGAGTCCGCCCTGTTTAAATGATGACCGTAGAGCCATGACTGGTTTCTGCAGGTATAGTCGTCTGTGATCGTCTATAATTAAGATGATCTACAGTGCAGAATGGGAAATTACAGTGGATCATGCTACGTATATGTCTATGCCGCTGGTCCGCAATTCACCATGCCCGGGGATGAAGATGGAAGACCCGGAGATTCCAAACCACCAAAGCCGAGCTGTCGGGCACAAACCACCAATCAGAAGCGGCAGAATCCGCCCATCCTCTCCACAGCTCGCAAAGAGGGCCTTGAACAGGAAAGGTACTGTGCATAGGTACAAAGCCCGAGTGTGAGATGATTGAACTTGAAACTAACGAAATCAGACTGATAAGATGCGGTAGGTGGAAAGAAAAAGAATATGAAGCTGGGATACCCCCGTCAATAACTCTGACTCTAGGGACACCGGCCCCAAAGTTCAGTATCAATTTATTCATGAATATTTATCATGAGAACAAATCCAACAACCAACTCGTGTCTCCCAAGTCATCAAAGCTTGCCCTTTGACTTCAAATTCACATCGATTGAAATCTTCTTTCCAATCCCCCTCTCCTGCAACAGTCCTAGTACAAGAGCTTACAACTCCAGCTAGTGGGCTCATCCGGGTTACCAGTCCCGTTGTACTGGGCCTGGTAGGGGTAGTGGCACACGGGGCGCTGGCGCAGGACCTCCGTTGCCGTCGTGTCGTTCTTCCACTTGGTGGCAATGATACTGTCCGGGGCGGTACCGTTCTCCACCCAGGCCATCATCGCGAGAATGATGTCGTGCTTGGCGTCCCGGTACCCGGGGACACTGTACGTGCCCGTGTTGATCATGGCGGCTTGGTCCGCACCGGCAATGTACCAGGGGGCGTTCATGATATCCGGGGTCGAGTAGCAGTGCCTTTTGATCGAGAGTCAGTCAGCCAATTCATGAGGGTCCATTTCAGGCGGTGACTAGGCAGGAAGAAGACGATAGAAAAACTTACTCCATGCCGGGGATCAAGAACAGGCGGTAGAAATCATCCATCTCGACGCCCTGGAGCTTGAGCGCGCTGAAGGCCTGGTCGTAGTAGTAGATACTGGCATCGGGGGAGACGTACGAGTCCGACAGACCGTGGTAGTGCAAGAATTTGCCGCCGCGGTTGTGGAAGGCGCTGATGTCGTAGCGGTCGGCCGTCGCGTTGCCCGGATTCAGCTGGTCGGCGAGCTGCACGGTGCTGTAATCCAGATCCTGCCACACAAAGTCGGAGAGGCCCATCAGGTCGCGCAGATACCAGTACTGCTGGTCGATCGTGCTGTCTTCGCCCAGTCCGATGTTGCCGGTCAGCCACGAGGACTCGCTGCCCAGCCACATGTGGCCATAGACGTAGGTCTGGTTGACATCGACCCAGTCGTTGTGGATCTTGTACAAGGTGGCGAGCTGCTCCGCAGTCAGGCACTCGTCCGCCGCGCTGGTCGCATTGCACATCAGGACGTTGGGGTTGAAGTTACAGCCCGCCGGGTCGGAGATGATGTTGTCGACCAGGCCATCCTGGGGGTCACACTGCCTCAGCACCTCGGCGGCGATGATATCGAACATCGGCTCCGGAATCGTGTGCGAGGAGTTGGCTGGGGCTTGGTAAGTGGTCTGCTTCAGGTTGTACAGTTGTTGGTGTGTGGTCCACCAGGCCGGGGCGCCCGCGAGAATTCCGTCGTAGTCGTCCGGGTACTCCTGCATGTTCTTCATGCTCTGTCGGCCACCGGTCGAGCACCCATAGAAGTAGCTGTACTTTGTGGCCGAGCCATACCAATTCTGAATCAATAGTTTTCCCAAGACGGTCGCCCCGTGCCAGGCTCGGTAGCCCCAATCGACCACCGCCTCAGGTCGGCCAATCGCCCAGGTACCTTCGGTGTCGATCCCGACATGGCCCAGGTTACTAGAGAGCGTCGCAAAGCCGTAGTGAGTGCCAGTGCCCATGTCAACCCAGTTGATGCCGCCACCGGCAGCAGCCGAGCTGTAAACAAGTCAGTAAGGATTGTCAAAGACAATGCGGTGATACATACAGCAGACGACCATTCCAGTCATACGGCAAGATCAGGCCCACTAGGTAGCTGGAGTTGCCCTCGGAAGGAACGTTGATCTGCACGCCACATCCCTCAGGTAGGTTGGTGGGATACTCAGAGGAAGACGTGTAGTTCATCGGATTGAACGTTCCATTGGCAGGAATGTAAGTTGCCCATTGCACCTTGGCATGCGTACCATTGGCATCAATGTACCTTTGAAAGGTAGCGGCCTTGCAGTTGGCCGAAGTCAAGGGGGTGGCCGCCGTCGCCGCCGAGCCGACCAAGGCCGTCACAACAGCCACGTTCGCAAACCACATGCTGGAGAATGTAACGGACAACCCGACCAGAGGAGAACAGATGGCTGATGATTAGAATGATGCCTGCAACATCAAGAAGTTGGCCGTTCGGTATGATGATATATATAGGCCATATGCCATATAGGCCATTGTTGGTGACCATCATGTGAGAATGTAGTCGTATACTCTGCGGTGTAGAGATGAAGAAACTGGTGACGCGGCAGCAGCGGAGACTAAACTCGAAGCTACATCCTCCACAACGTCTTGAACAAAATCTAGGGAACTGGTGATGATCGCAGATCGGAACAGGAAACGATCACCAGGAACTTTGCTGCAGATCCCGGATCATGACGCTAAAAGCGGTCCAGACGGGAGGGATTGCTTTTGCGGGGAGCTTCATACTCAGTACACGGACCCAGCCCTACTGAGAATGACGAAGGTGGCTTGCGCAATGGGCTACTTCAGGTACCGTCTTATGTGGCCCATCTTGCGATGAAAGTGGGGGAGGGGAGGGAGGAATGTGAGACTGGGAAGTTCTGAGTGATTGGTGATTGCGAACAGACGATGGGCCGAATGGTGGAGAAAAGACTCAAACAGGGTTGAAAGCTTGGCATCGAGGCCTGAAGGCCTGAAGGCTTGTTTGTCCCGCTTCGCTCGGAGTCTAGTCCGATCCCGGCTAGGCCAACCAGTTCTCCGATACCGGAGAATAACTCGTATGATCAGGATCATGATCATGATCATGATCTCGTGCTGTCTCTGGGGAGCAGCCTGGGCATGTTAACATGAAACTTAAAACAGTATCTTATAGATTATATTCCCGTGATGTGAATCTCATGCTAGCACTAATGCTAGATAATCTAACATTGTCAGGAAAGGATTGTGGTTCCAATATGCAATGAAATTTGTACACTTTTGGTGAACATGCCATTTGACGATGGAATAGAGAACCCAGCCTCAGTGAGGTCTTCAACCGAAACAGTCGAGTCAATTCGCTGTCGCCGTGATCATGGATATTCTTGGAGTAAATTTTTGAGTTTGGCGGCCACGTGATGGCATGACAAAAGGGTGGCTGCCATCAAGCAAAGGCGGTCGGCGCTAGGCTACTGCTTCAAACCGATGCACAGTACACTACATGGTTCATCTTCTCATCGCCCCTGATATATCCACAGTGGCACAGCAATCAACGATGGACTGGAATACATTGTGCTTCAATGTTGCCACCCTGATTGCAGGCGTGTTTGTCCTCGACTACGGCGCAGACAAGTTCATCGACCACACCGTCATTGTCGGGCGGCGCCTAGGCGTCTCCCAAACGGTCATTGCACTTTTGACAGCGGGCGCTGAATGGGAGGAGGTTCGAGTTCCAGTGCAAACTCATCTAGATGTATCCTAGCTAATCCCCTACTTAGCTCGCTGTAGTGGTTGCCGCCATCCTGCAACATCAGAGGCCCCTGGCCCTTGGGAATGTCATGGGCTCGACCATCTCCAACATTCTCGGGGCCTTCCCTTTAGGGCTACTATTTCACCCACAGGGAGTGGATTTCGACCGCAGCGCAAAGTTGTATTCTGCCCTGTTGCTCGTGGTCACGACGCTATTCGTGCTGCTGGCGTTCTTCAACCAACTGAACCCGACGGTCGGCGGGGTCTTGATCGCCGTGTTTGGCCTCTACCTCGGCTCGATCATCTACGCTATTTACAGGGGTGTAGCGTCGGCCCCCGAGCTATCAGACAGCGACGATAGCAGTGAGTCCGGCGTTTCCAGTCATAGCGAAGCCGACGAATTTGCCACCCATGCCCCTGAACTCTACGAGACTTCTCCTCTCCTCGCGAACGAGCATAATCCTCCATCATCTACAGGCAAAGGCAGCGACGGCAGAAAAATCAGAAGCCTCCCGTACCACCTATTTCAGCTCATCCTCGGCTTCTTCGCACTGTCGCTGTCCGGATACATCATCTCCCATAGCGCCGTGACCGTCGCAGACTCGCTGCATCTCTCCGGCACTGTCTTTGGCTTGACGATCGTCGCCTTTGCCACGACTCTCCCAGAGAAACTGGTTGCCGTCCTCAGTGGTGCCCGAGGCCACGGCGGCATTCTGGCCGCGACAACGGCCGGAAGCAACATTTTCCTGCTGACCCTCTGTGTGGGTGTCGTTGCACTGGCGGGGGACCAGGGACAGGAGGCGGGTAGTGGATTTGTCGCTTTTGAGCTTCTGACGGTCTGGGTTTCTTCCTTGGTGTTTTGTGCTGTCGTGTTTTTGGGACTGGGGAGAATTGCGGCGATTGTGCTCTTGGGTGCTTACGTTGTGTTTTTGTGCTTGGAGTTCACTGTTTACCGGCGGTGAAAAGCTCAGCACAGAATGAGCGATAGAAGAGAGTTGTCGGAGGATACGGGCAGTGGGATTTGGGCCATCCCCACGCTATATCTCCCTGATAACGCAAGATCTGTTTATTGTTTACTATTGACTAGACCGATGGTCTTCTTGATATATCTTCCGTGATTGGCTCCATGGATTGCACTTCATGAAGGCTAGTACTGACGGTCGATGCGTAGTCAAGCTCCTCTTTAGCTAGACTGTCAAGTATGAAGACATAGCCTGGATAGTATCTTAGGCATTGTCCAGTAAGCTTATTTTCCGGGGACTACTGTTGAAAAATTCCAGCTAAAATAATCAGTTCCAGCTCATAAAACTATCAAGTCCACAAACCAGTGAGAAGGAAGAAAGTATAGTTCTATTTTCTCACATATGTTATAGACATTTTACTTCATCGACAATACCCAAGGGTACTTTAATTTCCAATCAGTGGATGGATAATAGCTCTAAGCTAATAATAACCCCATAGAAGCGCATCAACACCTCGCAAGGAATTTGCTCTAAATCAGATTGATCACCAACCAATCACAGTCTTATGTCAGAAGACCAAAAACACTAATATGTTGATCATAAGCCAGTGAGATGCCAGATGGTGGTGACGGCGATTCCCGGTTGCCGAAAGGGGTAAATGACAAGGCTGACGACGGATGGGGGATTGGGCGCCAATGACCCCGAAGCCGCAGTCTCGCACTTCAACCTCCCTCCTGCCATCCTCGGAGTCATCAAGATGTCAGCTTCCATCCAGAGCATAGTGGCTGCGCCGCTGCACGCTGTTGCCGAGTCTAACATTGCTCTCGCGCATCTAAATTTTGACTTCTCCTTGGTTAAAGTCGAAGCGCCCGTCGAGCTCCAACCCCTGGGAAAGCAACTCTCCAAGGCCCGACGACAGTCCGCAGAGGATGGATCCTTCCATATCCTTGCGCGACGATTAGGTGTGCTATTTGATGATGTTTTACCCGAGGTCCCCGCTCTGCTAGAGGCATATGGCACTCGCGCCAGTGAGATTGTGCAGGAAACCACCCAAAGAGTGCAGAGCCCGAGAGATATCGTCGATGGCTTCTTTGGCACGCATCTGGGCATCGACTCCACGACCATCTGGGCCAGCGCTACAAGTGGGAAATCGGTGCTCCGCATACACCTTCTTGCCTGTATGCTGGCTCGCCTTTGGTCTCCTCAGGAAGCTACCGCCATCTGGTCGGAATTGGTCACTCATCGCCAAGCGGTCATTAGAAGCCAGGCCCAGTCACTCGAGATTGTGGACAATTATCTAGCTCAGTTGGCTGCTGCTCACGAGATTGAAGGCACTTTGCTGGCAAACTGGGATTCCAGTGCGAGGGCGTGGTTACAAGTCGCCGATCAAGCATGAAAGAAAGAGCAGATCCAAGTGCAGTTGATTATGAACAATCTTTCCGTGGCAGTCAAATCTCAAACATCGCCGAATGAGGGATCATTCAAGAAGATCAATTGCTATGACAGTGTACTGCTCAATCTTCACCGCGCGCTGACTACACTGGAGAAGTTAGTCAAGGGTGAGCCACGAAGAATAACAGACGGAGGAATTCTGCTCGGCTTGACGTCGTGGCATCTCTACCCGGACCTCGTCGTACTTGGCTCAACCACGAAGGAGATACGTCAGAAAGACCTCTTGGTCAAAGAGGGCGGGATTGTCACGATATCAATCGCTTCTCAGCTTGACCAGCATGCCGACGGGGTGTATTGGTCTTTACCACTGGCAAGTCTCCGATATCATGGCACTATTCAACGAGAGCGGTCCACGATGCACGACTCGAGGATCTCAGTAGAGCAGCTACAAGCTCTAGCACTTGGGGCTTCTCTGGGATCATGCGATGATGCAATACCTGCTGCAAAGATTCTGAGGTCACTCTGGAAGCTTTTTAATCAAATCTATCGGGCGAGGCTGTGTCGAACTGCCGAAAAGCCAGCAGAGCTCACCGAAGACCTATCTCAATACGATGTAGTAGGCCTCGTACAAGATAGCCCGGAGTCTCTGAGGGATCTGATGAGATTACTACAGCTAATCTTCCCTCTCAAGGATGGTATAGAGATGGTACTCTCAAATGATTCGAACGACCGGAAAGCGGCAATGCAACTGATGCGACACGGTGCCAACTATGGAAGGTCATGGATCGGAAACACACACAACACGATGTCCGCCTTCTTCGGTCTAGCGAACCTTCAGCACCTTCTGCGCATGGTTAAGGTTCCAGGTGAACGTATCCACATGCTCCGCACACTATGTGCCAAGTATCAGCTGAATTCTTCTGACTATGTGATTCGCTTCCGGACTCGGTCCAATTCTTGGGCATATTCACAGATCACAGCTGAGCCAGCTGAGCATCTAGACGCTGTACGTGGTGGTATGAAAAGAAAACGCGCCGATTGTGAAACGGTGGACGAAGACACGATCGAATGCCTTGAAGTCCCGCCAGGAGAAAACTGGGTTTGCATCGCTACCCTCGCGGCATCCAAAGGCCATGCTGTTCAGGCCGCTACACCCGGTGTATATGAAGACATCTTTGCAGAGCTGTTGGAAGATAGTCCTCAGGCCGGTCAGTCGGTCTTGTTTGACTTTGCATTCGGGGACCACAATCTTGCAGCCGTTTACAGAAAACAAAACAACCGATCCTCTGCCCAGACCGAGACATTTCCCAGCATCGTCCCGTTGTCAATGGTCCAGGATTTGCTTGATAAAAATCGTCTAAGGCTTGGTACAGTGGCCCAGCAGCTTTTGAGCCACTTCGGATCTTCTCAACCGCTCCACGAAAACTCCCTCCTCGCTCTCGGGCGCGTGGTGGACTATTACAAGCGCTACCTACCCCAGGCTACAGTGTCCATGGGAGTGATCAAGAATCCTGTCCACTCATGGAAATGGGTACAGTCAGTTATCCATGAGCTCGACATGTCGGGCCCTCTCGCCGAGCACCAAGCTCGCGAGGGATATTTTCAGGACTCTGTCTATCCCACCACTTTATCCCGGGAGCACGCATTTGCAGCGATCCTCCAATTTGAGTCGGGTACTATCAGCGTGGACACATCGGAGCTTGCGGCTGTCCTCGCAATATCGAGTGGTAACTCTCTATTCATCGCCGAACAGCTGCTAAGCGACCCAACTTTTCCGAGAGGAACCTCATCCTGCGCCGTCTCCCACGTGCTCGGAAATGTGGGAAAGGCAGGCATTGCTCTCTTGGTATCGCCGCCCGAACTAGCAATGCGAGAACACAGCCTTGACCGGTGGCGTTTTGTCAACCACAATCCGTTCGACGGCGACCCGGTCGGTGGGAAATTCGACGGCACTTCACTTCACCTGTCCTTCACCGGATGGGAAGGGCCTGTGAGTCTGGGGTCGTCCAGCTATGGAAGCCTGGAAGCCTACTATCTGGAGACCACCATCTCCGTCAACGACGGTGGAGAGTGGGTGGGGGATGTCGATATCCTGAAGGGGCTGAGGGATGTCCAGCTATTGCTGCATCCTCTGTCGGAGAGCACATGCGCGCACAAGATGGACTTCGCAGCTGCGGGTGCGGCCATGGTTGCGATTGACTGCTGAGAGGAGATTCTAGATCCTCCCTGTGGAACCCTTGTCTTACGTTCCACGCCCGCAACATCCGACGGCTCTCGCAGTGGGCAGTGGATGGTCCGATTAGCCGCGATAAGCTTGGCGTCCTCTAGGAAGTATCAGTGCATCTGTTTACCTCTTCACGGACCCTTCTGTTGGACCTGTTTGGTTAGCAAACTTGGTCCCGGCAAAGAAAGAACGCTCATTGTTCATTGAGTATGGGACAAGTTGAAGTATATGAAGTTAAGGTAAGCCGTTTGTTCGTCGGCGGCCGGTTTCAGCTGAGATTGTCGCGGATAGCGTTGCTGATTTAGTACTTATCTCTTACAAGCTAGTCTTAGGAGAGACAGTCATCGAGAACGTAAGTTGCACAGAGAGCTTCACTAGGTTACAGAGATACAGTTTGGTAGGCCCGGCTCAAGGGGCGTCGGAGTACATTTAGCGGCAACAGAGTATTGTCGCGACAAGCCTATCGTCATCATTCCGTTCACACTGGGTTGTTGAAGTTTCCTGAGAGTGGGATCGAGATTAGAATCATAATTTCAGATTCTTTGATGTTCTTTGATCAGCAGCAGTACTAAACGCAGCGGAAAAACAAGTCGCTTCATGATACTATAGCCCAATTTCATTGTTCGTAAGACCCAGAAAAGATGGCTGGCGAACGGGAACTCCCAATGAGCATCGCAGCCGAGGTACTTCATCTACGTATGTAGCTCTTCCTATCTCTGTAGAACGGAACGCGAAGGATACGGCGACGACTATTACAGATATGTGGTCTTTGACATTGACGATTACAAGGCATGATTTATTGGAAGGAGATTTGAGGGGATGGTACTGGATCTGTCTTGCGCGCATCTCCGCTCCCACACCCCGAGGACATGGATGGTTTCGATGTCTGGACAGGGTGCGAAAAGTCCACGGCCGCATACTCCGCCCCCACAAAGTCCGGCACCCTCGCCGGATCTTCGAGTCTCGCGACCGGCTCCTCGCGATGGGCACGCCGGCCCGTGAGGGTGATAAGCCGGCCCAAAACCGCGTACTCCATCTTCAGTTTGATACTATAGACCAAAGACTTTAATGCGACCTGCAGATAGTAGAGCCCGACATACTCCAGAACGAGCAGGCCGACATCGAGGGCGATGATGACGATGTTGATAGCCACGAGTTGGTAGATCACACCCCCGCCGCTGCTGTGACCAACTCCTCCTTCTCTTTCTCCTCCGTCGGTTTCCCCAGACTCTCGCCGTCGGCGCAGCAGCGCAGGATCGCCGGCCCACAGCACTTGGACCGCCTCCCGGATATACAAGGTGGAGAGCAACAGCTCCAGGAGGCAGAAGCCGGTCACCTGGGCGCGCTCGATGACCTGGTACGCGGCGTTCCAGGGGCCAGTCCCCACGAAGGCGGAGCCGTAAGTGGTGACGGTCGTCGGGGGCAGCAGGATGGCGGTGGTGAGCAGGATCAGGTAGAGGATCTGGCGCAGACGCCGCTTGTTGCGAATGAGCAGGTGCAGGCGGGAGTACAGGACCAGCGACTGCACGGGCACCATGGCGTAGAAGCCGATGTTCGAGATGAGCAGGGCGAGCAGGAGGGGGCCGAGCGAGTAGAAGTGCAGCACGGGGCCCACGACGCTGGGCATGACGCCCAGCACGGTGGAGACCAGCAGGGACCAGAAGTAGAGGCCGCGATACTTCTTGAAGGTGAGGAAGAGCAGGACGACGAGCTCCAGCGAGTTGTAGAAGGCAATGGCCAGGATCACGGCCACGATGATCTGCGCCACAAGGGCGCTGTCCTCTATGCCGGTGACCAGCCCGGCGGGGATCTCATACAAGTTCGTCATGAGGCCGCGCGGGGTTGCGGTGCGCCGCGGTCTGCATCGTGGGAAACTGCCGGAAACTGCAGGAATCGACTCTTTGGCTTTTCTTGAACGATGAAGATGTCTATGCACGTCGCTTTGAGGTTCTCTGTATCTTCTCTTTGTCTCACCGCGGGGCTTCCTCCGCCCACTCCAGTTTGCGCTGCATATACCAACTGATGAGCGACGAACAGTGACCGGCATCTTCTTGTAAGGCGAGAATAGGGCCATGCCTCAACCGGGAACCGTGATGGATTTCGCCATCGAGGGAATCAGCTGATAGGAAGGGAGAGTGATCAGTGGTACCGGTCGAAGTGGTAGGGTGGACTCCAAGCCAGAGCCGAATCATCATGCGCAACGCGAGTCCATCCCCGGGAATAAAGTTGTCAGACCCTTGGTTACCGCAGCCGTAAGAAGAAATACAGTTTCAAACCCCCGGATTCCCGGTCGGAGTTGCATCACCTCTCTGAATTACGGCCAGCAGTTTCCGTTGATGGAGATTATTTCCAGAGATATAGCCATGTTTGACAGTTTTGCTCAGGTGCCCGAGCCCGAGGTCAGCGATTCTCGTTATTGGCTCTGTGTCAGACAATTGATGGACTGGTTGATACCAGATAAACGAATGCCTACTGGGCTAAGTAAGTGCATGAAACAAGATGCACCGAGGGGTTCTCGAAATTCTGACTCATTCCGTTTTCCACATGACTTCCTTGTCAGATGCCACCATGGGTCATATATACGGGTACATTCAGCCCACCACGGGACAAGAAGGGAAATTCGCCAAAATAGGCAAGCAAGCGGCAAGCCGCCGCCCCATTGCCGAGGCCCGCATTTCGGGTTGGTCCGATGCCCGCGCCTTTGGCTGAGTACACTTCAAGGTTCCAATTTAGACATTCCCTATCCCCATTCATTATCACCACAATGCTTCTGCTGCCACAAAAGCCCTTGCTGGCTTGAGCATAAGCTACTGATGGATGAATATTGGCTATTCAATGATATGCCAAGATTACAATTGTCGGAACATGTAAATGACCTACTATCAATCGGGCGGGACCTTGGTAGGTAGTGAGTGGGTATAAGACCAAGGGAGTCGCTCCACTAACCAACCCGAACCCTTGTCAATGGGTAAATCCAGGTTGTTTAACCATACTGGCATCAATCATTGCAAGAAGAAATAGATTCTAGTAGCCTAATCATTACTTATCAACTAGACAATGCATCTTATCGTGCTACTAGGAACCTACATTGATGCGGCGATAGCTCTACCGTATGCCGGATAGCACGGATGGACCGGCCAAATTCAGCTGCTTTGCTCCGCGGGGGTCAACGTTCCTGGCAGGAGGTGGTCGGAAGGACTCTGATACTGGTATACTGTATCTATCTTGCCTAGTTGTGATGGTACATAGTAGCAACAAATTCAGTATCGATGGGAATATGCAGTGAGGTCACCACTTGTGGTGAGGCAGGGATTCTATTGAATCGTGCCCGTACATGCCCTAACCACCTACCGACTTACGCAGGAACACCGTTTGTGACAGCGCCCCACCCCTTCATCGTCCAGTTCCCAAAGCAGGCATACTGATACTGCGCCCTCGCCAGACTTTGCTGCTGGATCTTCAGGAAGGTCGACAGCTCACACCACCCGTCCTCGCGGTACTCGCACTCGTCGAAGCTAGCGTGGAGCGGGATGGTGCGCTGGTTCTGAATGAAATGCACATACTGGGTCGGGCCGCTACCGGTCACATAGTCGCCGTTTTTGCTGGTAGCCTTGGACGATGACCGCTTGGTCAAGACCCTGTGCGGCGCGCTGATGATCTCGATATTTAGACGGCCCGCGAAGGGCACGATGCGGCTGGAGTGGAACTGCTGATTCTTGGTGGGCCCGGTGAGAGGCAGGGGATCGGCAAATTGCGTGAGACCGAAGGCTGTCAACACGGAGACGATGTTGGCATCGTGGGTGAACTCTAGGTACAGCTTCTGGTCGAGCGGGAAGGTAATGGGGTTCGTGTCGAGCGTCAGATTGGCCCCGGTGGTGTTCGCGCCCACCTCCAGAAGATGGCCCTCCACGCGCGCCAGGAATTCCTCCACGAAGGCGATGCCCTGCGCGCGGCCGGTGGGGCTGTGGAAGCCGGAGAGCCCCGCGAACTCGAGGTCCATGAGGTAGGCGTAGTTCTCCCAGTCCTCGTACGTGAACAGCTGGCAGAAGTCACTGTAGCCGAGGCTGATGGTCTCGTAGGGGCAGAGCGCCTGCGCGTGGTACGTGTCGGTGACCGTCCAGTTGTAGGCCCCCGTCAGACGCCGCAGCTCGGCGGTGCGCTCCTGCAGATAGGTGGCCATCCAGGTGCCCACGGGGATCTGGATGGATTCCATCATGGTCTCCGACGCCTTGGTGCACGCGGACTCGCCGGTGGTCGCCGGGTCGATGGTGGCCAGGATGTTGGCGTGGTCCCGCCAGTTCAGCCCGAAGAAGCCGGCCAAGAAATTCTCGCAGCTCTCGAGCATCCGCGCCTGCAGGGTCGTGCGCACCACGAGCTTCGAGGTGCTGTTGCTACTGCCGTACAGATGGCCGTAATTGTAGAAGTTCAGAACACCAGCATCGAATAGTTCCTGACGGCCTTGCGGCACCAGGATCTCCTTGCCCAGTTTGTAGGACCACTGATTGAGAAACTCGAGCTTACCGGAGAAGACGTGGCCCTTGGCGGTTGCATTGACGATTGCAGCACTCCAAGTATCCAGGCCCTCTGATGAAGAGGGATACCGCGCACCGTGACGTTGCAGCATGTGCATTTGGGTGATGTGCGCACCCTTTGGCAACGGATATTCATTCACCCCGAAGCCCTCGGGCGGCGAGAAGTAAGGGCTGTTGAGAAGAGTCAGCTATGATCATTACGTATGCTGAGGGGGGCCAATCTTACCTCAGGTCACCCATGAGGTGAAAGATATTCCTCCCCTTCGCACCCTGAATGGGCTCCGAGGTCTCCAGCGGAGCATTGGGAACATAGGTAGCATCCCCGAAAGGTGCAGGGTTGCTTTCGGCGAGGAAAGGCGCAGCACCGGTCGCGACAGTGCCTAGTTGGTAACATGTCAGTGGCTGTGGCTGTTTGAATGGGAGGAAAATCAATGGGACCAACCAGCATAGAGATCAGGCGAGGTTTGGAACCAATTAGGCTGGGTGGGAGTCGCTCTCTGGTGAATCGCACTGGCCTCAACCGCCGTGGTAATTGCCACGGAGAGAACCAATGACTTGAGTGTATACATGGCCATCATGAATCCTCGAGCTCTTTATACACAGCATCTCACCGAGCGTTGTCCGCCGAGCCTTTTATACATCCAAGTTGTCGCATAATATCGTAGATTATAAGAATACGATTGGACCGCCTACATGTCGGCTGTTGTGGGGGAATCATGGTTTTCGAAGGGTGACTGCAACCTGGAGAAATGAATGAACACATGAACTACGCTGCAATCAACATCTTCCAGATCACCACGTGGGACAAGTCGACTTTCAACAGAGAGGGCATTTCGGCAGTTTCGTGCATCAAATAGACCCTATTAAAATAAGCGAAGCTCTACTAGTAGAGCCTGAGTCAGCACGAAGTATAAAATCTGGTCAGACTTCGCAAGTCATTGGGTCCACGTCCTTAAAGCCCAGACTCTGGGACGAGGCCTAATCATCAACCGAGATTATCTGATTGATTAGCGAGACCACGTGCGAGACAGCCTGCACGAAGCAGCCGGTGCGAAATGTCACGATGTCGGGTTTGACCAATGAAACTCGACCAAGGGAGACCGTGTTATCGATAGCCCTGGAAATGCCAAGGGCTGGGGAAATTACCCGGACCCCCAGGCAACCTAAGTTATTTTTCCCTTGTTGTGTCTTCCGAGTCTTCCGTGACCGCAACGGTGCTCTTGTGCCCAGCATGAATCGGGTGCTTTGTCTGAGTTCCTTCAGGCGATCCGCACACAACAACTCCCATTTCGTGGATATGATGTCTCTTCAAGCAGTACAAAGCGGAAAGGTGACTATTGGTATTGTCTCTCAAGAGAAAAAAACATATGAGGGAAGAAAGAAAAGTAGATAAGATCAAATGAGTTCATGAGGTTATACTAGCTCTAAGCCTCAGTGAATCGTAGAGGGGCAGCGGTGGATTCGCTTGATTCACTAAGCTCTTTGTATCTTTGTCCTCCTCCTGGCCAGGGATTTGTTTCTCTTTGTTCTTTGTTTTTACTCCGTCGTGTGCAGGGAAAACAAGCCCATGTGGATACTTCACGTGCGCTTAACCCGCCGCCCGCCGCTCTTCCTTTCCTTTTCCCTTTCCCACTCCTCCTCCCCCTTCTCATCCTCCTTCATATGCCCACCCCCTCCCTCACTTACTCAATTACTCCTAATTTTTGATATGAATTTATCTGTCCCTCTTCATTCGATCTGGTATTGGACCACGAATATGACTATCAACACCTGGGAATGGGCCCAACTGGCGAGCCGCCTGTTGGTGACGGTAACAGCCATGTGCATCACCTCCTTTGTTCATAAGCTCATCACGATGCGATTGATGTTTCACCGCCTGAGAAAGCAGGGGCGGGTATGTACTCCTCCTTCCCTTCAAACGGGTCACATTAACCATGCCAGCCCATGTCGCCCTGGAACTCTATCCTAGGAAATCTCCCTGTGATGGCTGCGCTGCACAAAAAAGGGCCGGCTGATGCCCGTGAGGCCGAGCTGTTTGCCCTACTGTCCGCCGAGATACCGGACGGTGAAGCCGGATTCTATGTTTGATGTGTGGTCTTTGAGCTCCCCCATGCTGGTGGTGAGGGCTGTGCGATCTGGATCGTGCACCCAGCCGTCCACCGCAATCCGTCCGCGTGGCCGCAGCCGCACGCCTTCCTCCCCGAGCGCTGGCTAGTCGCCCCCAATCACCCCCTGTACCTTCCCCCCCCCCCCTGGTGGCTGGCGCCCGTTCGAGCACGGCCCCGGCAACTGCATCGGCCAGAACATCTCGCTGCTGGGCATGAAGACCACCCTCGCCATGATAGTGCGCCAATTTGACTTCCACGATGCGTATGCCGAATCTGATCGCTTGCGTCCGTCCAACGGCGGCATTCGGACCGTTTTGGGGAGCGGGCTGACATGACTCGGAAGGGTGCCGGCCATCCCGCTCAGGGCTTGCCATGGAAAGTCACTCTGCGGAAGAACCTCCAGACAACTGATATAGGCGTCTAAGTGTTATAGCCCGGGAAGCTTAGTTCCAACTGAGGACGAAAGAATGCTGCACTCGGGCATTTGGCGGTAAGTTTCAACTCATCATGTAGATTGATGTAAGTATTCAGTATCACCTCATTATGGCCTAATTTCGACCCACAATCATCGCCATTCAGGAGGCTCTACACTGCCAGGGAGCTCTTTTTGTTTATCGGACTATGTTGCGGCGCAAGTATGGTGTATAATGCCTGACTCTACCGTCTCTTTCGATGCGCTAAACTCTCTGAAAAGAGTACTCAAGTCGGGAACCGTAGGCTGAATCTCAGTTTACCCTATTCGAAATTGGCATAAGGTGCCTTCGCTTCTTCTGATGCAGATTGCATTAATGTCCAAATACGGGATTTCTGGTTGTTGTGTGCGAGGCGAGAGACTGTCGAAAATTGCTCCGGGATCAGGAAGTACAGGTGTCGAAGCAGCATCTCTCAATCCAGCCATTGGAAGATGGGCAATGGGAGCCATGCAATGTTCTCCCCTGGGGATCCTGGTTCCCGATATAATCATAGGTCGGCTCTTATTTGGGTAAGGATTTCTACTATCGTAAAAATTCCGGAATAGTGTTAAGGCTTATGTTGTATAGTCAAATTTCTGAAAGTTACAGGCAAGGCTGACAAGAAAGAATGAAATAAGGACATTTTTACAATAAGAGATACATCAAGTCTTATTAAAACCAAATCTAATAGCTTCTAATATATTGAAAAAAGCACAACGCTGTAACTGGAACATGGCGAATTTTTGAGCCGGCGGGGACTCTAACTCTGTTTGAAGCTCTAGTTACTAGCACGCAGCTGCGTCAAAGCCTCTCCACATGACACCTGAAGTACTGACCCACCCGGAGTTGCATGCCTCCTTGGGCCCACGCAGGGTAGCCCAGATGGGAGTCTGTGCCAGAGCTAGCAGAAGGCTTGGAACAGGAGCCGGAGGAAATCGTGCGGTAGTGAGACATCAGGTTGGGGGGGGCCGGGTGCGTGCTAGGTATAGTGAAGATGCGAGCCATAAAGAGATAGAGGCGGAAACAGCCTGTAGTGTTCATTTATTTTCCAAAAGAGTTAAAAAAAAATGAAGAGACCAAAAACATACAACAGAAGGGATTCGCTGGTGGTCACCCACCCAACTACTAACCTCCCGGCGTGTGGCTTAAGTACGGCTGAGCGGACGGGAAGCCCTGTTTTCCACACCCTGTGGTCGTATGTGCTTCCTTGGTTCCTAACCCATTTTATATACACTTATCATTAGCTGAAAGCGCCCATTTAGCTGCCCGGTGAAGCCTCAGGAACGGGGATTATGATGCAGCGGGTAATTGGGGTCGTCTCTTCCGAGTATCACAACGGGGAGAATGTTTAAGACATACAATATTCGGTATACAAAGGGGAGTAGAAGCAAGATCTCAGTTGGGACTTTGTAAGCGAAAAGTAAAAGTGAGATTCCTTAGAATTGAATTGGTCCGATCTGGGGACCTCTGATAGGACCATCTGACAGCCTACTAGAGTCACATCGTGGCTTGATTGAGTAGTTGCATGCATAGACACCATTCGACCCATGGACCCCACCGGAGAATGGTTCCGGTGCCGTGGCGATCCAGGTACCACCATCTTAGTCCTACCATGACGTAACCTACCAAGCTCATCACAATATTCTGGCACATGTACGGGTTGAGTTGGGCAGTCAGTGCATCAGCTAGAAAGCTCTTCAAGCTTGTCTATTTGTGGGGGCTGCATAATCCTGCATTTGCGGGGAGCACCTCACTACCCCAGATCTAAAAGTTTGCCACACAGAAATATTTACTGGTACGAGAGGGAACTAATAGCATGCAACGACGCACTGCACCTAATTCAATTCTACACGGAAAACATGGAAAGACATGGGGAATATTGTCAAATTAGTCTTTGTCCTGATACTGGTACTCAGGTTTATCTTAGCAGCCAGGCTATCAGCTAGCCTGCTTGGCCCAATCTACTTCCGAAGAAGATTCCTCCGGACACAAACCGGGGTGAAAACAAAGGGGGTATAAACACGCATCATGGTATATGGTATATAATATATGGTATCTCGCTGTTGCCATGTTGCCATGTTGGTACGGCCTCGGTTCACATGAGCCTCAAGTCACCGAGTCCTTTCATGGTTGTCTGATGTGACAACGGAATGGCCCTTTCCCTTGCCTCTTGTATCTGGCTGCATCTGGCGAGAGAGGGTGTATATATGTCTGCTGGTGTTTTGTTTTTATTCAAGGCGCAACGTGGTAGCGTGTGGCACGGCCGTCGGCACCACCGCACAGAGAGCACCACGAATGTCCGATAATGCTGTCTAGCGCAGCTATTCTAGCTCCATAGTCGTTAAAAAAAAGTTGTTAGGACACACATCGCGCAGTCTGTGTAGGTATCGCAATTTGTCTGTGTGTTCAAATTCTTGTATTTGTGTGTATGTGTGTGTGTGTGTGTGTGTGTCTGTGTGTGTGCGCGCGCGCGTGTGTAAAAACTTGACATCAAGCCGTCCGGAGAAGCTCGAGGGAGCTCAGAGCACCGAGAAAGCCCTCCTTCTTCTCACTTTGGAAGTCATTCTAGAAAACTTCGATGGTAACCGTTCCGAAAACCAATTGGTCGCTGAGGGGATCCTCGACCCTGGCCCCAGTCAGCAGGGGGTCGGATGCTTGCCAGTCGTTCAGAAGAGACTGCAGAACATCTGGATCATTACCCCGGTCAAGCTCTTCGAGGAGAATATCCTCTTCGCCTTTTTGGGACAGATGCGCGGATCCATCATACAGGTCGGACGGGCACTGGTCGAGGCTGTGGGAGAGCTCGGAGTCCCGAGACGTTGGGCTGCGGCGCTCCACCTGGAAGGCAGGAATGCGGACGAAATGGACCCCGTCGCAACCACCATCGGGAGGCACAATGTAGTCCTCGTCGGTGTCACCAAGGATGGCGCACGTGGAGGTACTATCCTCGGGATGGGAGTATGCGAGAAGACTGCTTGGGAATAACATGTTGTGTACGTAGTGGTGATTGTGTTTGATGGTAGTCGTAGTGGTGGATGACTCCATATGATATGACATGGTCTGGAATTAATAGGTTAGGTTGAGTGGGGGAAGTAAATCATCATGATGAACAGCAATTCACCGGTAGTGCCTGAATCTATATACGGCCCAGCGCGATGACGATCCAGTGGCGGTCCAATCAAGGAAGCCGAATGTTTCCCCCGGATTCAAGATTCGGGTCGGGGAGTGAGTTTTCTTTGGAAGTTCTGTGACAGTTCTGCGTAATAAGTTAGAAGTGTGCGTCCCCTTAGACATGCTGCCGTGACCCGGGAATGATTTCCGGGTGGCTCGATGGCCGCCTTCTTGCGAACCTTGGAAATAGCGGCAAGCCACCTAGATCACCTTCTTCTCCATCCAGAAGATACATAAAGACTGCTGACGATACACCGGCCCGCCGCCACAGTCAGTGAAGTCAGTGAATCATGGACACGCGGGAGCACTTCATTTCACATGAATCGGGCGACTGGTGCTTACGAAACGAAGGCGTGGCGTAGACCTCCGCGGAGAAGCCGTTCATGGTTGAAACCACACAAGTTACAACCCCAGCGCCCCCACCACACTTGCAGACTCTGTGGTTGCCTTAGACAGTGTGAATGCATCATATGAATGGAGAAGACCGACAAGGTGGTTGGCTCAGCTCTGGTAATGGTTACCATGGAACAAACAATAGATTCTGCTCCGTCAATAGTTTTGCGTGCATGGCATGTCGGACCAACCGTATTCCTATATTCTAGCTTCCGTTGTCGGCAATCAATAAGGCGGATGCATTCCTAAGGGTGGGGGGGATGCCTGAGGACAGGCTGATGAGATTGTGGAGTACCCTCATACAGGTTGATACTTGGCTAAAGAAGTCCGACGCACACCACCTTGGACTCTGGTTCTTACGCTCGAGCCAGTGGCCAACAACCATATGCTGGCAATTACTATTTTGGGGGCAGTGATTACGGTCATTGCGGGTGTCCTAGCCCCGATGACGGGGTGTGTGATTGGTATGAACCAACCGGACTGTTGCGTCCATGCGCCGCAGTTAGAGAGGGGGAATTGATCAGAGAAAATAGTGCTTACAAGGCAATGAGCATTTGAGGCGGATGAGCGGGACGTCAATGTAGGCTCATCGGATTCAATTTCCGCGAAAAGTTGGTCCCTGGGAGGACGTAAGATGCATGACATCATACAAGATTGACGGTTGACCCGACTGCCTGGTCCGTCTTTTGGCTTACAATCCGTACTTGTGCGTTGACGTACACGGACCGGCCAAACGATACCTGAATACTGAGAGATGGAATGATATACTCCGCTGTAGGCGCCGTTTGCATCAGAGGAAGTCTTTGCGGGCGGACTCTGCCCCGTCCGGTGGATGTCCTGGGACATTGGATGAGGGCAACATATCAAGACACTTGTGTACACCTCCGCATTCACAGATTGCAGACTGAATTATCATTTGAGAGACACATGGGAAAGACTTGGAGAATGGTGGTTAAATTCGACCAGGATTAGATTATCATACACCTCGCTTGCCGTTGCTTTCCCCCTCTCTTGACCACCGATTCCGAAGAGGGAATTCTGATCTGCACCATTCCAGAACGACATATCAAATTGCGGCGCAGTCCGACAGGCTCCAGTCCGTCTAGTAAAGAGGCAGGCTGTATGCGTTGAAGTCATACTGCCAGGTGTCAATCGAGGCCTGATCGTACACACATTCCATGACCGTGCCGTTGTTCTTCCACAAGGGGCGGAGGGGCCAGGCGCAGATCTGGGCGTTGCTGCCCTTCTCCTCGCCCGAGAGGTAGGTGGCGTTCAAGGTAACGGGCACCACTCCCTTCTCGACCCAGTCGATCATCACCGCCATGTTATCCTGGGGCCAGGGCCCGGGCTCGTAGGAGTTGGTCGCGCAGTGGCTGGCGCCGGGAACCAGGTACAGGCGGTAGAAGTCGGCCATGGCGTCCGTGCTCTGGTTGTAGGTAAGATCGGGGTACATGATCTTGCGAACGGACTCGTGGTAGTGGACCGAAGATCCGGTCGGGATACTGGGGTCCGACTCGCCGTGGTAGTGAATGATCTTACCACCGGCCTCCTCAAAGGCGCTCAGGTCAGGGTAGGTGGTCTGCAGGGAGTCACCATAACGGCGCCAGCCCAGCTCCATCCAGTCCCGGAGGGTATCGTAGGTGACATTGTCCAAGCTTGACAGGTTGTCGGCCTCAACTAGGTCCAGGAAACGGGCGACCCACTCGCCGCTGAGCGCGTCAATGTCGAGCTCGTAGCTGTCGGTGATGCTGTTGTACTGGGTCTCAGCGTCACTGAAGGCGGAGGTGATTTGGAACCAGATGTAAGCCCGCTTGCCATCCAGGGTGTGGAGACCCTTGAGCATCGTGGCAGCGGCCTCGGCGCCCTTGGCGCTCACCGTGCCGTTCTGGGCCGGGGTGGAGTTGGAGACAGTCAGGCGCTTGGCTGGGGCGGATCGCTTCTTCAGGTTCTCGCTGGTGGTCTCGGCGGTGCAGTAGTAGGGCTCCCCAATCGTGGAGTTGAGGTCGAAGTGCAGCTGGCAGAGGTCAGTCCGCGCGACGACGCCATCTTTTCTGCCGTCCAGCTCGTCACAGGCGGCGATCGTTAGGTTCATGATCTTCTCCAGTTCACAGGGCGGGGGGTAGTAGCCCAGCGTCTTTTCGACCACGTTCGGGAACAGGTGGTTGACCTGCTGCTGGCCATATCGGATCGCCGGCGCTCCGATAATAGCGCCATCCCACTCCTCGGGGAACCGTTGCACCTGGCTCCAGCCCTCGCGGCCGCCCTCGGAGCAGCCCATGTAATAGGAGTAGAGTCTGGTGCTATTTGCGGTGGTGTCGAAGAAATTCTTGGTGAAGGGCTTTGCCGATTACACTGAGCTCATGGTGCGACTGGTAGCCGAAGTTGTAGACCGCATCCCAGTTGATCGTGCCGTTAGCGCTGGGGAATACGGCGTCCAGGTCGGTCGTGAAGGCCCCGAACCCTCCGTCCGTAATACCGGCGGCGGCGCCGTAGAGGAGACCGGCAGGCATCAAATCCCCATCCAAGTTGATGGCGAAGCCACCACCGCCCGTGGACAACCACCGGTTCTGGTAGGCATCGGGGGCGGGCAGCCAGAGGCCGAGCAGGATGGAGTCATCACGGCCTGCGTGCGAGTAGGCGAAGGTCACGTTGCAGTAGTCGAAGGTGCCGTCCGGGTAGAAGGTCTGGTCGCTCACGGAGACGTTGTAGACGGGGCTGGCGGTCACCGAGCAGGTCTTGATCTCCAGTCCGGTGAAAGCATCCAAAGGCAGGGAGGACTGCACGTGCGAGACTGTGCAAACATCCGCAAGCGACACAGCGATGCTGCCGGCCAGCTGAGTGGATTTCATGATACTGAAAGGGAGTGGCAGGGAAATGAGAGGAATCGACTGCAAGGGAGTCTTTGTGATCTGCCTGTGTGGTACCGTCAACCGCTGTGGCAAGCCGATGTTTAAATGTCTGCTCCACGGTGTCTGGCCCTTTCAGAGACTTCCCACGTCAATCTCCGTGGAGGAACATATCGTGCGATGTCGTGGTTTCGTGGTTTCATTCAGGAGCCCCTAAAAGTTGGCAGGTTACATTCTTCCAGGAAGGAGACAACCTCTTGTGATTGGTCTGAGGACGAGGGACAAGCTCACGCATGTGGTAGCAGGGAGCCATATGTGATCAAATATATGATAGTAATGACGCGGCAGCGAAGGCTGTTCGGCGAGCATACTCTGTAGGGTGAAAGGACAATGACGATCTGCCGCTGCTCCAACGCCTTCTAAGCATTGATCTGCACATCGATCATGGTGAACCGGGGAGTTTTCTTCAGGCACGGGCGGCAGGGTGGCGGAGACTAGCCGCTTTGCAGTGACATGGTGAGCTTTTTGATAAACTCCTCGTGCGCCTGATGTCTGGCCGAACGCCTCAACAGGCTTAGCCTGGAACGTATGTAGTGGATGCCTGTTAGATATAGAGTTGCCGACTCCATTCGGGCAATTTCTGATAGGTTGATCATTGAATAGTGGAGTGGCTTTCTGGTGGGACCGGATAAGACTTTTTGGCCTGGGCCGAATTGAGCCTTACCGGGTGGTCGCGTTGATCGGAGATAAGGCCTATGCTAGGGCAAGCTGATGCCAAGCCGGCGAGTCTGGATTCAGAAAGGATATCCGAATATAAGGGTGAGGAGGTGGATGATGACTGTATATGAGCGCTTACCACGCCAAACACTAATTAGGCTCCAAATACCTACTGTCGCTATTCAGCCTGTTCCTAGGCCTACATAGGGACCACCTAATAGACCTGCTCGCCCTGATTTATTAATCTCACTGCCTGAGGCAGGACGCTTGCAAGAGCTAGCTATCCCTTGTGTAAAATTGTCGGAAAATCGACTCTCAAACCCTACTGGTTGACTGTGGGACCGTAACGTACAATACTTAGTGACATAGACCCATGGATGGATGTCAGCTTGTCTCCAGCTCGTGAATTACCCGGCTTACTTTGAGCCCGCAACAGTCAATAAGAAAAGCCAGGCGCTCGAACGAAGCATGTATCAGGGTCTCGCAACACATCAAAGCAGATCAGATCAGAGGGTCCTAGATACCCAGCCAGTCCTAGAAGAGATGTCAGTGTTGTTGAGGTCAATTCGAGGAATAAAGAACATACAACAGAAGGGATTTACTGGGAATTGCCCACCCAACTACTAACCTCCCGACGGCTGAGCTAACAGGTGAGGCCGCTTTACGCTCACGCGACTAGGTGTGACTCAGTTAGGGTGGGTGAGATTTAAGCCTGACAGTCAATGTCACACTATAGAAGGTACAATATTCACTCAACTGCTCTTCAGCTGCGATAATTGTTGCAAGATAGTGAACTTTGATGGAAAAGCCAACATGTTGACTTGAAAAAAATCTACTTTAGGTCTAGATGACATGTCATCCTGTATTCGTTCGACCTGGCAGCAGAGAAGCTGAAGCGAAGTATAAAGAGCTGAAGCATGTCCTAGATTTTTCCAACCAGGCCACGACCTGCGTAGAAGAAGCTTAGAGAAGAGAAAGGGTAAAAACGGACAGCATTGATAGCACGGGCAGGCAGGGCGGTGGCTGAATGGGAACTGAGTTATACGAAGGCTCGCTCACCCATGACATGAAGGATAAGTCAGGAGAGAAGCTTCACGAACCGGGCAACCATCGTTATTCCCAAACATAGACTTGATCATCGTAATTAATAAGCGAGTGACGCCGGCTGCATTCTATGCAGTCTAAGATACATAAGTCTATAACTATTCTATACAGTATAACTTACTATTGTTAGATCAAGGCTTTGATAATGACTCGGCCTCAGGCTCACATCTGTGCGTGAGACCTCGCTACCCCATTGCTCGTCTGACAATTCGACCATCACGAAAGATGCGTACTGAAGCTGCTTGCTCTCTCGCTCCGAATCGATGACGCAGGGGGCGCTGCCATTTGTCGTCACCGCGGCCTAAACCGTTCCGAACGAACGGCACCAAATCAATATCCGATAGCGATTCCAGTGCAACGGAAGCTGGGATCTCAGGAGACCTCAGAAGGATTACCCCTGCATTCTCTGCTACAAGAGATCCTGGAGCTTCTACATGGGGGCCCACTACCCCATCTGCTGGAAAATCCTGACGCAGAGATTAAGAATTCATCCAAGTCTAGAAATAAGCTGAAGAGGGTTATTACTCCCTCTGCATGGTCAAAAACGGTGCCATCCCGCGTTACAGCGGGGAGGGTCCCCGCAACAATGAGTTCCTTGTGAAAGACTTTATGCGCTAAAGGACAAAAAGCGTCTGTGCTACTAACAACGGCATCTCTCCGAGATCTTGAACCGTAACCATTAGCGTTCTGCGGAGCTTCGGAGCAAAGTCAACAGATATGAGTGCTTGGAGAGCAGTCGGATTCAAATTTTCACATCTTCTGACATTATGTGCCTCGAGTTGCGGGTTTTATATCATGCCTTCGTTTGTTGTTTCCTTAATGGTCGTTCCAGGCTAGGTAGCAGATCGCTGACCCCCATTTTGCGGGATCAGAGGTTGAAGCACTGAGCCGGCGCACAAACTTGAAAGGTTACTTTGATTTGCTCTCTTCCTGTAGTTTAGAGGAGGAAGAAAGGGAATCCCAGGCTGGCTGCAACCGCTAGTATTTATTAGTCAGGAAAGCCACGTATAAACTCTGTGGCTGCCTAGAGGTCTACAGCATGGGTATCGGGACACTGAGTTATGTCAATAGAGAGTAACAGATGGTAACAGAGGATCTGAGTAATTTCAAAGAAACATACTTGACTGGGATTTATTGGTAGTCACACCCAACTACTAATCTTCCGGCGTGTGGCTTAGGTACGTCTGAGCGGACGGAAGCCCTGTTTTCCACACCCTGTGGTCGTATGTACTCTTTTATCTTAAAATTGAATTATCAAGAGTACAATACGCCTCATGCGAAGCAATATCCTTAACCGAAACGCTCGCTAGCAGGTAGTATCTTTGCACAAAAAAACTGGTAAACTGCTCCTGCACCATATGCGAGTACGACAAGCTATTATAGGCTCGTTCTCTTATTCTTTCTACTGTCTCTCATCTTCTGGGTTCTGGTAGATTCAATCGTCTTTCCTCTTTCTCACAGTTCAAAGAATCTAGTAACTAGACAACGGATGTATATTCTGGTAATTATATTTTGTGGTAATATTTATTGCGTCGAATCTCGCTCGTCGCCACGCCCCCCTCTCCCCCTCCCTAAGAAAAATAGAAAATAAAAACCAGAATCACCTGCTATGCAATAAAAACAGAACAACGATGCAGGCGACAGCGGGAGTTATTGCATAATCCTCAAGCACTAAAAGGTTCAGCCACTAGCTTCTCTCTTCACCACCCGCATTGACATAGTTCGTACAACCCTTTCGCCTGCATCACAGGCTGTAGCCCGAACCGTTTTCATCAAGCCCCGCAAAGCCAGACTGCTGGAGCGAAGGCCCATGTACCCGCGGATTTCCAACAATTCCGATTCCTGACACGTGGCAAGGTGCACTTAGCGGCAAGCGGAAGGACCTCCCTATTGGTCACCTGCGTCAAAGCGTGCGCTTCGACAAATGGTACATGCCTATCGCCTTTGGTGGAAAGATGGGTGGCTGTCCGGGATTAACGGGTGTATTTGAACCCTCTTCGGAAATATCATGAACAGGGGCTGAACTAGTCTCTCTCACATATCGCAGGATTTCACCCCAAGAAATCAGGTCATTTCTCGGCCTCTTCAGTTCATCGTTGCTACCTATTCTCGAGGTCCCCGAGGGCGCCTACCGTCGGCTTCCCTGTTCATCTCGACGAACTTTACCAGCCGGCGATCATCTCCCGCTCGGATTACTCCGATTGGGTAAAGAGTGCATCCAGGTCAACCAGGGTTCTACTTCAATGAAATTCTCACCATATGGAGTAAGTATCCTGTTCCAGACCAAGACGGTAGGTACCAAGCTTACTGGCAGGTGTCAAGACGTGAACGAATAATAGCCATTATTTGTCTACCTGTCGGAGAGAGTAGTATTGTGCATCAGAGTGACCTGCCGAACTTACCCAATCCACAACATCCTCTCGCTCGAACAAAACCGAGGTGTTGCTATTTCCTTATTTGTGAGAGTAATCTGAGCTCGGTATACTCTTAGGAGACACAGACAAGCTGATCACATGCGAATAAGCACTAGAGTCAGTGGCGGGGTAGGTACGAATTTAGGGCTAGACTAGCAGATGTGAAGATGAGAGCCTTAACCTCTCTTTCTAACAAACCACGGGTGACGGCTGACAATGAGCACGATGAATTGAACAAAGACCCGAAGGAAACCCGACGTTTGTTGTCAACGTCAAGAATTTGAGCTTGTTGTTGGGTAGACAGTCTTGCGTATACTCGCGTATAATCTCTAGTGCTGTCGAGAGAGACTTGCTAATAAAACTGTTATCTCCCCTGATCTTCTCGGATGGAGTATCGCTTCAATTTCAACATCGCCACCTATAAGTCCTTGGCCCTAACTTACCTACTGCCCTTCCCCGCGGATCGGATAAAGTGCGAAGACCTCAGTTGTTCTCATCGAAAACGTGGAAGAAAGCCTGAACATCCTCCTCAAACTCCGCCCATACTTCGCCATCAGGCGTCATGGGATATACCCACCGACCTTGGTACACAAACTCTGCGGCTCGTAGTCCAGCTCCGGGGACTCGGTGAACATCCGAAAGCTGTTTTGCGAGGAGATGAGGACCCCACCCATTCTTTTCCGGTCAAGATGCGGGTGCGCCTGTCGCTGGTGCCACCATTGCCTCCGGAGAATTTCCATCGCGGGAAGCCAGTCGTCGGTGGTGTTTTTCCAGCACTTGAGGATTACGATCAAGACCCTTTGGTCGTTGCGCTGGAGGGGATAGACCTCTATGTTGTCGCACGGAGTGGAGAAGTTGTAAGGCAACGGGAAGCTTGCCATATTGAAGGCGAGGGGGACTTACTTGGGACTCAAGGTGTCAGATAGAAGAAGGGCCTGGTGTCAGTCGACAGCTTCGTATTAGCCGTATTTAAAGTCCTGCATTCCGAGTATTGAAGTTTCTTTGTTCTGTGGTTCAAAGGACTTGTGCCTTCGGAGAAAAGTAATATTACACAAAGCATCAGACAAAGTTCTTAGACAGAGGCTTGCGTATGAGTGCAGTACAGTATAAAATGAATAAGTTGCAACTATTAGGGTGACATAAAGCAGCTGATTAATCAGAATTGATTTCATATTAGTGCCCTAAGCTTTTCTCTTATTGCGATTGCCGAATTATCACAATACTCTGAAATAGACCAAGTGAAAGGAGGATACGAGAGAAGGGTCGAATTCGTCTGATTATGGATGAATGGACTTTTGGGTGAGTTAGACCTTCGTGTTTGACGCGATCCTGCTGTGGATCTAGAAATCTGCAAGATCAAACTTAATTAGACGCCAAGGGTTCGACATACAGGCATGTTTCACATGCAGCGCGTCCATTAACGAATGATGGCGGTTGGATCGCACACTAAATGTCAGCATTCTTGCGCTTTGCGCAACGCTGAAACTCACAAACTGTTTCCGTTCCGACATGTGCTTGTTCCTCGGGACTGTAAACAAAGGATTTATTTCGCCCAGCATCCTTTACTGATTGGCGCCTTCCTCACGATGAAAGAAATCTTTACAATCACGGACGCTGCTATATAACCTCAGAATGCATATATTCAGGATAGGCCTCATCGCCTTTGGAACCGGGCAAACGCGTCAATCTCTTCTCTACTCATTTTCAATCTGATCTCTGTTTATTTTCACTCGCTTTCCATCCTTCTACTTTCTAGTGTCTCGGAACCGGACCAAGTGCCGTCTTTCCTTTTGCCGTTTCCGACTCACCATACATTAACAATAGAACAAAGAAAGCAAGCCCGACACAAAAGCGCCAATAGCCCTTTCCAAAATGCTTCTAGCTCTGACGCTGGCACTGATGCCAGTAGCTCAGGCCGCGAATCGTGCAGTATTTGCGCATTACATGGCAAATATATCATTCCCCGCAGCCAGCGGTGAATAAGCCCTAATTCACCTAATCAGGTCGACACCACCACAAAGGACCATATCCAGCAAGATGTCGACGACGCGATCGCGACGGGCCTCGATGGCTTCGCCTTGAATGTTCAATGTCCGACCGATGCGTTCGCCAAGGACCGCATCCAAGAGATGGGACGCTACATCGAGGCGCAGAAGCTCCAATTCGGCATCTTGATCAGTATGGATGTGTGCGACTCGGGAGGGGCATCGTGCGGCGGTGCAGGCGCTGCCGACTACGTTTCCCTGTGTCAAGAGGCGATGGCACTCTACGCGTACTACCAGGTTGACGGAAGTATGTGGTCAGTACGTTTACCTCAGGTGGGGGCACGTGGGAGACGTGGGATCATTTTAAGGCCTCGTTGTCTGATCTGGGGTTCGAGGTGTATTGGATCTCGACGACACGGAAGGCTACTGGGACAGTCAAGCGGGCTGGTGGGATGCGTGGGGCAATCTCACCGATGGCCTCTTCGGTTGGGAATCTGCCTGGCCAAGTCTGGGGCAACAGGCCTCGAAGCAGACTGGTGGGCTGGGAGTAATTGCCCGGGATCAAGTGGTCATTGACGCGGCTGCTAGACAGGGTACATCTTATATGGTACGTTTGTCTTCCTGTGTACCTTTCTAGTCTGAGCTTTTCACTGATGACCGTCAACAGCATTGAGTCTGATGCAGTATAACAATTCAGTATGAGCAGCTTTGACAATGCTACCAATGAAAATTCGAGACTGAATAGACTGAGCAGTACGGAACAAATATCTATCGCCAAGGTGGAGGGGACCTCATGCAACGCCTGAGCGACATCTTGAACATGCAGAGTGACACATTGCAGTTCGTTGAATACATTACTTGGGTAGGAGTCATCTGTTCCGGATTTCTTGAATGGCAGTCGTCCAATGCTGGCAGTAGACCGCGCATACCCGGACGAACGAAATCCAGCTCGAGGAATGCAAGAAAGCAGTGCGTCTTATGGTGTACTTGCAGCAACAACTCGCAAAGGGTTGTATTGGTCCCGGGTAATTTTCAATAATGATGGCCATGTTCTCGAGGGGAGACGAAAAGAAAGAGCAGGTGAAGGAGCGGAGGGCAGGCGAAGAGAAGAGAAAACCGCCATTCTTGCTCAGGCCTTCAGGCTCTTGGACGCGACAAGCATTAAGCATGCTTTCGCCGTCATCCGTGATTGCCAGATGTGGGTCAATACTCCGTTCTTGGTCTCTATGGTGTTTTCCTCAATACTGTAGCTCTCTCGAGCCTTGGAGGGACGGAGCATTCCGACTCGGTGAATGGTCTGTGTTGACACAGACTTTCGCTCTTTCACCTTTTGTCCGGTTCATCTCATGGAAAGCTGGCAACGTCAGATTCTTGAATCACCTTAATGTGCATTATGGTCCATGTTAAATGGGGCTTGGCGAACATTTCGAAAGCTTTCTCTTCAGATTGATCACCGCAGTGACCCAGTTGACAATGACTTTGTACGTTGGTTGGCGGAGTGGTTGTGGACAGGTGATCAAGATGTGAAAGAGATGGCAACTAGGAGGAATTTGAAAAAATAAGGCCGGGAAGAGAGCTAAGAAGTGCCAGGAAGACGAACATGAGGTCGACAAGATAGTAGGCAGCGGGAAATGGAGAAGTGAAAAGCCGACTGACAGAGAAAATGAGAGATCAGTGCCTGAGGTTGGGAACCACCATGACAAACACAACACAACATACACACCACTCTGGCATGACCAGAACTCAAGTGAATGACAGCAACCAAGCTCCTGTCTTCTGACAGGTTTCCCACATCAACTCCCTTGTTATCTATCTCCTTTACACCTCATCGCCTTTTTTCACCTTCCACTCTCCGGTTTCCCACGCTCCGCTTAGTTCCTCCTGATCCCACCAACTGCACCTCGATATCCGCCAAGATGGCCCTCAAACGTAACGAGTCTAATGACTGCATGGACACAGTCAACGACCTCGTCTACAAGAAAGCTAAGATGGGAGAGTACACTGATTTCGCCCTGGAGTGTGACGGTGTCGAAGTCCCTGTCCATAAAGTGATCGTCTGCTCGCAGATAGAAGCATTTGCAGCTGCTTGCGCCAGGGGCTTTCAGGTCTGATTTGCATCGCTCAACCAGAACGAGGTACAAGAGAAGTTGACACTATTAAGGAGGTTTTTTTCCGGCGTCTATCGCATCGAAAAGTTCCCACTGACCTCGATACGCCATCTGATACAATTTCTCTATACCGAAGACTAAGACCTCACAAACGACCCAGGTGTGTTCTCACAGGGTAAACTCCAACTTCTCATTGCTGGACTCAGGCTAATTGCGATTTCTTGAATGGCAGACAAGGGTTCTTCAGACCAGAAACCCCTGCTGCCTTCTCCCTCTCATTCCTCCTCCGTCGCCACCACCGCTGCCGTTGCCACCGCTGCCGTCACCGCGGATCTCTCGAAGAACCTTGTTGCACACATCCATATGGCCGAGATCGCAGATTACTACAATGTGCTGGGGCTTAAATAAGTGGTTCACAAGAAGGTTGACGAGACGCTGCAACTGCCGTGGTCCCCAGATGGCTTCGCTAATGCGGTGACGATGGCTTTCAGGATTGGCGGCGACGGCGTACTGCGCGAAATGCTTGCAGCGACCGTCGCCGACCATCTCAACGATTACCTAGGCGTTGACGGTCGCACTAACTCCTTCAAGGACGATGCTTCCTTCCGAGTCCTGCGAATCCTGAACAGAAAGATGAAAGAGTTGGAAAGACGGACCAAGGAGTCGGAGAGACGAAACAAGGAGTCGCGTGAGCGTCAAGCCGGCCTCACAGCAATTGCAAAGCGAGCGTGGGTTGCCCAACGGGTTCTCTTTCGTTGTGAGCCATTATCAACGCGGATCTACTGTCAAAATCACCAGCACTTGCCTGAAATGTCAGGCTGTTGTAATCAAAATCTACCATCCTGGCGGTTTCAGGATTACGTACAGTTGCCGTGCGGCGTTGAATCAATGATCGATGGTCCCAGTACCCTCAGTTAGGGATGACAGTCTGCAAAATGGGGTGGCTATTCTATAAATGTGGACATGTTGCTTGATAACAGGTGGCGAGTTTACAGGGCCGTATTCCAATGGTAAAGGGGATTCAGACATTCGTGACTTGCTAGTGTCTTTTGGGGGAAAAATATTAAGCTCATAGTGGTCAGCCGAACACAAACAAATAAGAAAGCATTCTGTTGCGTGCAATCTTCAATATCATAGTTTCCGATGTGGTTGAAGACGGATTTGTACATCAACGAAGTGGAGGTTTTCCTTCACGGATCCATAAAGCGTCTTCGGTAGTGTTATCTTATGTATGAAGCGACTGGCGCATCCCCCCAGCAACTGGTTAGTTATCTGGGCGTAGGAATCTCTGCGGCAGATCTGATCGCCCTTTGCTAAAATTAGTGGATCACTCCAGAGCGCGCAGACCCACCATCCACCCCAGCATCTGACCACAGATCATCTCCAGCTAACGGTGATAGCAGGCAAAAAAGAATGGAGCTGCGGGGAATCGAACCCCGGACCTCTCCCATGCTAAGGGAATATTATACCACTAAACCACAGCCCCAATTGATGAAAAAAGACAGCAAAGTTTGTTTCTCTAGCACAAATAATACAGAGGAAATCGATTAGGTTCATTGAAAAGGCCGGGGTGGGGGGGGGGTGGGGGAGAACTGAGCCACATTGAACGGAATGGTATGCGAATTGATCTTGTCATAGTGCTCTTGCAATGGATCTCTGCTCGAGTGACTAAAGTCGGGAAATATTCTGGAATATGTATGATCATAGTGCGGTGTACTTTTCGGGACTCAAGAGGTGAATTGACTAGGTTGGCAAAATTTTATTCGGTGCTAAGTATCCATCTTTTGATGACTTTGTTACTCTGTCCTTTTCTGCTTATCTTTCCAAGTTGTTTTTTTTTATTTTATTTTATTTCTTTCTTTTTTTCTTCAGACTGTTACAAGAAATATGAAAGTATCGATGGACGTACTAATATCGTGGTCCACAGACATGCGGGGCCGCCGACAATGTAATCCATGATATGTAGGCAGATATACTACAGGACAGTATCTACACAGCTAGGGACTCACCTATTCGTCCACGTGCATGGCCTCGTCCTCGATGCTATCAACTACGTCGAGGTCCATGAGCTCTACTTGCTCCGCTAGTGACGGAACGGAGCCACCATCCTCGCCTTCAGCCACCGCTGAGGGCGGCTCGGGCTCGGTCTTGTCGCACCGCCGCGGATCCCCAAAGTGAACGATCTTCTTATGCTGGACCAGCAACTTGGCCGAGACGAAGCCCCGCCCCGGCTCGCAGAGATCACACTGGTAGTCCAGAACCTCCAGGTGCGTCGCGGTATGATGCCGATAGAAGTCATCGAAGGTATCGAAGGGTCCCTGCCCGCAGATGCCGCCCGTGACCCGGTCCACCCACTTACAGAGGTACTGGCGCGTGGCCGCCTTAAAGGTAAAGGTATACATCCCGTCGGAGAAGGGGAGACCGCGCCGCGGGGAGCCGCCGGGCCCCGGGCGCCGCGCCGCCTCCTCGGCCTGCTGCTCCAGCATGGCGAGCGTCGCCCACGGCCGGCCGCAGTGCGGGCACCCGTAAGCCAGCGGCTCGCCCCGGTCCGCCGCCCGCACCCGCAGCACGTCAATGCACGTGTGGTGGTACGTGTGCCGGCACGCCCAGCATTCACACAGCGCCCCTTGGTGCTCGCTTCGCCCCGTCTGGCACAGATCGCATGTTCCGGCGTCGCCGCGCACTTCCTCCAGCAGCACTTGGTGCTTCTTCAGCTCTTCGTGCTTGGCGTACGCGTGCTTGCGGAGGTCGGTGTGCCAGGTGGGAGCCATGATTGCTAGCGTTTGGTAGAGGTGTGGTAGAGGTAAATGTCACTTGTGAGTCGGTCCTTTGTGTGGGGTTAGGCTGGGTTGGATGGTGTGAGGTAAGAATATATTATGTCATGCTCTTATATACTCGCTACATGGTATTGACGTCGCCAGTTCTCAGGTGAAGGCTTTCACCCAATGCCACTTGTTACAGAGAATCTCCTCGGAAGGTGTGGAGTCGAGAGAGTATGGGTGTCGGGATAAGCCCTAAATGAGGGAGAAGTACCTCTTAATTCCTGAACCAGCAGTCATCTACCAGTAAAGCAAACAAAGCGAAAAGGAGATTGCGTCAAATTTGTCAACCTCGAACTACAGCAGACGCAACTCTCCGCTTCTTTGCTCTTAGATACACGGAGTTGCGGCTGGAGCGGGAGGAATTCTCCTTACATTTCACCTCAAGAAGTCTCCCCCACTAATAATGTCCATACACACGACGAAAGAGCCGCCTACGTGGACGAATACAACTCCCCCTCCCACTGCGGCCACGACACCTCTGCCCCGCCCAGCCCCATCTCGAAAAGCTCCATCCCGATGAACCCGGGATACGCCAGCGCCGGAGCATCATCCGAGAAAGACCTATTGTCGAGAAGCGATTGCGCCAAGTCGACGTCCTCCTCCTCCTCTCCTCCCCCTCTCCCGGCGGTGATCGACGCCAGCACTCGTGAATGCGGCCGCAGTTTGGCGAACCGCGCGTGCACAATATCGCCCAGCATATATGCGGTGTGGTTTGTTGGAAGCCCAATCGACCGCAGCCAGTCGACGAGCTGCACCACCGGACCATCCAAAGCGTCCAGATCGTGGCCCGTGGCGCGCAGGTTTGCCTCGTAGGTGTGCACGAGGCGACAGAGGGTGAGCGCCGCGAACGTGACGAGATGGTAGATCTGATCCGTCAGATGGCGGGTTCGGTCATCTGTGGTGTCGATCGCGAGGTCGATGATGTTTTTCGCGTGGGACAGCATTCCAGCGACGAGGGATGCGCTGCTGCTGTTAATGGCGGTGGCTATGGTGTCGGATGACTCATGAGATGATGATTTCAGACGGTTGCTGTAGGCGAGGAGGTGCGCGAAGTGAAAGCCCATGCGCAGGAACTGGGAGCGAGGTTGCGCTTGAAGCATGGTTAGAAGCCGCAGGAGTGAGAAAACAAGGGAAAGGACAGCAGATACCAAACAGTGCGAGGAACTCTTGCTGCCAATTCGCTAGAGCACGTTTCACTGCTTCGAGATCCGGTTGCGGCCCGCAACACTTGCAGTAGATGATCCAGTACAGCTTGACCTCGGCGATCATTCGCGCTTCGTAGTTAATGATGCTGTCCGTTTGCATCAAGCGTGCGCAGCGTTCGATATCGACGTCAGTCAGCAGAGCCTGACGGCGAGTGCCTACGCAGTATCTGAGAAATAGGTCAGTAAGGTAGGCGTGTACGAATGACAAGGGATGGGACATGCTGTAAGTGAGCCAGGCATAGGTGGTTCCAAAGGCACCATGCATCAATATGTCTCTGTGCAGTCGGAAGAGCTGCGTCGGATCGCATAACTTCCACAAAATCCGGGCTGATCAATGCCTGTTGCAAAGCATAGCCGGTCAAAAGCCAGCTGTCAATACTCAGCGGCACCTGACCAATGGTCGTCGACCACAGGCTCAGTATCAGAACCGCCTGAAAGAACGGCGTCGTCTGGGGGACCACGAGTAACGAGGAGGTGACAAGGCGTTTTGCTTCTCGGAACAACTGAGGTGCGAGTCTGTCGGCAAGGTCTTGCGTGGTGTGTCTGACTGCAATTAGCAATATACTGCACGTAAGGAGCGGCGACTGTCTGATTCGTGAGAAAAGGGCCAGTGTTGAGAGATCCTCTGGAAACTTCACCCATCTGCCGTAGTGGGTATGGAATCTGGTAGCTTAGTGTAAGCTAGTGGTGCCAGCTCGGGTGTCATTGAGGATGCACACTCACAGTTCGACCAATGAGTGGGCGATAGACGGTGAAACCAGCCCTGAAGATATTGGGTCGGCATACACTTCGGAACGAGCTTCGTTCTGCTCCGGTGAGCGTACGCCAACGTCTAAGGCAGCCTCCCTGATGAGGAGCACAGGGGCTGGTTCATGCTCAATGTTACCTTGTCGTGCTCTCCTTGGAGGGGATTCCTCGTTGAACCGGCTAGCTAGGGCATCGATCTTGGCATCCAGACGGTCGATCAAACTCTCTACCGTTCTTTCCAGTCTGGCGATTCTGTGCTTATGGCTGTTAGCTCTTGACTATGCTCAGTATCGAACAAGCAACATGGGTAAGAAGAGATAGAACCTCTCGTCAACCACACTCTGCTGATTAACCTCAGAAGCGACGGTTCTTGTGTTCTGAGTATGTTCCGGCCGGCAATGGATTGACGGGCTCGACCTGCAATTAGGGCTCGTCGGCTCGGGATCCAGCGAGCAAGGCTGCGCTAGCGTCGCGCAGCGAAGACAGCCGCTGCCGAGACCTTGGGATGGATAGCATCGTGTTTTGTTCTTGCGGCACGAAGTACACGCCTTCGAGGCCCTAGCTGACCGTACAGGAGGCATGGTTCGACCGAGTTTGAAGACATTGCGGTCGCCGGGGCCATAAGGTAACTTACACTTGAAAAGCTGATGGGGTGCTTATCTTAACGGGGAGTGGGCCAATGGCGAACTTTAGCGTGGAATGGGGTGATAGCAGGTCCAATGTGGTTTAGCGGCATTGATAAGGTACTCGAAGTTACCCGGCAACCGTACCTTGGCAGTTGTAGCCTATCTTATGCGCTTCACTATGGCTTCGAGGGGTTCACAAGCACAAAGAGCCGCAAGTGAGTCTAGCCAGCCAGTTTGCAAAGTACTGTAAATCAATACTTTAAATCGGGTGCGAAGCCATGACGAATTGTCTAGTATACAGCACTGATCGCCGGATAGCTACATCCCCAGTTGTCCGCTCTGTATCACTTCTTTCATGGTTGATCCTCCTTTCGACTTGCATCGTAAGACCCCGCCTGCTCTCTTTCAGCTAGATCATCTTCCTGATCGAACACGCGGTAGAGCACTTTCCAAACCAAAATGATGACGGCGGCTCCGATGGCACAAGAGGCGGCAATGATAAGCCCTCGGGTATACCGCGGTGCATCTGTTTGGCTTTGTTAGCCTTGATAAACCATAAGAGAGCCACAAATGAATCACTACAACATACCTTGCGTTCGAAACAACTGATTGCCTGGCAAATTCGCCAGCTGAATACTCATGACATACGCCGCCAGCGCCACTGGCCGCTTCCTCTCCGGCATCTTCGTCGTCAGCCAGGCGGCGCTGATCGCTTGGGCGCAGCCCATCCCCATCTGGGCCCACACGACTCCCCCTGGTGCTTGCTATCAGTGTCTATTATAGGTAAAAGGAAAAAAAAAGTAAGATGGGGAAAGGAAGAAAGTATATCAATAAGAAAAGAAAGAGGAGCACCGAGTGGAAGACACACATACCATAGAGCAACCATTTCCCACTCGAATCCGGCGCCAACGCCAACCACAACAACCCCGCCGCACCCCAGAGGTATCCGACGGCAATGTGAATCCCACGCTCCTGCGACCGGTCGCTGCTAAACGCCAATGTGACGGACAAGAGTAATGCGCCGGCGCTGCCGACAGAGTTGAGGCCGTTGGCTTGCAGACTGGTGAAACCGAGACTCTTTATGATAGAGGGGGCATAGGTGTTCATCGGGGAGATCATCAACATTGACAAGAAGGCGGCAGCCAGGTGTCCGTAGAGGCGCCAGTCGGTGAAGGTGCTGCACACGTCAGGGAGTGTGATAGACTGCCGCTGGTGACGCCCTTGTGCTCGTTGTGTCTTGGTGCGGTCGTCACTGAGCACCCGGACGATTAGGATAGAGGCCTCGCGGGGGGTGAAGATGTTATATGATCGGCGGAAGAAAGTCTTGGGGCGGATGGGGCTGTGTGGAAGGTACAGGTACGCCACAATACCAAGAAGGCATGTAAGGATGCCCTCTGCTTGTTTGTCAGTTGAATTGTGTGGGAAGTCGATCTCGAACGAAGAACTTACCGATCAAGAAAAGCCACTGCCATCCGTGAAGCCCGTGTCGACCGCCTAGAGAGAGAAGTCCGATGGACAGAGGGCCACCAAGTATGCCAGCAAAGCTATTTGAGGCCCAGAATATCGCGTATCGCAGCGCAAGCTCCTGGTGGGTATAGTACTGGGAGATGTAGAGGGCGAACCCGGGGATATACCCGCCTTCGAGGGCTCCGATGAAGAATCGGGCGGCGATTAGCCCCGACGCATTCTTGATGAAGATCTGGCACCATGTGGCGACGCCCCAGACGAACATAGTGATAGGCAAGAATCTTTCGGGGCCTATGTATCGACTGATAACGTTGAAAGGCAACTCGGTGATGATGAAGCCCACGGTGAACAAGGTTTGGGCCATATTGACCGCCGAGTTGCTCACATGAATATCAGCCCGCAGCGTATCTGTCAAAGCATTACCGATGTTTGTGCGGTCGAACTGCAAAAAGCAGAAGCAGACCACGATGAAAGGTAGAATGCACAAGTCGACCTTCATCTTGGCCCTGCGGGTTTCACCAGCTGTGGGTTGGAGGTCCGGGTCATACCCCGGGGTGTTGATAAGGTCATCGATGTTTCCGTCTGGCTCATGGGAGTAGGTGTCCTTTGGCTCAGGCACTACCGACATTGACTTGGTTGAGGCAGTCATACTGGCTTTGTATATCAGTTAAGAGATAGCAAGGCTTCCCAACATGCTTCGGACGAGATCCCTCCATTTTTATCCTTTACTGGTTCTCTACAGCACTGATTCGATACCTGCACGGGATAGGTTGGTAGATGAGGTGATAAAGCCATGTTCTGATATCAGAATAAGTATCACTGTAGCAGAGGTGCGGAGGGATCCGATGCCGGCGGCATCCCGCCGGCAAGCCGCCGGCCCGCGGCATCTCGTTTGCACAGGCACACAACAGCTTCAACCCATGCCACTTTCATTTAAGAAGTCGAATCTTATTTTTTTTCAGCTTCGGCTGCTGTATACCACTACTTTTATCAAGACACTTTCACAGCCTCATCCTTTCTTTCCCAGCAAATGGAGCAAAACACCCTGAAGAGACGAGGCGTTGGTCTCATTGGAGTCGACAAGCAACGATCCTTTGGAGGTTACACACTCTTCTGCCCTCTCACCAGTGACCGAGCGCACCTCATCGACATCGATGGCGTAGAAGTACACACCTGGAAGCTCCCTGGTCGTATCGGCCGACACGCGCGAATCCTCCCCAACGGCAACCTGGCCGTTAACACGCTTCGCCCCTTTCCAAACCAGACCACACACGATGGCGGGCCATTCCCCTTCCCCTTCTTCAACAAGTACGGCGGGGGCATCATGAGCGAGCTCGATCCCGAGGGCACCATCGTGCGCCAATTCATCGACCCCCTCGGCCACCACGACCAATATCACTACGGCGACGGGCGCCTGCTATACACGAGCCTGGAACTGCTGTCCGCCACGCAAGCGGCACAGGTGCTCGGCGGCGTTCCCGGTAGCGAGGTCGACGGCCGCACGTACGCGGACACAATCAACGAAGTCGACGCGACGGGCCAGCTCGTGTGGCAATGGAAGGTCTCGGAGCACCTGCTGCCCCGCGCGGCGGAGTTCCCCCTGCAACCGCACTACACCCGCGAGCACTACCCGCTCATCAACTCTGTCCTGCCCCTGCGCGATGGGCGGCACATCCTGGCCTCGCTGCGCTCCGTGTCCGCGGTGATCATCATTGAAAAGGCCACCGGTGCCATCGTCTGGCACCTAGGGTCTGAGACCCTGGCGCAGCAGCACAACGCCATCGAGCTGGACAACGGCAACATCCTCATCTTCGACAACGGAGCCTTCCGCACCGGCGAGTCGATCACCTACTCCCGCGCCATCGAGGTCGACCGTGCCACGAAGCAGATCGTCTGGGAGTATCGCGATCGGTCGCAGCCCATCGCCTTCTTCACGCCGTTTATGGGCAGTGCCCAGCGGTTGGGGAATGGGAACACGCTGCTGTGCGAGAGTGCCTTTGGGCGGGTATTTGAGGTCACGCACGAGGGCGAGATTTGCTGGGAGTATGTTAACCCCCACTTCGCGCCGTATCCCGATGAGGTGACGGCACGGTTGTTTCCAGGGGAGTCTAATGCCTTGTTTCGGGCGTATCGGTACGGGTTGGAGGAGATTCCGTGGTTGAGAGCCAAGCTTGAGGAGGCTTAGATAGCGGCGACTGGACAGGGGAACTATAAACAACGAGCCGGAGCCTTGTTTTATACCATTGCCATCTGTTTGCCTAGACGGCATAATGATAGCCAAAAAAAAGAAAAAGAAGAAGGAACTATAACATCAACTCATACTAATGCTAAACAGACATGTCATTGACTAATGAATGATAGTCATGCTTTTATCTTGAACACAAGCGGCGTTTGTTTCGCCGTTGGCTATGCTTACAGGGCATCCGCCATCAGTAAATCGGAAGGCAGACGGTCGCTCTGGTTTTTGGAACAGACAATGTATCTCTAAGGAGGCCTATAAAGGACCGCTGTGTAGAAGAAAGAGGAGAAGCCTTTTTGCGTCACTACGTACTCCACACTGATACGACATGCACATGGGGCGCCAATAGATGGGATGATTAGGGTTGAGCATCACACGGATTTTATCCGCAGCGGGGCTATTGATGCTTGCTCTCTTCCACCAGTTCTGTACACTCCTGCCCAGTAACCATAATGCACGTTCAAGTTCAGAAGAACTAGTAGCGTGTGTACTTAAATATAACTGGTAGATGATCGACAAGCAGGCCTACATACAGTATATTCCCAACGCAGAAGAATCCGATCATGTTCAACATTCTGTGGCACTCTACTTGTCAATCCACAGCCACATCTAACAGTCACTCAGGACCACATCGTCAAACAGGATATGCGCGGGGACCTCCTTCCCAGCGTCAACACAGGAGCCGATGAAGTGCAGGGTCAAATCCCGCGCCAGGGGCTGGATGGATCCAGTCAGCTGTATCCACTCGTCGGCATGCCAGACGAAGTCGGAGGCGATCGCACCCGCCTCGGGGTCCTCGCCGAGATAAGCGCTCACTTCGCAGTGGCCGGTGCTGGGGATGGGGTCGGCCACGCGAACCCATAGGGTCAGGGTGTGCTCGTTCTCGTCGTCGAGCCAGTAAAGGTCCTGTGCGACGGAGACTTGGGGTACCTCGGCTGTTCCGGTGACATCGCTAGGGATCATGAAGTGTCAGTAGCATGGACTTCAGGGGTGGGAGAGAGGGATTGTTACAGGTAGTAGTTTCCGGCGTGTGCGATAGTGCCCTGCACGATGTTGGCGACGTTACCAGTGGAGGCGTACCATCCGTCGAGAGCGCCGGTCTCAAAGCTCGGGTTGTTGATGACGTTGCAAGGCATTGTGTCTGCGTTGAGATTGGTTGAGAGGTCTGCTGGGTACTTGTTCTGCTGTTGAGTCTTGAGTTGACGGAGGTTAGATTGGTGGGGGGGAGGAGCAGGGCTTTATATAAGATGCAAGATACACCAATGCCTGAGTTATGTTGTATTGTATACTAAAGCATCATGACCTCTGGCAAAAGATGTACTGCACAGGATATTGGCGTTGGTTGGTCAAGTCTCATGTCTAACGTCTAAGCCCCATTAAGCCCCCAAAAGATCTCCATCTCGTAGCTCGGATCTCGCCAATGATCTACCCATGTTGGTTCCTGCATCAGCACTAAGCTACTGTATAGAGATCACCTAGGACGAAGGAGTTTACGTCGGTTTCGAGAGTGTTGAAATCGAGTTTTCTAGCAGATGAAAGATGGTTGCCTGACGAGCGCAGCCACCTCGCCAAGAAAATAAGATGGACCCGACTTCACCATCTCTACATTTCTCCGGAGACCCTTCCCCAGTGGGTCTAAATTGCCAGGCATCAATCAAAAACCACGATCGTAACTCAATCCTTCGGCAATGACTATCCGTCGAGATGGGTTGTCTGTTGCTCGATCCTATGACATTGTACTAAGTTACTGCCAGGCAGCACCTTTTTCACCTGTGACCCGTAACGTTGAGGGTTACATCCGCATGTCGATTCCTGTTCAGTTGTTGAACGGATCTGCCACTCATTCCTCCTGCTTGGTAATCAGTCAATTAGAGACTTGGAAAGGTGCTAACATGCTTTAGAGTTTGTATATGAGGGACTGTAGAATGAATAGTAGAAATTTTGGCATTGACCATACAAGACAAGCCAAAGTTCGGTGAAGCCACGGCGAGACCCCTACCCTGTAAGAAGAACACCAAGCCAGGCGCTTAAAGAGCACTAATGCTGTAGTAACCAACCATGTTTCAAAGACCTTTCATCAATTATCTCATACTCGGATTTGGTGCCCTGGTATCAGCATTTATTTGCTGGTGGAGGTTCGATTGGTTGACCCCTTTGCCAAAGCTTTGTCATGAATATGATCCGCTCAGACTGTATAAGGGATACAAGATTAATAAGTACCTCCTGTGTAGTGGGTGCTTGGTGATGGTTCAGATTACTTTTAATCGAGCTCAGTGAGAATTGGTTGGGTGTTTCTGCCAGGTGTGCAGGGCGCAGGTGTAGCCGTAATTTAGAAAAATATATAGATGACCCCACCGCCCCTTCGAAACCATAATCATAGAAAAAGGGACGGTATTTCTAAGTCTTCATTCAACAGCTCTTGCTATTAGTTGAACTACGAGGCAAATAATTTAATCTAAGGAAATCTTGTCATATTGCCAATGCACTTTTAAACGAGCGAGTAGTGTTAATAAAGTTCCAAGTGATATTGCTGAAATGAATGGCATACATATTACGCTGCACAAAAAACTATTCAACAAAGAGGCTCCTATGGCTCAGTTGGTAGAGCGCATGACTAGTAATCATGAGGTCCGCGGTTCGAATCCGCGTGGGAGCACATCTGTTTCTTTTTTTGTTGTCTTCTCCTCTGTTCCTGTGAACCAATCAAAACGCACCTCACCTCAACTTGTTTTTTTTTGTCCTTCATGATTTCTTTCTGACTCCTACTTGGGCCCAAATGACATCAGACAAAGGCGTGCAAGATGTCTATTTGCTGCATTTCGTCTTGTATGTGCTCCCCAAGAACGTTGAGCCAGCCCCTGCACATATCGCATGTCACTTGCAAACGTGTCAAACAACCCCGACTACTGATTCGTTCCCGGTATCCAGCAGTTTCTGCCTGGAATATTGTGGACACATAGAGTCGAGTGAGAATTTTGTATAAAGCTAGAAGTCTTTCCTTTCCCTTTTATGGCTTCCCCCCCCCCAATATGTGAGTCCCTCGTCAGCGAACTCAAGCAACTCAAATAAAAACCTTACCGCGCCCTCTAAAGCATCGAGAATGGGAGACTGGCGGATCTTGACCCGGAAGGAACCGAGGCGAATCATACCGCTACGATATTCTCCAAAAATGAGCTTAAAATGGCTCGATGAAGTCCGTGCCCTGGGGATCATTGCGGACTCACCCGCAACCGATAGGTGCGCTACCATTGCCTTCCCCTCAACACCACCAAAATGACATGTATTTTTATCCATGCTAGATCGTATCTCACTGGTCTCGGTTGTTGCTTTGGCATGATAGGACTACAATACCCATTCGAGAACCAGTCCATTATCGGCCAACCTTCCATAACAGGGGTATATAGATGTTGCCACCGAAAGTGGTAGGTCTGCTGGCGACCACACTGGCTCGGCTTAATTCATGCTCTCTCTATATCCTAACCTTGTCATGGAGCGCTCTGATTTGGAGCCTCAGGAGGAAATCAACCTAGTTGCGTATGTTTACCCCGTTGACCTACCTAGTACCCACCCTCGAGGATCAGCATCGAAGAAGTCAAACAATGAAAGCAGCATCCATTTTTTCTTACCATCATATCCTTGGGCAATGTTCTCAAGCTTGTCTAACTCGTCAAAATCTGAAACGACGATCGGTTCGACTGGAGACAGCGAGCGGATCTTGGCTGCCTGGGCCTCTAATCGCACGAGCCCTGCAATGTGCCAGCTCGCCAGGTCGTTGTTCTGCTGGGATTCGAGGACCTCGGCCACAATGGCACCGCCTCTACAGGTGACAGGCGAGTCAGCAGTTTGGTCATCGTCGTCTACAGTACAGGCCCATGGGCTGGCCTACATATAACCCGAAATCCCTGTGATCAGAATTGACCAGGTCATCTTTTGTTCAATTAACGAATAAAAGATGAAATGCTTCAACGAGAAAGAGTGAAAAATGAACCAAATGAGAGGAAAAGGTAGTTTGCTTTGCCTACAAATTCGGGGCTGAATCCACGCTTCGCCTGCTCGCCATCGACCATTACGTCGGCTACGGTTAAAGAAGATCAAACCCGAGCACGTGGCGAGCTAGACAAGTGCTAACAATGTTCATTGCGTGCCGAGATTGCTGAGGAGCTAGTACAATAGTGTTATATTTGTTTAGATGGTATGGAAGGATACGCCACAAGCAACGATGCCGAACACGGGATCCACAAAATCTATACTGTCAACCCGAAACACCAGTAAAAGATGCCTAGTCACAACAACAGTTTCTTTGAGCTCAAGAGAGGTGAGACTAAATTCTTCAATACATCCCATATGACTGATCTTGGGACCTCGCCGATGGACCTAGTCTCTGTCCGAAAAAATTTCAAAGCGCTGCCTTGGCGAGATTGTTCATGAACGTGGCATCCTTAAACGGCACCGTCGCCTTGCCAAAGTCCGCGGCTTCCAACCCATCTTTGGCGGCCTGCGGCAGCGAATCCCACGCGACGAGCGCCAGATCCCGGCCCAGCGTCTCCGTGAACTGCAGCTCGTGGTTGGTTGGGAAGCTGGTGAAGTACTCGACCTTGGGCCGGTCGCCCTGGCGCGGCGGGCTGGTCGTCTTCTTATACTTGCCGTGGCCCGAGGCGACGCCCCCGAGGAGCGTCAGGCTGGCGTTGCTGGGGTTGTTCACCCAGATGACCACGTTCTCCCAGTCGTGGCGGTGCGCCCCCGTCGAGACCCCGCTGGTCGGCATGTCCTTGGGCATGTACCAGGCGTACATGACCCCGTAGCGGCCGTTGTACCAGCCCCCACGCACGTAGGTCTGGCCCCGGGACTGGTCGCGGCAGCCGCCGGTCGCGCTTCCGGTGTCTTGGAGGCCTCCGCTGTGTTTGTTTGACTGTTAGTGGGATGATCACGGGTTGAGACGGGAAGGAGAGGGTGGCCTGACCTGGTATCGCCGTTGGCGGCGACAGCTGGGTAGGGTTGGCAGCCGTGGGCGATGTGAAGATAGGGCTCAAATTTCTTGAAGGTGTTGCCGACGGCATCGTCGGGGACCGTCTCAGGGAAAGGAGTGATGCTGTCGTGAGGGACGACGGCCCGTTTAACAAGCGGCGAGGCCTGCGCCGCAGCGAGGGTGGTGAGAAGGTTGATGATGGACTTGGGAAGCATTGTGCTTGAGTAATAGGGGGCTGAGGAATGTGAGTGTTTGCTGGGTGGTGCGGGTGATAGCTGAGGTGCAGCCGGCTTCGAGCTCCATTATATAGCTTTTCATACGACACAGCTTCCAAAAGCATGCACTCCTCAATTCAAGAGGTCATGTACTTTACCCCGCCTCATTGACGCAGCCAAGCTCATGTACTTGGTACCTGCCCCAGACCGCGAGGTCGAAAGACTCACCATAGAGTGACCTTTGGCCGGATCATGGATCGAACGATTGCCAATAGGACACAGCCTGCAGGGTCCCGGACACGGTCGGATGAAGATGAGTGGAAAGGTTCCAGTTGGTCAATTTCTTAAGGTTCAAGGTTCCTCTGGCATGGCGGAAAGGTTAATATAAGGTTGGGCATTCGGGGGAATTGGGTGGATTGAATTGGATCGGTTTCACAGCTCCACCTGCCAAGCCTTCCTTTGATACTCGGGGTTTCGTCGGAACATTCCTGTGATCGACATCGGCAGAGACATCTATGTCTTGGCCTCAAATATCAGGGGTCGTCTGGCTCGGGAGGAGCTAGGCACTGAAATGACAGAGTGGAAGCTGGTGGTAGATTCTGTAACGGTGACCGCTGGGAGCGTAAATGAACACCCAACAGCCGATTCCCCCCAATCTCTTGTCTGCAGCAAACCGCAGACTTGCATTCTTCGCCTCAAGACTACAACCTGAGTGCTGCGCTACTGCTGCTTGGCAGATGATGACGACATGCTCACGGCCATCTATTGGGGGATGGGACAGGGATACTCAGGCACATTGATCTCGCAATATGCATGTTGACAATATCCGATTGGGCCGATAAGCAGAATCAGTAAGCAGCCACTAAGTACACCAAATACTGATAGACTACAAGAAGGCGAAGGCTGCAGAATTTCATCACAAGTAATCACGTCAATTTCATATTCTCTGTGCAAAGAATCCCGTACATAAAGTTTGGATCCCCAAGTGACTCCACCGATTGACATTGCGCGGTCCCCACGAGTTTTTAATCATGTCAACATATCTTGAGCAATCAGGGCCTTGGAATACTTCAGTATTGCCTAAGCGCAGCCCGGTGACTTCTGTAGGCTCCGACTTTACACCCATCTTCGAAGACACTATCTTGTCGCTGCTACCATCGGCACTTTTCTTACTAATCCTACCGTATCGCATCGCATGCCTTCATGGTCAGCAGCCCAAAGTCCTTCCTGGAGGCTTCCTACGCGAAAGCAAGTTCATCTTCTTAGCCACATTGGCTGCAACTCACCTCGCGCTGTTAATATTCCACATCCTGAGCCCATCACTACGCACGCCCGCCACTCTTCCCCAGTCCGCCGTAACATTTGTTGCCAGTCTAGGCCTTTGTCTACTTTCGCGGCTGGAACATGCTCGCTCTGTCCGCCCATCCGCCATCATCAATGGCTACATCCTTCTGACTTTGGTGTTTGACACTGCCCGTGTGCGAAGCTTGTTTCGCGCTTCAGCCGCCAGTTCCCTTTCTGGAGTATTCTCTAGCGTGATCGCCGTGAAGGTAATGGTTCTACTGGCAGAGGCAGTGGAAAAGCGACAGATCCTCCTACCGCCGTACCGAGGCTTGTCGCCAGAGGAAACGAGTGGCATTTACAGCCGATCCTTCTTCTTCTGGCTGAACCAACTCATGATATCGGGCTTTCACGGTGACCTTCGAAACGAAGATTTGTATCCCATCGATAAGGACATGTCCTCACAATTCCTTCAACAGCGCATCAAAAATGCGTGGAATATGGCGGCACAGAGCAAGCCGCGAGCCCTGCTCTGGGCAGTGCTACGTGCCAACCTGAAACCCTTTCTTTATTGTGTTCTTCCCCGTTTGATTCAGATCGGGTTCAAATATACCCAGCCCCTCTTGTTAACCCGCACCGTCAGCTTTGCGAACGATGAGCGCCAACCTGAAAGTATTGGATGGGGTCTAACGGGCGCTTTTTTCCTCGTACTCCTCGGGGTTGCTCTGTCGAATGGCATGTTCTACCACATGACCTTTCGCTTCGTGGCCAGTGCTCGTGGGAGCTTGATCAGTATCATCTATGCTAAAACGCTGGATCTGGACATCACGGCTCTCGATGAATCAGTTGCAGTGACACTCATGTCCAGTGACGTTGAATCGATTTGCAACGGGCTGCAGCTGCTTCATGATCTCTGGGCGGTACCCCTGGAACTGACTATCGTGGTCTATCTATTAGCGCAGGAGATCAAGATGGCAGCGATAGTCCCGGCTGGCTTGGCAATTTTCTGCGCTGCTGCTATTCTGTCCATGGCTAAATACATGAGCAACGCACAGAAAGTCTGGATGAAAAGCATTCAGACGCGAGTCGATGTCACGGCAACCATGCTAGGGTCTATGAAGTCAGTCAAAATGCTGGGTTTCACCGACTGGCTCTCGCGAAATACACAACAGCTTCGTGTTCATGAGCTTCAGGAGGCGAAGCTATATCGCCGGTTGCTCGTATTACGTGTATTCCTTGCAAATAGTCTCAGGTTCCTCGCCCCACCGGTTACGTTAGCCATCTGCGCGTTAGGAGCCAAAGAGGGACAGGGATTGAATCTGAACTCGACCTATACGACGCTGACGTTGATCTCGCTGGCTGCCTCACCCGTGAACGTTTTCATTCGAGCTCTCCCTGCCATGAATACTGCCCTGGCCTCGCTTACCCGTATTCAAGAATACCTACGATCAGAGAGCAGACGGGATTCTCGCATTTTCACGGAAGATCCTCGAGCCTCTGTCCAGGAATCTCAGGCAACCTCAGAGAGTATAGAACTCGCAGATATGAGCCCCCCCAGACACCACAATTCTGCGGAGGTAATCGCTGCCCGCGAGGTGAGCTTTTCATGGAACCAGTCAGCATCTTTCTCGATTCACAATATCAATGTGAGTTTTCACGAAAACCAATTCTACTTCATAATCGGACCGGTGGGCTGCGGGAAGAGCACGCTCGTGAAGGGTATTCTCGGCGAAACGCCTTTAACAAAGGGATTATTGCTCGCAAGACATCGAGAGACGGCATTCGTCGATCAGACGCCCTGGATCTGCAATATGTCTTTCCGCGATAACGTTGTGGGCGCCTCCCCATACACCGAGACATGGTATCACCAGGTTGTCAGCGCATGTGGACTGGACCAAGATGTCGCTCATCTTCCGCATGGCCACGGTGAGTTATCCTTATTCGAGCGCCCGTGTTACCCATAGAGACTCTAACCCACAACGTCAGCGACTAAGGTTGGTTCATCTGGTATCTCCCTCTCTGGTGGACAGAAACAAAGGCTGGCCCTGGCTCGTGCAGTGTATGCACGCAAGAGGATTGTCATCCTCGATGATGTTCTGTCAGGAATTGACCTAGACACCCAAGACCATATTATGAAGAACCTGTTTGCCAACCAGGGCCTCTTTCGTCGGCTGGGGACAACGGTAGTACTGGCTACGCATTCTATACACAATCTCTCCTATGCGGATTATGTCATCGCCATGCAAGGTGATGGGTCTATTGCGGAACAGGGTACACTAAGAAATCTCGAGGCGAGTGGCGGCTACATGAGTACATTGCGAGCCCAATATAAGCATCGAACAACTAAGGGCGCTAGTTCGCAAACACATACGGCTGTCGACGATGCACAAACCGGCCTGGAGCAAAGACAGCGGGCTGACACCACCAGCCAGGAGAGGACCAGGCAGAGTGGAGACTGGACTCTTTACCTGTGGTATTTCGGCACCGTGCACTGGGCATCCACGGCTCTATGGATGAGTTCCTTCATATTGGAAGGCGTACTTCCCAAGATGAGCGAATGGTTGGTCAATGTCTGGATGAGCGCAGTCGCGAGCCAGGGCAGCGCCGTCAACTCTTTCTACCTGGGTCTTTATAGCATGTCATCGATCATCACGGCTGTGAGCCTTGTTGGTGGGTCGTACCACCTCCTTATGTTCTTTGCGCCCCGCAGTGCTGAGAGGCTGCACGAGCGTCTCTTAAACTCGGTCATGCATGCGCCCCTTTCGTTTTTCACTTCGGTCGATACTGGCACCACAGTGAATCGGTAAGCCGTTCTGGGTAATCGATTCGCGCCGTCGCGTCACACTAATAACCACGTTTTATAAACAGGTTCAGTCAGGACATGACGCTGGTTGATCATGACTTACCATACGCCGTCCTAGATTTTGTGTTCGCTCTCGCAGGGGGGCTTATTTCCGCGGTCATGATCTGCATCTCGACCCGGTACTTCGCAGCCGTGATCCCGCCCCTGTGCCTGTTCCTGTGGATGCTGCAGAAATTCTACCTCCGCACCTCTCGGCAGATGCGGCTGCTGGATCTGGAAGCCAAATCCCCGCTCTTCTCGCAATTCCTCGAGACCCTGTCCGGCTTGGCGACCATCCGTGCGTTCGGATGGGCGTCTGCCTTCGAAGAACAGAGCCTCACCCTTCTCGACGGGTCCCAGCGACCCTTCTACCTGCTGTTCTGCATCCAGCGATGGCTGGAACTCGCACTGGACCTGTCCGTTGCGGTGCTCGGTGCGATTCTCATGGTGCTGGTGGTCAAGCTACGCGGAACGCTGGGCACCGGCTACGTCGGGCTTGCCATACTGAACGTCATCACCTTCAGCCAGTCGCTGTCGCAGATCCTCCGCAACTGGGCGGACCTGGAAACCTCCATCGGCGCGATCGCCCGCATTCGGGACTTTGTGGCCCACACGCCGTCCGAGGATCAACCTGGCGAGACTGTGGGGCTGACCGAGCAGGTAGAATGGTCCTCGTGGCCGTCCAGGGGAGCCATCGAGTTCCAAAACGTATGCGCATCGTACACGGTCGGGAACGCAGCCAGCACCCCGGTGCTTCGGAATTTATCCCTGTCTGTGCAACCGGGGCAGAGGATTGGCATCTGCGGCCGCAGTGGGAGTGGCAAGAGCTCCCTTCTGGCGGCCCTCTTCCGGCTGCTGGAGCTCGACCCCTGTGGCCGCATCTTGATCGACGATGTCGATATTGCGCGGATCCCACGACAGATGACCCGCGACGCGCTCAATGCTATCCCGCAGGACACATTCTTCACATACGGCACCATTCGGGCCAATCTGGATCCGGGGAGCCGACATAGCCATGAGGAGGTGGAGCGGGCGGTTCGCCGTGTGGGGATGTGGGCGGCGGTGCAGACGAAGGGTGGAATCGAAATTGCCCTGGACGCGAAGGCATTCTCGCACGGCGAGCGGCAGCTGCTCTGTCTGGCGCGGGCACTGCTACGCAAGAGCAAAGTCGTGGTGCTGGACGAGGTGTCGAGTAATGTGGATGTCGAGGCGGATGCGCGGATGCAGCGGGTGATCCGGGAGGACTTTGCGGGCTGCACGGTGCTCGCGGTCGCGCACCGGCTCGAGACGATTCGGGATTTCGATCGCGTTGCAGTGATGCACGAGGGCCAGCTGGTCGAGTTCGATACGCCCGAGGCACTGCTCAGCACGGATACTGCGTTTAGGCGGCTATACCAGTCGTAGGGCTGAGGAAGACGCATAAATGGAGTCGTCATATGCCATACTTTAAGCCAAGTAGTTGAGGTTCAATTGTCAGAGCTTAAACCGCACGCGTGTTGATCCTATTTCCAATCTCAAGACAGTGTTGGAAATGGTAGCACTACTACTAAACATCACTCCTTCGGGCCTTTCTGATTCAGACAGACCCCAGAAAATGAAATCCGCCACAATTTCGGCACATTGTTGTGGGGCTGATTACAACAAATAAGGCATGGAAACGCCCGGCTCTGTGGGGGCCTAGCTGCGTAGCATGATAGGCAGGCTTCATGCGCCTTGGGCTTAGTGCTTACAGTCACACGCTGTACTCGTGGATAGAGGTTAGCCGAGCCTGCCACTTACATTCCGATCTCGCTGAATTCTCCACTCGGAGCAACGAGTCGGTCGATTATCTCCGACGATGAGGGTCACTGTGACGAGCCGCCTGAAAATGTGCATAGAAAGGTTGCTCTAGCGTTTTCCCTCGACAGCTGGTTTAAATTCACCAACCGCTCTATTGTTCGTGGCTAGCAAGGGCTCTCTCCTCCTCAACGTGTCTGTTTCCTCTCTCACATAATCAGGTATATGCTCACTGGAACTCTGGCCCAATGCACAGGACTGATGATCGCAGAGATTCACAATTGCGCCCATGGCAGCCACCGTTCCCAACCATGTCCCCGCCTACACCCTCGGAACTCTTAGCATAGCTCTGGGCCTGAACGCCATCTTTCGCCCTGCGGCAGAGTATCCACGTTTTGGATTGCCGTTGGAATACGGCGGCGGCCCGACTACACCGCACCGGGTGTCCGACGTCTCCCCGCTCATGTATCTGAAAGGCATCCGGGAGATTAGCTATGGCTTGTTGCTCATCGGGTTACAATCCCAGGGCCAGGAGACGGCCGTCACGACGTTGGCGGCGGTTATGGCCTGGGTAGGGCTAGCGGACGGCGTCGTGGTGTGGTGTTGTGGAGGTGCGGAACGGAGACAGCAAGCTTGGGGTCACTGGGGCACGTTCTTAGGGCTGGGAGTGTGGGCTTGGTACCGGGTTTCTTACTGACGGAGCTGGTTGATGCTCGTGTGAAAAGCACTTCGAAGGCCTCGTGCGGCAAAGGGGCATTGGCGACTCCTTCACTGACGGGAAAAGAAATGAAGAGACTGGGACTATTTCGATCTGGATAAGCCTGAGACATAAGTAATTAGTGATGAGAAGATCGAACAGAAAAGGCGAAATTTGAAGCCGGTCTCGAGATCTCCACTCAAACCTTTCGCTACTAGAAGAAGTCCGGTGGCTACCCATCTGCTAGGGGCGAGGTTCATCGGGCACTGGAAGGGAGATTAAATGGAGAGACAGAATCTGAAGAACTGCGACGGGTCATCTGACAAAAGGAATTCGTCGTAAAGGTCCTGAGTGAAGGGGAAATCATCATCGGGGTCAACCGCAGGACTGAAGGACGCCCCTCGAAGAAACGTCGCCCGTGGAAAAGCAAAGCCATCCGAGGCGAATCCGTATTCAGCATCGGAGGAACAAGCAGACAAGACACTGGCAGCCTTCCCCAAGTGGGGAGATTACGCCCAGTTTTGATGTTCTCGAGCATGAGCTTTCTCAGAAGATTGGAGAAGCCACCCTGAGCATCAATACTGGCTCCGCGTGCGGCGCTGTCAGGGCCTGTCTCTGGCCGCTGCGGACCCAGATCTGAGGCGGATTGACGTCGGTTGAGTCTGAGCCCCTCGGAGTCTTTGACCGGCTGCGTTTATAATTTCTGACACCGCACACCAGCAAACCCCGGATTGATCTTCGACATAAGCACGGCGCTCCCTCCGTCGAGATTTCCAAAGCATCACGAAAATCCACTTTCAGGGTTGTCCCGCTCTGGACGTGTTGCATGGGGCACGTCGACAGCGATGAAACCCCCAGATGCCCAATCACATTAACTCCTGTGTCGAGAGGTCAACGTATCACGACATTCACCTTTAGGGCTGACCCCTCTGCTTCAGCTTCTTGGGATGTGTTGACAGATATTCGCATGCAGTCAACCAATCACACCTCTTCCTTCGTCGAGATGTCAAGGTATCACCAAAATTCATATCTAGGGCTCCCCCGCCTTGCTACACCTGCTTGGTACGCGCCGACAGGGGTGGACACGAGAACATGATGATCGGATATTGTCAGATCGCTGGATCACGTTGCCGCTGGGAATAGGCGCAACTCTCAATTTCCTGTTGTTCTTCACTGGAGTAGGAGGTGTTGGAGGGGATTCTCTGCGAGCGGAATCGAGGTCTGGTGTATCTGACCATCAGCCATTGCTTCAGGGTTTATTCTTATGCCACTTACCGACCGATTCGCTGTTTCTAGTATAAAATCTTGGTCCCTGCCCCTAGTCAAAGGCTTCAATCTTAGAAGACGGAGAGAGAAAGGGATGGACGCGGCTTGCTATTCCTCCTCCTAGGTGAATGCAACGCGTCCCTCAAAGCGCGGTCGACGGCTGATCTGCGCTGCGACTGATTGAAACATGGTGACTTCGCGCGGCTGCCTGCAACTTCTAACACAGTGACAGACCAATGGGGTACTACTCGGGACGGTGGAAATGGAAAATTCTGCGATATTTCAAGAAGATTGTCAAGGGATGGTGAACCCTGCGAGTAACCATGCAAGCTATTTGGATTTGACGCCCGGGGCTCGAATTAACTTGGGAGCACTTCATAGGCTTGTGACCATAGGATATCCTGGTCTGATATGAGAAGATGTCCAGCCAGATGGCGCCGTTGAGGCGATGATTGGTAAGGCAGAGAGGTTGGTCTGGTAACAATTGAGACAAATAAAGTCGAATAAATAAACCCGTTATAGATGATGAGATGGTACGCAAGCTGAAGGGAGCACGGTGGGGGATGGAGCATGTTCAGAGAATATGAGTAGACTCCCCATGGAACATAGGGGTGAGGTTAGGCAAGGAAGGAGGAGTGTGATGGTGTGTAAATACTGTTCTGACGCGTGTTTTGCAGATCAAATCAGCAATCCTAGCCATATTCACGAACTTGCACATGTCCTTGTCTTCGTAGATATATGGACCGCAACCCTCCCTGCATAGAACAAACAGATCCATATGTGATCTAGTCCGGCACCAGACTTACCTGAATCATTTTGAGTCAATCGGAACCTCGTTAATCGCCTTTGTTCCCCGGATAGAGAGAATTCCGGTTCAAAGAGTTGTGAAAAGAAAAGGGTCTATATTGCGGCCAATTCTCCCCACTCACTATCACTTCCCTGCTACATTCCACGCGACCTGGAGGTCAGTGGGTAAAATCCCATTTTGCCTCACAACCGTGATACACAACTCGCAATGCTGTCTGACTGGACACTACATAGTACACTTATAGTATGAACAAGAGGTCAAAAGGAACGTACTCATCGACCGGCATTCCTGCCATGGAAGTGGCGGCTTCACGCGGCGTCAATCACACTCCATCATGTGGGTGAAGCATGCCTATGTAGGTCTATGAGAAGGGAGTTGAAGAATACAGACGCTGTTGGATCTAGACAGGCAGGGACTCATGCATTTCCTGATGGTGAAAATTAGCTTAGGGGTCTGAGGATCTGATCAGGCCACGGTGCTTGTTTTACCACCCAACACGCGACATCATATTCTCCATATTCGCAGTTATGGGTCTTTAGTCTACGCGCCTTGCAGTAGCTGGCGGCCCTGCACAGAAACCTGACTACCCTCACCACACTGCTTCCAGCGCTCTTAGACGCCTTATTCGAGCCACTTGACAGGATTACGTATGGATGTGAGGATGCCGACGCTTCGCATGCAATGAAAGCAAGGGAAGTGCTCGGAAATACTTGTGGCTTCGGTCGCGTGATTTCGCTTTTTTCGCTGGACAGCAAACATGCCGAAAGACCTGATGAGTGAAAGACCAGGCACAGCTAGAAACTCGAGCAGCGTCTCTACACGTCAGTGACTATATTGGCCTCCGCTCTTCGCGCGATCCAGACCTGAGAGATTGCGTCAAGCCATGCATGACGGGTGCCAAGTGGAGGCTATGGTGTGGATGCTACACTACGGACACTGCAGGCGGATGCATACAATCGAGTCAACTTGCTGCAACCGTCATAGTTAGGTCAACGTAGACACAAGCTTGCGCATCAATCCGTGATTGAAGACATGAGAAAGGGATGATCAGTTCCTGTTAGAATGGCCACAGGGGCCGGGCTAGAATTGAACAAGCTATCCCGAGTGTCCAATTCCGTCGCCCCATCTTCAAGAATGATGGCTTCGAAGTTGTTAATTGCAACCCAAGGTTCATCACTGGCGATGAATTACCTCAACGAGGTGCCAAAGAATGAGACAAACAGGAAGGCATTAAAACATAGGTTGTCAAACCTTGTCGGGGAGGAGAGGAATGTGGCGCATGGAACTTTCTTGACATTTTCACCAATAAAAGCAGATGGCGTCTACCGGAGATTAAATCCTGAAGAAAAGTGAGACAGCAAGAAAAGGTCTGAATTAGTCAGAGTTGACATCCAGCTCTGACTCCCGCTAGACCGCAGGATGTGGAATGTCATGTCATTCCTGCTGCAGAACCCCCAACATTCGGCTGCTCAGCGTAACAAATCACCTAACCTTTCCAGTGCCTTGTTAGTAGAAAGATGTCTACACTGCCGGGATCATTACCACCACAGCATTTACCCTAGTCCATCTATGTGCACTCACGGATCAGCCTGCGCAAGCTGTTGCACGGTAGGAGAAAATGCGATGGCAATCCCTGTCGTAGTTGTCATGCAAAACCAGATAACTGGGCGTCATTCCAAGATACTATCCGCTCAGCTCATGACCTCATCCATGACTCGCGCAACAGATGCATGCATCCAGCGCCGCAAACAGAGACGCTTCGGGGCTGGTTCTGGGCTAGAAATGTTAATCACTCCCATGCGCTTGTTTTTGGAAGTGGTGGCAAGGATGAAGTCTGGCACCGGGATCGGATATGCTACATCCGCTCACAGGATTGAGGCTAGAACCAACCTGTCGCATGTTGACGGGTTTGCCCGGCAGTGACATGACATGTCTCTCGCTGTCGTGGCCGCGCCGAGCTGGCCGGCAGCGCATTGATAATTGTGCCGCTCTGTCATGGGCTACCTGGATATTTGTCATTGGGAAGTGAGTTCATGTTGGGATTGCAAATTTCCCAAGTCCTTCTCAATACACCACTATCATGACGGGCTCATCGACGACAAAAGATGTTAAGGAAGGCGGGGCTGGAGCTAAGCCCTATCTTCATCTCAGTAAATCCCTGCGCTTCTCGAATTTAGATGAACACCAGTACTGGCACCACCATGGCCCCATGCTGGGAAAGCTACTATTCGACGGTAATTACAGTGTGCACCGACAGTATGAGTATCTCTGCCTCTTCGCCCACCTAATCGTTCCTTCGTTGGGCCCCTTCCCTAGCCCTGGCCGCGAGCTCTTTCAATGCATCCTAGGAAGCACTGGGCCCTTTGAACTGAGTCAGAATTTCACCAAGAGCCGTTCAACCACGCGCATTGCATTCGAGCCGACCAGCCACAGGGCCACTACAGGTCAAGATCCGTTCAACCGCGCCCTGCTACCCTGCGCTCTGCACGACCTAAAGGCCACCGGCGCCGCGATCAACTTGGACTTACACCATGCCCTCCTCGAGCGTCTGACCCTCAGCGACAGCGATGTTGCACGCCTACCTCCCACCGAAATCGCAAAACTACCCTTCAAGACACAGACAATTCTTGCCCTCGACCTGGACCCAGCCGGAATCTCCGTCAAGGAGTACTTCTACCCAACACTCAAGGCCCAAGTCACAGCTCAGTCCGCGACACAGCTATGCCTGGATGCCATCCGCACCATCGACTCCGAGCAACTCTTCGCGCAGGGATGCGACGCCCTCCAAGAATACCTGCAACAACCGTCACAAAAGACGGACATTTTCCTCGTGTCCTGCGACCTGGTCGACCCGCACCGCACACGTCTGAAGTTCTACCTAGCCGAATTCGACGTCCGCTTCGACCGTGTCATCGAGCACTGGACAATGGGTGACCGGCTGGCGAAGGAGGATCCAGATATCACCGAGGGCCTGTCAATGCTAGAGGAGCTCTGGCGCGCTCTAGATATTGTGGAGGGCCCTCGCGCTTATCCCACCCGGCCCTCGCAGCCCGGTGATCCCCCCACGTACTTGCCTTTGATGCTCAATTACGAGATCCATCCTGGCCGTCGCGCCCCGATCCCCAAATTCTACTTCCCTATTTCCGGGATACCGGATACCAAGATCGCGGCTGTGCTGACGGATTTCTTTGAACGTCATGACATGTCAGATCAAGCAGCTGTCTATGCTGCGAACTTGCAGAACTACTTGTAAGTTTATCCTTACCTTCAAGTGGGCTAAAAGACTCAGGAGTGCAGTTGAAACTGACTGGGATCCTAGTGCTGGGGAGAACCTGGACGAGACCACGCATCACCAGGCGTGGTTGTCTTTTTCGTACGCTAGGAGCAAGGGCCCGTATCTTACTGTGTATTATCATTAATAATGAACTGTATCTATGCAGGGAGGAAACAGTGGTTAATCGTGGAAAATAACTACTCGATGAAATATGATTTGTGCTTGGGAAAAACATAATTGCAGTGAATCCATGTTCCATAGTTCAGGGCCCAACAAGCCGCTCTATTGGTGGCAGCATTATGTCCTAGACGGTATTTACGAAATTAACATTCCAGGATCGTGCTGATACTTATTCGCTATGCATGCTCCATGTGTGGACAAAACTGTGGTCGAGGCGGCTGGGTGATGGGCGCAAAAAGGTCGCGCCAGATATATTTCTGAGCCTGGGTCCACCATAACCGTCTGACAGCGATTTGGCAGCTCTATGACATTTGAAAGGATCATACCAACCACCTATTGAGCATGCGCCATTGAGCCATGTCCATGTACAGTACATTCTTCTGGTCTTGCCGGCCGATTGATCCGCCCAATGGGAGTGACGCGGCGGGAAATGCCAGGGCCCGGGATTCAGGCCTCCTCACATTCTTTCCCTGCTTCTCTTCTCATTCTCCTACTTCACTTCTTCACTTTCTGTCTGACTGTGCAATCTGTTATACGGTCTTCGACTTAGTATATGCCTTTTCCGGGAGGCTTGAAATGGATTTAAATTGGTACTCCTAGTGAAAGCCTTGATCCTTTACCGCACAACGTGACCTGCAGAAGTGACTCCTATCCCTTGCGCAGTCTGCCCAGAACCCTAACATCAAATTCTGCGGGACTCGACCTGCACCCAGCCTCCTTGAGTCTTCCATTTTCCCTGTGATCTTTGTTGCCGATAAGAGAAAAAGAAAAGAAAGGGAAAGATAAACGACCAGGAAAAAGCAAAAAGAACCAGCAGAATCCTCCAGTCTTCGAGATATCCTTTCTCAGTTCTTCAAAGGCTCACACCCAATTCCGCGGGCAATACTCATTGCAATAGGCGTCATGCCTGGTTGGCCATAAAACTCGCGAAGCAACTGCATCGCCCGCCCGCGGGGCTGAATGTCTGCGCAATCGTGCAACTCCCCGGGCATCGGGCGTGGAATCAAAGGGTTCTCGGGCTGTAGCTGCTCCAGAATAGTGAGGACATCTGTCCAGTTGGCCGACTCACCAAAGGCGAACAAGCGTTCCGAGGCCACTGTCGGCTCGAGCAAAGCAATCACAAACAGCCGGGCGATATCTTCGACGTCGACAAACCACTCTGGGACGAATCAGTTTGTGGTCATCCACTAAGTCCGACAAGAGGAGGGCCTGAATTGAACGGCAAAGAGGATGACAACGAAAGGAAAGGCTGAGAAGCTCACTGGGTGGAACAAGAGTCATTGGGGTACAGTCACCGTGAAGCAGGCCGCGTACCCAGTTCATGGTCGAGCCGGGGATCTCGTCCATTAGGATCTTGCCGACCTGTTCTTGTTTAGCGAGTGAAACAGAGGCCAGGAATTGGAGGGATGAGAACAAACCGCAAACGCTGCGACTACAGTGTTAAACTCAAAGGCAGGTCGGTGGCAGCGCACCCATTCCCACGCCTCCCACTCACAGATCATCTTACAGGCGCTGTATACCTCGACCTGCCGTTTCTGCACCCCTGGGGGCGCGGAGTCATGTATTTGCGACTTAAGGTTCCAAGAGGGCGATAAGGCTTTGAGAACAGCGGACACATTCCAGGTATCTGATTCGGGTTGAAATTCAGGTTAGTGCCAAACAGCCATTTCGTTTAGGTTTATGCTCACCTTGGTCGACCAACACGCCTTGCTGTCCAGGGTTTGGAGTATATAACGCCATTGAAGAGGAGATGAACACCACCCTACGCATGGAAGACACTTGTGACGCCGCCTGTAAGACGCTCAACGTTGCTTGTCGGGACCAAGGAACCACCTCATTGATGTCAGTTCCCAGTGTAAAGTCGGAGACCTACACGAAGCCACATACGTTAGAGACATACGGTTGTAGATTGGGAAAGGAGAAGCAGTACAAGTGAAAAATGAACGATGACATGGAAAGTGTGGATCGTGTCCGCAGGGAGAGAAGGAGGTTGGTCACCAGGTGTACGACCCCATCCGCGCCAGTCAGTATAGCCTCAATTGCCTCGGGATCACGAAAGTCCGGCACGAGAACTGTGTGAAACCTGTTCGGCCCGTACTCTCTCTCGTAAAACGCATTTAGCCAAGGTTTAGGGCTGCGAACGGTGCCGCGCACGCGGTACCCCAATTTGAGCAGTTCATTACTGGTGTGTGACGCCAGGTAGCCGTTGGCTCCCGTCACGACGACTGTAGATCCTGGAGGGAGAGCGAGGTTCATCTCAGGGAAAAATCAATCTGTATTCTTCTGTATCAACATTTCAATGATCATCAAAAGCGCGGCTTAGCCTAGGTCAATGATAATCCGGGGGCATTTTATTGTTCATGATCATGGCTCGGCAAGCGGGAAAGCAGATTGCCGATGAGAAGCTCACCAGATCTGGACCCACAAAGCTTAGATGGGCAGCAGAGATCTGGTTCGGTGTCAATCTGTCGTAATCCCGAGTGCTTCCAGCTCGCTGTGTGTCGGTCTAGAATCTTTGGATGAGGAGGGTCGGACATGCCGGAGGACTATGCCGTGCAGAAGGCAAACAACGTAATCCACCATTACATTGCCATGACAGAGGACATGACACATGACTCAAGCGCCCGCGATGGCGATAGATCGGTGACCTGACCATGGCGCTGGACCCCGGTGGGTGGGCTCGTTTTCGAATGCCTGTTTTCTGACGTCTTTTGACCCCTTCAATCCACACTGCATCTTGACCCACGCTCCTCTGCCGATCTTTGCATCTCTTGGGCAAATATCGAAATGATATATAAGGGCACGACTAAAGATTCAAGGATTGAGGGAAATAGACTCATAAAACTCAGTTGTCATGGTGCTTGCCGAGCAAGACACTGTTTTAGATCTTTTCGCTGGGCCGGTGATTCGCTGGCCCGACCATATCGCGGTAGACGATGGGCGCAAGGGCACGAGGACATACCGACAACTGGACGAAGAGTCCACGGACCTGGCAGCATCCTTGAAGGCCAACGGAGTGAGACCAGGTCACATAGTGCCTATCGTTACTACCACCTGCATACAGATGGTGGTAGGGGTCCTTGGCATTCTGAAAGCAGGCGCTGTGTATGTCCCCATCGACCGAGAACGAAGTCCCCGTCACCGCATAGAGTATGTCTTAAACAAAAGCCAAGCCAAAATCGTGCTATACACGGGAACAGAGTTCTCCGCCGATCAGGCAAGAGCAATTCGCCTTCCGACGGCTTCGGTCTCTTCTGAATATAACGACCAGGTAGCCAATCGCATCGACGATGTTCTCGCTGTCATATTCACCTCTGGCACAACGAATAAACCCAAAGGTGTCCGGGTTAGAAGCAGCTCGGTAGCGCGCTTTGTGACTTCTCCAGGGTTTAACTACGATGTTACGCCAGCTGATCGGGTCTTGCTGGTCTTATCCGTTGGCTTCGATGGTACGTATCTTGCAAGTTTCCATCGACCCATTCCGATGAGGGTTATCATGCTGACAGTGAATTTTGCAGCGTGCATGGGGACCATGTTCAACACACTGTGCAATGGGGGTACGTTAGTCCTGGCCGACTCGGATTCTCTGGCAGAGCGTGCAAGAGAAAGCAGCATCATCATTGCCACCCCTTCGATCCTGGCGGCGCTCGGGCCCCCTATCCCCACGAATTATTCGAAATTGAGGCGCATTGTCTTGGGGGGTGAGACTGCCTCAGAACATCTCCTTGACCTATGGGATAGCGTACAAGTACCGATCTGGATTGCCTATGGGCCGACAGAGGCCACTTGCGCCGTCTTGACTCAGAGATTACAGCGTGACCCGCAAACAGCACGGTTCTCGCCTACGCGACTCGGACATCCGATTCCAGGTTCCACGATTATGCTTTTAGACCCAAAAGATGATAGCCTCATCACTGAGCTCAAGACGCCAGGCGAGATCGGGATTGCAGGACCCTGTCTGTCGGCCGGCTACCTCGGCGACGAGATTCAAACCAACAAGAAGTTCATTCATCTCGGTGGCCATACAACATACCGCACAGGAGACATAGCTGAGTGGGTAGAGAACATGGATGGCACTCGCATTCTGCAGTTTCATGGGCGTGAAGATCGCTTGATCAAAAACCGGGGGTTCCTAGTCAACCTAGACCAGGACGTCGACCAGGGGATCATCCGATCGTGCCCCTCAGTGCAAGCGGCTTATTCATTGAAGGTCAATGGAATGCTCTGTACAGCCATCGTCAGCCCGCAGCTGGATACCGGAGAGGTGTTGACCACCTGGAAGTCAGCGGCCCTGCCCTACGCCGTTCCCGACCACTTAATTCGGCTGCCCAAGCTGCCCTTGAGCTCCAATGGCAAAGTGGATCCGCATCAACTCTCATCCATTTTGGAGAAGAGAATTTCAACAGCCCAGAAAACCCAGAGATCAATGACTTCATTCTCCCAATTGAAACTGACGCCAAAGCAGATTGTCCTGGCCTGGTTCCAGGATGAGATGAAGGTTCCTTCCACTGAGATTGACTTGAGTGCTTCGTGTGTGTCAATGGGAGTCAGTTCTCTCGCTGCAGTCAATCTGTCCTCCTTCTGCGGGCAGGCTGGTTATGCAATCTCAGTAGCTGATGTTCTCGAAGCACCGTCACTCAGGGAGGTGTTTGCCCGATGTAAAGCAACATCGACCGCGCCTAGTAGCAAGTTTTCCAGCGAGCAGACAGGTCTCGTGACGCATTCAACCCTTAGTCCGCTGCAGCACAAGATGGTATTGGAGACAAAGGTTGACCCCCGAGTGAATTATGCACAACACATTTCCTACTATCGCACCCAGGATATCAGGCGCATCAAGAAGGCATGGGAGACTGTGACGCGCGCAGAGCCGATTTTTCGGACGGTTTTCATTGACAGTGAATCCGATGTTATTCAAGAGGTGGTAACGGAAAGCCAATTCCACTGGGAGGAACAAAAAGTTCGCTCCTCGCAGCAAGTCAAGGAACTTCAGGATGGAATTATCAGACGAACCGCTCTAGGTATGTCCGTTTTGGTACTACACCACGAAGGCATTGAGCTGCCACGGGGTGAAAGCATGATAGTGTGGACCTCTCATCGTGCTCTGTTGGATGGGTTCTCAAGTCTCCTATTGTTGAAAAAGCTGGATCTGGCACTTCAAGGACACGAAATCAAACCCTCTATTCCATATGCGCAAACAGGAAAGGATCTGCACCAGCTCCGAGAACGGATGAAGGATGAGGCATTGAGGTTCTGGGAAGATCGTCAAAACGAGTTGCTATTGTCCAAAGGCGAATTCAATATTCCTGATACAGTATCCCAGGACAGGCTTGGCCCGGTGAATATCGAGTACGTTCACACGGAATCCGTGGACCGTGTGCAACTGAGCCAGAGCGCAAAACGATTGGACGTAACCCCTGCCTCACTTCTACACGCTGCCTGGGCCTTGCTGGTCTCACTGTACTCTGATTCCAGCCAGGTGATGTTTGGGATGGTGCTCTCGGGCCGGGACTTACCTTTCACCTGGGCCCCGTCTGTGATCGGTCCTTTGATCAATCAGCTGCCATACAATTGCGCGATCAATAGACAAATGTCCGTGTCTACGTTCGTCCAGCGCGTTTATAAGGACATCCGCAACTACGCGCGATTTCAACTTTTTGAGAGCCCCGTGGGCACCCCGCCGATTACCACTATGCTCGTGGTGCAGGACACTGACATGCGCAGGCCATCAGTGATCCTGCCCCCACTGCGTGAACCACTTATGAGAGAATCTACCAGCCTTCCTCTTGTGATGGAGGTTCAAAGCTCGGGCGAGATGCGTCTTGTGTATCGCAGTGATCGGTTCAATGCTCTAATAATACAGGACGTGGCAGCTATCTTCCAAAACATCGTCCAGCTTCTAATCAGCACCGAAGACGGTCTCACTGTAGGGCATTGCCTTCACCACAGTTTCCCACCGCCTATACGACACAATCTCCTACAGCTGGGTAATATCGATCGGCCAGAATCACGAGTGACCAGCTCTGGACCGACACTCCGCAGCATCTTCCGGAACACAGTGAGTCAGCATCCCGACCTCATCGCTGTAAGAAAGGACACAATTTCCATAACATATCGCCAACTACTCGACTCGGCTGAGCGTGTGGCTTCTGCCGTCCTTTCGCATGCGCGCCCAGGAGATGCCGTTGCCGTGATTGCTGATCGATCTATCAACTGGATTATCGGGGTTTGGGCTGCGGTGCTGGCTAACACGGCCTATTGCCCAATTGATGCTTCATTTCCAATCGACTATCAAGTTTCACTGGTGAAGCAAAGCCGTGCCCCTCTAGTGCTATTTCCATCGTCAGAGCAACGCAGACGAGGGCGATTCCAAGGCGTGACAACTGTTGCCACTGAGGAAGTTCTACAGAACGCCAAAATACCCGTTTTGAGATCGTGGCCGACACAAAGGCCAAGTGATGTGGCATACGTCTGTTTTACCTCCGGGTCGACTGGCGTTCCCAAAGGTGTGTCTCCTCGAGGATTTGGCCCCAAAGCTCGCTTTTCGTCTAATATTCCATTGCAAACAGGTGTAAAGTGTCTTCACAGGGGATTAGTAACCCTTCAATCCCGCGAGGAATATCGGATCTTCAGCCGACCGGGACGTCGGATTGCCCAGTTTCTCTCTCCTGGCTTTGGAGGTTGCATATTCGAGGTCTTTGGTACTTTGTGTTATGGTGCCACTTTGGTGCTACGAGCAAAGGACGATGACATGCTGTCACATCTGGGCCAGGTGGACGCCACCATTCTTACCCCATCCGTTGCCGCCGAAATGGTTCCCTGGCACTTTCCCAACATCCAGTTTGTGAGTGTGGCATCTGTTCGCCTCTCCTGGTTCTCTAGATGACATTGCTGACACCACATGGCTGGTAGGTCTATTTTGCCGGCGAACCGGCCACAGAGCCCATTGTCGCCCGTTGGTGGTCCCCAGAGCGGCAGCTGTACAATGCTTACGGCTCCACCGAGGTAGACACCTTCCTTCTTCTGCCATTGCTCTCCTCACTAACTATGCAATCTGCTAGGCTACGGTAATGAATACCCTAGGCCGACTAGCCCCCGGTTTACCAATATGCTTGGGTAGTCCCGTCCCGTCCTCCCGGCTGTATATATTGAACGACGACGGGGACCTTGTTCCACCGAACACGGTCGGACACATCCACATTGCGGGGGCGCAGGTGAGTGATGGATACATTAATACGATATCAACAAAACAGAATGAA